TCGATCCTGTTCTCGCGGGAGAGCTTTAATTCCTGTTCTCGCAACTAATTTAAACGTTTCAACAAATAATAAAATCGCAAGGGAAATCGTTCGGAGATATAAATTGAAGAAAAAGAAAAAGAACTACGTGCGTTGTGGATAAAAAGAGAAACAATAAAGAGAGGAGAAATCTTAAAAATTGATAGAGCATATTCTTACCTTCTCTGCCGAATTTACGCTTCTTCTTGCCAAGACTGGGACCGGCGGAGGAGCTCTTGCTAGAGCTCTTGTCCTTGCTCTTCCAACGCATCAACATGTTTCGCAAACGCTTCAGCGTCTCGAAGGTAAACCGGACCGCGTCATTCAAAGGGACTACGCGCGCGCATGCGCGCGCATTCACGAAATGCGGTTCGAGCTCGATCGCGCCATTGTTGTCGATCGATTCGCGCGATCGTAAAATGTTTTTCGCGTTTCTGCGCGATCTCGTCGTTTCCTCGATTCGCGCATCACAGATGGCAATGAGTATCGTCTTCGTTTATTTCGATTCGAGTTTTCGATTCGAATCTTCGAATCGATGACCGCTTCTCGATGATCTTCGATCGGAAAATCGGCTTTGAGGTTAATGCTTCCTTGTTCGATCACAAATTCTTCCGTGGAGAAGATTCTACGCAAACTCTACGAAGAGCGATGAAAAGGAGGAGTTTGCGAGAAAGAATTCGGAATCAAATTTGTACGAGAGTTACGAAACTAGACGATAGAAATGTCGGCGGAAATTATCGTGATAGTCGTTGTAGCGCTACAATAACCGTGACGTCGCCATCTTTTGACCACGATGAATTTCAACGTTCACGGAGGGTGGATGTACTCGAGCGCACTACAGACGAATCGGATCACTGGGTCAAAGGAACGCCGGCTCTGCGAATAGCATTTTCCTGCGTCTCATTCGATGAATGGAATTAGACGCGAAAGATAGGATGAAAAGCAACTACCACGTGTTGAAATTCAAAGAAAACTCGAATCGAGGATTAATTCGAGTGACGATGGAGATTGTGCGCAAACACTTTACATTTACATCACTTGAGACCGATTTTCTTCTTAATGATTTATTTAACAATTGTCGATATTATAAGCTTTCGAAGATGAGGTTTATTTATCGTGTTTATCCGACGAAACGCGAATTTTGGCAAAATATAGTCGAAGATTATAGAATCACACGAAAGAAAAAGGAGAAAAGAAGCAAAGAAAAAAAGATAATTAGGAGAAAAAAAACGAGGAATATTATCAGATGTATTCTGCTCATGATTCCGTTGGTGTTCGAAATCGATAGCTTCACTTCGTATTTTAAGCAATATGGTGCTGCATTTCGAGAGCCTCGATCTATCGACCCTTTTCTCTGACAAAAGAAGCACAGTCGAAGTACTATCAGCTTTTAAAACTTTTTTCTTCACAGATAAATGAATAGTAAATTATATTTAAAATATTTTAAAAAGATTATTTTACAGATGAATTTTGCAGCATCCCCTTGATATGTGTACCGGAATCGACCTTTCGCTTCCAAGTTGATTACACGGTGAAGGTCGTGACCGAGGAAGACTAATAGCTATATATATGTATATATATGTGTGTATGTATATATATATACATACGTATCCACACGCGTCAATGACTTAACTATGCGTAATTCTGAACGACCCGGTTAATTGGAATAACTAATTCAATTTCTTCGGTTTCGATGTCACACAGAACGTTCCAACAATAATGAGATTTGCTTCAAATCCAAATATATGAACAGTTCATTCAAAATCGATCGAATTACGGCTATCAGCGAAGTAAATTTCTCGGCAAACTTGAAAAAGACGCATCGAGACAACCGAGCGGAAACTAGCACCGACTAAAGCGTCGTGTCACGGGTAGCCGGCTCGACACCGTCACCCTCGAGGATCCTCGAATCCGTTGATTCTTCTGCACCTTGTCTTTCAACGATCACGACTAGCATCGTCGCGCGCTCCTCCTTTCGCGAACACGCGTCTTCGAAGGTCGCAATCGATCGTAACCCCTCGAAAAGAGATTTTCGAGCTTCGAAAATGCTGCCGAACGTGGGAAATAAGATACAACCACTACTATCGATACCGGCGACGTTGCACCGCCGCCACTACCACCGCCAACACTACCACTACCACCACCACCACCACTTCCACCACTATCGCGACGATCGCTACCCTACGCGTCGTTTCACAAGGTGCGTCAACGCCGGTAGCACCAACAGCAGCGGCACCACCATCGAAAACGCGCCGAACGTCGTCGCCGGGATCTGCCCGAGTCCCGGCATTACACCCTCTTGTACCCTCCACCCATCCCTCGATACCCCTCTCTTTTAACCAACGTTGTCCCCGCTCCGCCCTATCGCGAAACCTCTCGCTTTGTCTCTCCTTCCTTCTTGTCCCTTCCCACTCTTCCCCATCCTATCTTCCCGCTCCGTGACGTCACGGGAATGGAGTCGGGGATCGATCCCGAACGCCCACCTCGTCACCGCATCCTCCCAAACGTTACTACTCACCGGACAGAAAACATTCGACCGTTTTACGACCTCTGTCGACCTCCCACCGTTTCTCCCAACCTCCTGCGAATTCGCGGACACGCGGGGATCCGTTTTCTGATCCCGCAAGTTTAACTATAAAGCTTCTAGGACAATGACCAACCGACTAACCTTCTTTCGACAGGGCGTCTTCAATTCGATTCAATTTTTGAACATCGCACGAAATAACGCGTTATCGTTCGATATTCGAAACGAGTCGATTGGAAATGGAACACGTCTACGTTCGAGAAAGTACCACGCATTACTGAAAAGAAGTCCTACTGGACGGTTGAGAGGCAAGGGGAATACGGTAATGTTCGCATAGAAGGCCACGATCGGTTCCGACCGATACCGAATTGTGCCGAATAGTCGCCGAATAACCGAAAAGGATTTCCAAGAATTGACTAATGTAATTTGACACCGTTCGCTTTTATGCGCGCGTTAAAGAAACAGAGAAACACGAGAAACAGAGAATTCGAGTGAGATAGCGTTCCTCGCTTATAGCCATGTGATGTTTGTAAACACTACGAGTTACTAAAATAAATATCGTATTGCGTTCAAATTTTCGATCAATATCCATATGTGGCAATTCTTATGTTATTATTCAGAAACAATTAGACTATCCTATTCTTCAAAGAATTTCTTTGGAGCAATATATTATATTATTTGACGATTCTTTGAGCGAATAATACCGTAGACATATCATAATCCATATAACAAGATATGTTCCATATTCTCGGTTCGTCGCCTCTCGTCGCGACACGATTCAGCATGGCGTCGCTATGATTCTAACTTCCGAATATCGGCCATTTCGAATTTGCATCGTGGCTCGCTAATTTGCATACATATTGAACGGCGTATCGACTAATCGAAAACTCGACAAACAATTCGGTTGCCCTTACTTTTCCTTCGAGACTCTGATCTCAAATGCGAATCGCTTAGATTGGGCGCTCTGCTCAATGAATCTTCGCTTATCGATGAGAAAAGATGAGAATGTACCTTGAAGTTTTCAACACTATCGAACGAAAATTCTCATGCAAAGTTTCGTGATAACCTACGATTTCCAAGAGTGCCAAGTCCACTTATGAATAAATTCGGTATTGTGGAAAACGTTTCAAAGGTTCTTCTATTTCCGCAAAATATTTCCTCTTATCGAAATTCGCAAAAGAATACGGGCAAAAGAGTTATGGAAAATAGATAATCCGCAAAAGACGTTCCAATCACGAGAACAAACGCGATTTTGTCGATCGAATTGACGCGTCGTGTAAATTGCGAGACAATGTGCTTTCTCGTTAATTGCAAGCTACGATTCAAGCTTCGTAATGATCGACAGGCTATAGGAAATTAAAAGATCGTAATTCTTTCTGTGACAAGCAATGTAATGGAAAACCGTTACACAGTTATAAACGATTGTCATTTAATATATTTGCATAGTAGAAAGAAAGGTTAAGTATTATTCTTTTTTATAAATCAATTTAAATATAGTATACGCTCTTTCGTCAGATCAAATATAACATATATATATATATTTGTTCATATTATTAGTTTACGTGTGATATATTAAAAAGGATTAAAAATTACACGATATTTGTGAATATTTTACGGTTATTTATCGAGAAAGATTAAAATATTCGCGCATGCGTGAACGAGAGTGAGAAATAACGAGAGAAAAAAAGAAATAAAACCATTTACATTAAAGTAAATAAACTTTTTCTAATAAAAATTTTACAGAACATTAAACAAAGCTAAATAAAAACTAATTTTTTTGAACCCTAATAAAATTGCGCTTCCTTTTAAATCATTGTTAATACAGATTACATCAAGATCTGCCTCAAGCGAAGAATTAGTAGGGATAGCTATATAAGCGGACAAATCCGGATACAACTGGATTTCGAAATCTTGTTTAGGAAGAAAGAAAACTCGCATATTGAAATACGTTGAACAATAAAACAATGTCGAGACCATAGGGGCTTAAAACATATGTGAGTGAGATTTGCTTGTCGTGGACGAGAACGTGCCTTTACACGATGTTGGCTCTCGGTCTGCCTTAAGAGGCTCATTGAAATGCACGGTCATACGCCGCGCCACGCGCTTTGCACCTTGTCCGAATAAAATCACGACCCGACTGAAACGCAGTTGATTTGGCACGAAATTGCCATAAAGAGATGCAAAGAAATTGATGATCGGTGAAATAATTTATGGCGTCGTAAATGATGTTACGTTGCGGGTTGTTGGAGAGGAATAACAAGGAAGATAGCTCGTGTGCAAGTATGATCTTTAACCATGTCTCACCTATCCACGTTCTAAGAATCACACGAATTAAAATTCGGATACACCGGATTCAAAAACCATAATCTCGCGACACATCGAATTGTACTCTCCACAAAAAAAAAAAAAAAAAAANAAAAAAAAAAAAAAAGAAAATAGAAAAAATATCGACACTCACCCTTCTGTCGAAGTACTCGCTGCGGACTAACGGCACGTCGAGGATCCGTTCCGACGTTGCAACGTGTATCTCCATACACAACGCTTCTTCCGGTCGCAAGTCTCATGGCGTTCACCGAGATGGCATCCTTGGGTAGAGGCGGAAGAGGTCTGTCGGCATCGTACTCCGTCACATCCGCACAGGGATGCGTGGAGGGATCGCGGCGCTCAGGATAGGAAAATACCGAGTCTGTATCGGACACGCTGTCCTCGCTTCGATGTCTTCGAGTCGGCGGCTCCGGGGCAGTACCGTGTTTCGTGGGCCAACTTCCACTGGCTAAATCCTGCCCACCGACACCCGACTGATTCGAGAAGCTGACTCTCTTCGCGCTGCTGCCGCTTCCATATTCCACCGATTCCCCGCCAATCAAGCTACCCCTTTTAAATATCGGGGGAGGTGGGTGGGCAGTTTTTCCATCGACATCGTTCGTCGGCTCCTCCTCGTAGATCGAGGAGACCTCGAGCTTCCTCGCCACCGGCTGCGCCTCTCCTCTGTGAAAATGCGGCGACGCGCTTTTCGACCTCTGCACTGCCTCCTGCCTGCCCGACTCGAGAGGCTTGGCGGGGACCATCACGTCCCGCCGATCACGAATCGCCTGTTGCGGGCGGACGATCAGAACGGGCTGGTTCTGACCTTTCTGACTCTGCATCAGCGGCGGCTTCCCGGTGGGATTCCCCTTCGAGCTGCGCAGATTGCCACTCCACGAGGATGGATTTCCGTGGGTGACCGGTAACGGAGGACCTGGCGCGGTGGCCGTCGCCAGGGGGCCTCGAACAGATCCCTGTCTCGGGGCCGACACCCTCGCCGAGTTCTTCGGCCCTCCCTTGCAGTACGACGACTCCTCTATCAGATTTTGCTCGTAAATACGCCTCTGTTGCTCCTCGTCCAGTTTCTTGAGCTGTTGCCAATACACCGCCTCCCTGACCTCCGGTAAATCAATTTTTCGCCCCATCTGTTTCTCGCTCACCGGGGACGCGAGGGACTTTCGGTGCGCCTCGAGCGCCTTTTGTTGCCAGTAGAAGGCCTCCAGATGCTGTCTAGTCTCTTGTTTCGAAGGCGACAGGGGCCCGCTCGCAACCGCGCCGACTCGTTGCCCGCACATCGGTTCACAGATCCTCTGATTGTACGCGGGATCTTCCAAACCTCTCTGCCCTACCTGTCTCGGTTCTTGTTGCTGTTGCTGATGAGGGGCACGTTGTTCCTCCAAACTAGGATTACGCTGAGCTTCAGAATTCTGACGATGATCCTCAATGGGGATCGAGTCGGGCGACCTGTCAACCTGCGGGCTCATCTGCGGCGAACACGAAGAGGACGCGTGCGCCTGGACCCAGGCCACCCTCTCCTCGCCATCTTTCCTCTGTACGCTGTTCTCCGCCTGACTGTTAACCTTTTTCTCAACACTTGAACCTGATCTGGACGGGGAAGCTATTTCCTGATTCCGTTGGCCTCGATGCGCGTAAACAGGCTCGGGACGGGGTATCTCCAACGCAACCTGACTTTGCGGGGATCCCTTGGTCCCAGAAACGTCGCTCCGTATTCCGCTCGGATCTTGGCTTCGCGGATCGATCGAGTTAGCGACGACGAGGTTTCGAGGCGCGTTCGTCATGTGCACGGGCGACTCGATGGGGCAACCTCGCCTCGACTCGTTAGAGGGCCTCGGTATTCGGGTCTCGTACGGGATGGCATCCCTCTTCGGAGACGCTATTAAAATCTGCTCGTTGGGCTGTGCCCTTCTGGCAGAGGGCAGCCGCGATCCGTACGGGGAGATCGGTTTCCCTTGGCTCCCAGTCGGCGAGGAGGGTCCGCAACCGACGATGCCCTGGGGTTCCCCGCATTGCTTCTCCACGTCCTCCTCCCGCCCTCTCTCCGCGTTTTCTCCTCCTCCTCCTCCTCGCGGGGAAACGGGTCGTTCACCTCCTCTCGAGCGACTCCTACGCGGAGACGCGGCCCCCCTTTGCTCCTCGACGGAGCGATCGAGGATCGAGTTAGGGGGGACTAAGCAAGCGTCCTCCTCGCAGCCGATGGAGGGAGTCTCGTCGTAGATGCGCTCGTCCATGCACCTGGTCGACGATCTGGACGGCGACTTCTCGTTCTCGTAGATACCCTCCCCCCTTGGTGAATCTTCCTCGTCCTCGTGCTCGTTCGGGGAGCCGCTGTCCCGGGGCGAGTGCAGGTAATACTCGCCGCTCTTCGAGCTGGTCGGGGAGAAGCCGCTCTTCTGGCTCGAGTTCGGCGTGCAACTCGAGTCACCCCCGTAATCGCCCGACTTCTGGCTCGAGCCGGAGGAGAGATACTTGGGCGACCTGCCCACCAACGGGGCACGGTGATTCTGATTCACTATCGGTTGCCGGGTGATCTTCACCTGGGCTGAGACCGATTTCAAGATCAAACCTGACGGGTTGTCGTTCTCGTACAACACCTGCTCGCTCAGATAACCGCTCCCCGCTTTATTACCGTGCCCGGCGACCCGCTGCTGCTCGTCCCGCTCCTCCAAATAATTCTCGTAGTTGGACAACGGATCCGTCCTCGAGTGGGGTATAGCCGGTAGGGGGCGGTCGATCGGATGGATCGCCCTCGGCCTGACCAGGTATCTCTCGGTCGGCGGGGCCGAGATCCTTCCCGATGGCCCGTGGTTCCTTTGGAAGAAGTAGGGCGGCCTGGGCGCGGCGTGACTCGGCTCCTGCAAGCTGTGCTTCCGTTCCAGTTGGCCGTAACGTTGCCCGTACCTCTGCCCAAATTCCTCGCGCTTCTGCCTCTGCTCGAATTTCCTGATGTCCGGGGATATACCGAGCTGGGCGTTCCTCTCGTTCCACCTTTCGTCGGGCGCGATCGAGCTCAGGCTCGAGTCGGTCGTGTAGGAACGGGGTTGGCCGGCTCGATCGCGCAAAAGGCCCTCGTGATCGCCCTCGCGCGCCAGGTGATCGGGAGTGCTCGTTATAGGGCCTTGATCCGGGAACAGTTCCCGTTTTATCTCGTCCAACCTCTCCTCGATTATGGATCCGTTCAGGCTGTTGTCCAGCTTCACGTTCCTCTTGATGTCCTCGTTCAGGTTCATCGTGTCCGGCGACCTGGTGTAGTTGCCGTTCTGCTGGTAGCGGGCGAAGTGTCTGTCGTCGGGCCTCTTCCTCTCCTTCGACTCCTTCTTCTTGTATTCCTTTCGGGAATCCTTGGGCGAGAAGAAACCCGGCAGAAGGCGGCGGAACCCGAGCTTCTTCTTCTGCTTTTCCTCCTTCTTTGATCGGGACGACGATCCCGCTTCCATCGTGAACTTCCTTATGAGGGTCGCGTATCCGTCTACCCTCGAACGGGCCTCCCCGCCGCTCGCCAACGGAGAGGGATTCGTCTCGTTGAAGATTTTCCTATCCTCGATCCTGCCGGCGATCCTCGACTCGAACGTTTCGTCCTTTCGATTCCGAAACTCGTTGGCGAAAGGGAGCATGGACTCTCTCCAAAGATCGGGCAACTCTATCTCCCGACGACCGACAGCCTTTCCATTCCCCAACTCCTCCTTCTCCTGCGCCTCGATGTCCTCCTCGAGCGACTTGATCCTGTCCTCGAGGCACGAGTCCGAGTCGAGGGTGCTCAACGTGCTGGCGGCTAGAGTTTTCGCGGAAGCGCAGTTCAAATTAATCGACCGCCCTACAGAGTCGAATTTTCCCTTCCCACCTTCGTAAACGGTATTCCGATCGTATTCCTCGCCTATGCTCTCCCTCGAGGAAACGCTTCCGTATTCCCCCACGTAAGAGGACTTGGACGATTCCGAGGAACGCCGGTCCAATTGATTCTTCAGAAACTCCCCTGACCACCTTTTCTCCACCTCCAACACCTTCTCGCTGTACCCTCGCCTCCCTTCTTCCTTCCTCTTCGACAACCCCCCCTCCCCTCCCCGCTGCTCCCCCCCCGATCCTCCCCGATCCAGATCGGTGTCCAGCAATCCGTATTCCTCGATCTTCAATCTCTTGTCGAGATTATGCTTCTGTAGAAACTCCTCGTCGAACGCGATCCTGTTCACGAACTTCTCGTTCGGGTCGACGATGGGCAACTTTAGACGCCGATTCTCCCGGGACTCGAGCAACTTTTTCTTGTACCTGCGCGCCGTGCTCGCGTCAATCTTCGTGTTCAGGTTCCGTTGGAGTACCTCGATATTCGTTTCGCTCTTCTCCAACAGATTTCTCGCGTCGATCTTTCCGATTTCGTTCCCTTCCTCCGCCTCGCCAGATTTACCCGCGATCACCCACCTCCGTGGATTTATCTTACCCTCATCGGCTACCTTCGCGTCCGTCAATTCCTCCCCGCTCGTCTTTTCCTCCGCTTTCTCCTGTCCCGTGTCCGGTTTCCCCGTCGTCCCCACGGGGACACCTGTGATCGTTAAGCTGCCTATGGACGGGCTCTTGGTCAATTTGATCGGTTTGATCCTCTCCGTGTTTCGCGAATTTTTCGCCCCCTCCCTCGACTGACAGCCATCGAACGCGATAATATCCTCGGGAAGGGAAGAGCGATACTTATCCGCGCTCGTCGACTCGTTGCGCTTGTCTTTCGATCGCCTGGGAACCGGCTTTTCAAGCCCGGATTTTATCGAAACTTTCTTTGAACTCTCGTTTTTCGTTAAGAGCACCTCTCGCGAGCCGGTCGAGGATTCCAAGACGATCTTCTCCACCGTAACCTTGTCCACCGAGAGAATACGGAGTTGTTCCTCCCCCTTGGCTCGCTCCTTCGATTCATTTGCCGCCTCTGTTTTCGAGGGGTTCTTATTATCGCCAACTTCCTCCGCCGCCTCCATTCTCCTTCCCCCGCGCAACGCCGCTTATCACCGCCTGAAATTCAAATCGAGCGATTCTTCCGATTGTTGATATTCGCTTACCGCACTTTTTTTATCTTACTTTTCTTCAAGAAAATGATAAAATTCTTTCAATTATTTTCTTTCCGATGTATATAACTTTTAAATACAAATGAATTTTGTTTCGACGAATTCTCTCAGGAGAACGTTCAATTTGTTGATGTGTTGATGAATTAATAAATAGTGCGAAATAATAAATAATAAATGTTGATAGAAATTAAATTAAGGTAAATCGTGTACGTTTCGAGATATATTTCGCCAAGAGAAAGATATGTCTTTTCGATCGAAAGAGAACGGTAAAGTTTCCGTGTTCGAGTTAACGAGCCGTAGTGCAAACGGTGTGCCGAGAGCAAAGCGAAAGGATCCAAGACCATAGGCGAGTTTGTCGACGAGACGCTATGCAGGCGCCAGGATAATATCGGCCGCGGTTGGCAAATGGTATCGCCTTACCTTGATTACGAGAAACCGATCTTACCCGTGCATTTATCCCGACTACTATATTACGTGACTCGTGCCTCGTTCCTACCGCGAAAGAATGCCGTTAAATCGCGTCACTCGGCTCTCCAATTTCTCGTCCCGCTGACCACGACATCTCGAACTCTTGAAAGTTTGCGAGATTTCACCAGGCACGGCCAAAATTTATATTTCGTGTCGGGCATTTTCTCGAGCGATCGTGGAAAATAATTTCTGACCCGAAGAAATCCTAATCTATTTGATAATTTTTATTATTCGTGATATTGTTTCGTGATAAAATTCAATCAAACGATAAGAAGATTTAATATAAAAAGTGTAATTTAGAAATCGTAAACGTGACGTACGTTGCATGGGACTATATTGACATAACCTCCATCAACCAGTGTTTAGATAAGTAATTAACTAAGTATGTGTCACTTTGTTAGTTACTCTGACAGATCTAATTTATTTGTAGAGTTCAAAAACAATGTAATTATCAATCCATTGACCGTTTTTCTATCTACAAACTATCATTAATTAATTAACAAGACTTGAATTCTTTAGTAGAATTCTTATTATAGTTGAACGAGTTGAATGCACCAAATAATTCACATTATATTCTTCCTACAATTGATTTCTTCAATAATTGTCAACGAATTTAAGGATTAATTATCAGCATTCAAAAAAAGATGATATTTTTAGTCATTAACTTCAATTTTTCAATATTGCAAAATTTTATTAAAAAATTAGAATTGTATCTCTGGACCTATATCACTTGTAAACTGGAGAGTCAAGCGCCTGCGCGGTCATCGAGTTTACGGACGGAACCGAAAAATTGCGAAGATCAACGACCGTAACCGATTCTCTTAGTAACTCGCAAAGCGCTCGAAGCAGGACGCTTTAGTCATTTTTTAACGCATTTTTCGCGGTCCCGTTAACTTTCCTTTCGCTTACGATCTCTTCCTCTTTTTCTCTTCAACCCAAAGAAAATGTTTTTACGAATCTAAGAACAACTAGGTCACGCGCCATGTATATCTAACGACTTTTTATCTCGCAACGATGCGTTTTTTTAATAACTATTGCCGAAAGTGAGTATCGTGCATAGAACAGTGGAAGAAAGATGGCGTCAGGCTATCTGGAATGTAATATAACAAGGAAACGCAATATTCTCTATTGAAATTAATATGACAGTATTGCCTTACGAAGCATCCGATTATAAAAATATATGCTGTCGCCATCGATTACGTAAACGATGTTTGTATCGAAGGTTGATGTAATCGAGTCGATTTCGAACAACCCAATAGACAAATAAGAAATGATCATTCATCGGTGAGAATCAAAAATTGGAAAATGAAAGACTTCTTTCGTTACGTAGTTATTATGGGAGAATTTCGAGTAAGTACGTATAACACTATTAAGTTCATTTATTCTCTTTTTTTAAATATAACCAGAAAGAAAACAAAAGCATTTTAAATTTTTAACGCAATATACTTGCTAACCTAAAAATTCATAGAGTAAAAGACCAAATTGCGACCACTTACTAAATTATTCTCGCTGGTTTTATTTAAAATAACGTGTAAACTTTATAAACTTACATGCAAAAGTTTAGTACATATATAATTAAAATAATACATTAAAAATACATTTAAAAATAATTTTAAAAAAAATCTGGACAAAACAAGTAAATTTGAGATAAATAATTTTGAATTATTTATTGAAAAATTTGGAAATGTATAAAAAAATTTATTTTATTTTAGTTATTTCAACACTAATATATTATCTTTGAAAATTTTGCAACAAAACTGATACCACGGGAATAGATGAATTAAGATCCGCAATAGAGGCAACACGAACCGTGTGCCATAAATGTTAACAGGAGAGCGATAATTCTTGCCGAAGAAACACCAGAGAGTCGCGAGTAATTTTCTACGGGTCATAAATTTCCTAACACGGATAGTTTACTGGCCGTGACTAAATTCACCTGTAATCCCCAAAAGTCCAAAGAAGAACAAATAAGAAATGAGAGCACAACATTAAACTTGAAAAGGCATGTAGGAGAAAAAGAGAGAGAGGATGATAAAGCAAATGTCTCATGTCGAGCTAATAATAATGGACAGAGTTGATTGATTCAATGAGTACCACTGTTCTCGGTTAATTATCGTGACTCTTGTTATCCCATTATCGTCGTTAGATAGTATCGGAAGGGAGGAACAGCTCCTTTGCGGGTTGCCGACCGTCGGTTTGCAGGATGCACGCGTAGCGGCGGCCGTGCATTCGCTATCTTACTACTTGGAAGCTGTGAAACTCATCCTGCCCGAATAATCGCCGTTTCGGACGATTACGTAAATGAGAAACGATGATGAGGACATTACGCGCGTATACGCGTTACGAAACGCGCCAATTTTGGCTGACATTGTTTAAATTTGTGGTTCCCGCCAAACATAATCATTGTAAATTATTCACGCTTAACAATCTGAATTCTTTTTTTTTTTTTTCATGAAATCGAGTAATTAAGATAAAAAATATAACGAAATAACGTCTAATAATAGAAACAAGGAATCTATAGAAAATTTTAAATAATATATAATAAGTATTATAATGTCAAAAATCGTAATTAATTTCTGAAAAATTTAATAAATATTAATAAATATTAGAAAATTTAAGTATAATAAGTTTTTTAAAAAAAATTGTGAGAATTTAAAAAAAATTTTTTTTCATGAAAGTTAAAGAAGATTAAACGCGCAAATGCGTTCGTGCTTCGAATACGATAGTCATTCGTGCAATTATCGGTTCGCTATTACGAGAAGCATTCGCGATAAATATCGAGTACCCTCAGCCGTGCCTCGCATCGATGAAGCGAGTTGAAACTTCCGGAACGATCACTCTAAGAATGATGAAAATGTTTTGCGGATTCGACCGTTAGAAAAAAAACTTTAAAAGCTCGGCGTATTCAATTCTTCCAATTTAAAAGCGCGTGAACGAATTCAATCAAAACTCGTTATTATAGTCGTCGATGAACACAGCGGTTAAACTTATCAGCTAAGAACGCGGTCGTTTCGAAAATTTATCCGAACCACGAGGTAAGAGCGCCACGTGACCACAAATGATCAATCACATATATCGCAATTTAAAAGTCACTTATATTATTTTCTTGATGCACAGATTCTCAGAGATTAATTATCAAAAAAATATTTTTACCAAAGAAATTTCTGTTCGTTTATTCCATTCGTGACATTTATCTTCGTATTATCACCGTGAATGAAACTTAAAGAAAAAAAACCACAATCACTGAACACTGATACTATCCCGGATGGATCGATTCGTCAACGAATATCCTCGATCGAGTGTGTCTCGCCGTGAAAGCGAACGTTAACACGACCGCGACTCTCCGACAAGAAAGAACGAAAAAAAGTACAAGCGCGGAACGTAAGTCGAAAGCCAACGAGTACCGTCGCCTCGGTACATCGCGAGGAAGAACGCGAGCAATGGAGGGAGGGAAGAATTAATCGAGAGAAGAGCGAAAAGGAATCGGGAAGGGAAAGAAAAGAGTGGGAAGAGGAGGGAAGAGAAGGGACGAGGCGGCGCGGCGTCAACGATGCCTCTGTGCCGACTGACTGTGACTCGTTCGCGTAATGTACGTAGAGCGAGTGAAACAGAAGGTGGGGGTTAGAAGGCGAAAGAAAGAGCAAGAGACGGGTCAGGAATAACGAACAGAGAATGGATTCGAAGTAATCGCGAATGCGAGGAGACTCGCGCGACGACCGACACGCTTCGTTTCGTTCTCCGGCAAACTGATCGCTCGGGCTTCTGTCCAACGCGGACCATGGTAATACCGATAACGAGTTAACAGGTATATACGCATATATTTACTTATGACACATCGCCGTATCAGTGGTCCGCTTCTCAGTGATTCTCAACGCGTTTCGATATTTGCCGCATCGAGTACGATATTATCTTAATATATATCCATGAATTTAACTGATTATATCACGATAATATAATTGCTATTGAATTATCGGGTGATGAAAAATTATTTTATAAGATTCTTTTAATCAGATTATTGACGATTTTACGATTAAAATATAACTATATTTGAATTAATTTTAAGTTAAATAGATAACTCATTGCTTTTTACAATTATTATCGCGTGAAGTGTCAAATGGCGTTAGAAACCTAGCTTTCTGAATATATCGTTCGGCAGCGTTCGGCAGCGTTCGGCACTTTTCGGAATGTACCTTTTTCGCACTTGCGACTTTACTTGTTGACTTTAACGTTTAATCAGATTTACGTTATCGAAAATTATCGATATGCACAATGATAACCATCGCCCTTGATAATGTACGAAGAGGGAAGGTGCATCGAGTCCCTGATCGCTTTCTATGACAGCATTTTCTTTTTTATTACGATCGTCTCGAATTCTCTTGACATAATCACCTTTCGCGAATAAAACAAGTTTTCTCCCGACCTCGACACGGATATACGTGCCATCGTCTCGAATGTACGCTCTTGGATACAAGGCTTACAATCAATACCGTCAATACGATCAAAAACCGTCTATCTCGTTTCGAACATTTTGTTCGCCGATTTTTGTCTTGTCCAAGCATTCATTGAACCGCTCGGCCGAAATATAATTTGTTCAACAAGCAAAACGAAGGGAAACCATATCGCGATTTAACTGCAAGATAAACGACTGCTTGTGCAATGAACGCGAACAACGCATAAATCGACATCGTGACGTGTCATTTTATCGTTTCGATCAAGTTTTCGCGAAATTGAGATCAGCAATAGTAGAAAGTAATCGTAACTGTAGTCACGCCTGCCGGTTATTATCGATAAGAAACAGCAAAACCTTCTTATCTTCATTCAGTTCTTCGAAAAGTAATGTGCAATTCTTCTGTTCGAAAACTTCAACAATATGATTGAAAATTATATAACTTAATTATGATTCTAATTTTTTGATAAGAATTAATTTTTTTATTTTGATATTAAAATTATATTAAATTTAATTTAACTTAACCTAACCTAACACGTTACGCTCTAATTGTTTAAAAAATTTTAAATATTTATATAAAGTATCTAGACTTTCTTCTTTAATATAAAATATAAATAAACTATAATATAAAATTTAAGAATTATTTTTTTACAAAATTTAATAAAATCAAAAGTTGAATAATTAAAATAAAAAATTTTGAGTATTGATTATCATCTTTCTTTGTCAATCCAAACGTTTTTCGAAAGCGAGAAAACATTCTTGACTCTTGATTAACGGTTCTGAGCTTGATCGTCTAGACGAACATCGTTCCTTCGATACTTCGTTAATATTTATAGGGTTAAACCGTGCAATTACGCGAGGAAACGTTGTGCACTGCATAATGCGCGTACGCAACACGCTCCTACGCTTGAGACGTGCACATTCTCGTGCATTCTACCTACGAGACTTCCTTCTTCTCGATACTTAGAAATGATATCGAATCTCTTGGCTTCGAGTTTGAATAATTAAGTGCGACAACAAATTTTTAAAATTCATTAAAGTGCCATGGAAATTCAATAGAGGTGGAAAGAAACCACAAGGGCAAGAAGAATATATATTTGTTCAAGGTGGGATTTTCTCTGGTATCAAGCCATGTGCAACCATGTGCATCAAATTTTCTAATGTAAGCGTGAACACATGTGTTTAGACATCCATTATCCTTTACACTAGATGCAAGTCACTATATTATTATACCACAAGATTCTACCTACACAAAATTGTATCCAAAGAGATGCAACAATTTAAGTTTCTATAAATGATTTAAGAAAATTCTCTGTATATTTTTCTATATTATATATAGTTTCTATAATTTTTTTATTACTATCATATGTACAAAGTGAATCTCCTAACGTTGGCTTGAAAAAAATATTTCAATAATATTTCAAAAATAAAAATGATGAGAAAAATAAAATCATTTAATTTTCATACATTAAAGATAAATAAAACAATATGTATAATAACAAGTTATATATATTCCTTTACTTTTTATTATATAAAATAATTTTTTAGATAACAAGTAATTCACTAATTGAAACAAAATAAATCACAATGAAATTAACAAAATTTTATATTTTTCTTAAAAGAAAGAAGAGATAAAAAAAATGTATACGTATAATGTGAGAATTTATTCATCACCATCACTAATCTATTTTATCCTGAGATTTATAGTATATGTATTGTGATATAATACATTTTTTAAATACATTTTTTTAAATAAATTAGAAATAATAGATCAAATGCGTTCTTTTCAAGGAAAAACCCACCTTTTTTCCTATTTTCGCACAATATCAATGTTAGAGAAAAATGCGCAGGTATTTTTTCCTTCAATAAGAAAGAATACCCTGTAAGAAAGAATACCACAATAGGAAAAATCTGCCATACAATTTTGGGGCAGTTTCAGTCCCACGAGATTTGACCTGAACCCACATCTTCAACGACCATCTGCTCCTGGATCACATACTTCATATATATTTTTCTCAGAGCACGAAGCTCTGTGCAACAGACCGACCATACCTAACCTCTTGATCTCAGGAAGCCAAAACGTAGCTGCCTCTTGTAGCAAAGAGAAACCAGGAGTCTCGAATATAAACACAACGGTCGAAGACACGTTATAACTGCCGCGATACGAAACGAGAACGACGACGATGACTACGACGGATTTAAGCCTCGATACTTGAATCAGTTCTCCCTCTCTATTTTTCTCTCTCTTTTTCTTTTTCTCTTCCTGTACGTCGTTTATCCATCTCCCTTCTATGAATGAATTCGAGAACGTAAAACAAAGTTCGTCTCGTCTCGCCGCGCATCCGCCTATTTTCGGTTCAGACGCGCGCCCTTCGACTTTCGTTAGGGGAGAAAATTATTTCGGTCGAGGCGAGCTCTTTCCTCCGAGAGAGAACCGCCTCTCATCCTGTTTTATTTCATATTGAACGATTAACGCCAGGGACAAATGCGACCAATCGTCCTTCGATCGTTTCTCTTTCCCTTGAATTGAGAGAAAAAAAACGATCGAAAAAAATATTTCGAGAGAGAAACGAACCGAGCACGAATGGCGAATAAGTAGTCGGTGGCTGGAGGTTGCCGTGGGTCAGCGAGATTGCTGCATTCGTGCACGAGAAACGAAAAATTATTGCATATATCTTGCATATGTATGTATATAATACACCTATACACATTGCACCGAGCGTATATATACGAGAAACTGGATGCTGACAGCTGGAAACTGGTTTCTAGAGAAGGCTCGTATTCGAATAGCTTGCGAGAATGAGACGAAGCAGCAACAGCGTTAGGAAGAGTGGGAGATGGAGGAAGAGAGAAAGAGATGAATAGGTAAGAGAGAAGGAGAAAAAGAACGGAGAAATGGACGTAGTACAGCGTCCATCGTATACGGAGTACAGAGGTATCAGACCAGGAAACAAAGGAACGACCTGGCAGAGAGCGGAACAAGCGATATAGACACGGGTCAAGTATTCACGAAGTTCAACGAAACACTGTTCTTTTATAGATTGAGAAAATTTAAACGAATGAAATATCTTTCCACGAAACAAGCATGGTCGCAAATTCCTTCGAACGATAGGAGAACCACCGATAATCGCGATAAATAATGATCAAGGCGAAGAGGCAGGGCTCCTTTCGATCGAGCGTGCACGCACGATCGCACTTATTCTATGCAGCCATTGTGTTCCCTTCTCTCGAAAGAAGCAGCGAGATTCGTCATGAATACGAACAACCTGCCGTATTCTCAAACATTCTTTCGTATCTAAATACCTGCGTGAGCGTGTGTATAGATATCGGCAAATAGTCGATAACGAGATAAATTTTTCAATCGAAATATTGACGTAATTATCGAATATTTTAATTGTGAAATAACGATCGTTTATGATTCAAGATTTAATAGATTTAAAGTTCCGCGCCAATATAGATCGAATTATCGTAAAAATATTCGTGAATTTTTCATTATCGAATCACTAATAAATTTATGATTTTTGTCTTATATCAATCTTATGTTATTTTACTCACCATGATGTATAAATAAATTATACTTTTTTTAGTAGAAACTTTAGTAAGAAACTTCGCTGAACATTCAAGGATCCACTGATGAAAAAAAAACACGCGACACTGATAATTTTTTCTTTGAAAAGAGTTCTTACAAGTAATAATATGCACCGTTATCGAAAGAAAAATTCAATAATTTATTGTAATTGAGGTACTGTAGAAAAAGGAAAAAAAACGTAGAAAATAAAAAATCACGATAGTACACCGGTAAGAGCACGCCGGGCCCGGAGCGAACGTCAGGCCGACGGCGATGCAACAAGTGACAGACAAGCTCTTCGACTCTTTTAGTTCGTGCTTCGACTACTTTACCGGATGGCGCTAGTGCTCGGCAGAAGCCGAATACAAACTTTACGATTCGCCTTTTGCCGCCATTCCCCTCGCCTTTTGTCAAATTCTTTTCAACGAATTCTTTTCAACAAAACCTAAATACGTTTCCTGGAATTCTTTTCAAATCTGAATTCTTTCAATCCCTGTTCGAATTTTCTTTCAAATAAGAAATATTTTAAACTGCTCCCATAAATTCGATATTTGAAAATATATTTTTTGTTATAAAGTAATAATATCAAAAAAAATAAAATTTTTAAAAATATGTTAACAATAAATCAACATGAAAATATATGTTTATTTAATCGATTTTATAAAGATGGTAAATCGTAAATCCTTGGATCGTAAAATCCTTTTGAACGCTGCTAAATATTGCCGAGAGGTGACAGCACAAGTTTTACCAATCGTATGAGTCGTATGTTTCGTTAGTATATACGTAGGAAAACATATTTATAGAAAATTTCTTTTTGAATTCATATTTTCATCAATTAAAGAAATTTATAATAGTTTCATTTTCAAGAAGCATAACAATAATTGGATAAAAATTGATAAAAGTGAATAATCTCAACAAATAATCGATTCTTATTTCTATTATAGTTTTTTTTTGAATTCGTATTGTATGTACATAGTAGCTAACAATAGTTTCCGAGAGAAAGATAGCTCGAGGTGGTAACGAATCGCGGCTAAGACATGAAACGTGCAATTGTCTTGTTGCAATATACCTCTTGACATTTACACACACGGAAGATCCTGAATATCTTTCCAAGCGCGACGACTTCGAGAGAAGTTCGAATAGCGACCTGCCTGGAATTGATTTTATCAATAAACAAACTGATTCGCAAATTAAAGCGAATGAAGGCCAATACGAGGTTAACTTTCCTTGATCACTATTTTTATTAAAGAATATCTAACAATAAATGAGGAAATATTTAACAAATGGGAGATATTTCGACGATTGATTCGATAATTGACTCAATGTTTAAAAACAATTAAAAATTTTCTCTTTACAAGGTACAGTGAATTTTATTTTCTTTCTCATTTCATTTTTACAATTATGTATCTCTATGTTTAAAAAATAATTACACTACATTTTAATGTTTACATTGTATTGCTATGTTATTCGTATTAGCATACTTATACTTCTGAAATTTATAGAAATGTATTTTTATTATATTCAATTGAATGTAAATACAATGAAATATAATGAAGTTTAATGAAGTTCAAGTATTCTAAAAGTCTAACGATGTGTTATAAGATGTGAGATAACCTTACTTTTTTAACCTTTTATTTTTTATATTTGTGTAGCTTCATAACAATTCAATGAATGAAATAATGATATTTTATTTAAATAGCATGAAAAAATTTTATATAGATTCAAAAAATATTAACAATAATTATTTATAAGAGGCAATTTTAAATTAAAACTTGAAGTTCATCGTAAAATAAATATCTCTGCTATCTGAATAAAAATATACGATATAAATCTCATATGTTTCATAAATAAGATAAGATAGAAAATATATTTATCATATCAAGTTTTTTTACTATTTTTTAGATCATAAATCATTTTCTAAAATATTTCTCATATTTATGGAACACCTTGTATGTATTTCGTTCATGACTCGAAGTATTTGCGCGTGTCGTATGCGCATAGATCACAAGAGTTGCACAAGATATCGATACTTTTTCTTTCGAAGCTGAATGGAGCACGAAACTTTATTCTCTGATCTTTGCCATTCTGTCATGGCCAAATTAATCTGTGAAAAAAAATGGGTTTTATCGAGACTTGGAATAAAGCAAAAAGTTAAGAAATGTCGAGAAAACAAAACAAGCCTGTCGAGTTTTCACGTTAATAATTTTTCTGTCAGCCAGCTTTAGTGTCTTAGGACGACATCGTGGAATTTCAAGGATAATCATCCTGTCTAGCCAACAAGACTATCGAGATTACTTTTCTCTTGGAAATTTATAACCTCTCTCATGCAATTCTCTCGAATAAGTTTCCGTTGATTCTATACAATTTCTCGAAACACAGTTATCTATCAATTCTTTCCTAGATTTTAGCATCAAACATTTCCCTCTATTTAAAATAATAAAATACAACTAATTCACTTTTTCAGCAAATATTTTTTGGTTAAATCAATCAGAAATTCTTGTGTAAACGAAAAAGCAAATGAAAGGAAGAGAGGAAATAAAGGATACAGAGGAGGATATCAGCAGGGTATCTGGCATTCTTGCCTCTGGACAAGTACCAGGTCTGCATCGTGTTCACTTTCACTGGTTGCGCGCTCTATCTAACTATAAAACACGTCCTAAGCAGAGCGATTCGTTCGTTTCGGGGGACGATCGACTCACGATCCGTTCAGTTGTCTCTGTGTTACCGATCGGTATTTCGAATTCTCTCGGCCGCGACACGGAAAATTACTCTTTCCTAGAAAAAATTAAATGGAGAGACGCATGGACAAAAAAAAAGGAACACGAATGTTCAACCTTGCTCGCTTCACGCGTTATATCAAGGATATCCGGACCCAAGCCAGTGTCCATTATTTTATTTGATCAGAAAGAGAAACGGAGTCGTTTCTTTCGACACATCGTCGTGAAAGGGTAAAATGAAATTATCCAGGGATTCAAGGAGATATTCGGTGATTCGAAATTCCATGAATTCGAACAATCAGCATGGATATCGCGCTGTTTTACGTGGTATCGAGAAGGATATATCACATGCACGATAGGTGGATGGGTTCGGCACGGGTGGTTGCTGGCAGAGTGAGAGTGAGAGAGTCATATATATATAGAGAGAAGGGGAAACCCGACTCGGCACTCCAAAGTACACAGCCTCCGCGTTTGCAGTGGTGTGCTTTCGGTTCCCTCTACACACGATATTCATTCTTCGCGGCTTCGCGCCCGTGGTAACAGTCGGCCATCCACGTTTCCACGTTGCACGAGGGCAGCTTCCGGAATCAATCTTTTCGTCAATCGACACGGCCACTCGAACCAGCTACAACCATGAAGCTCGCTATATTCGCGTAAGTATTTTTTCACCGTGATCTTCTTAATCGTGACGATGATCGTTTTGTAAAATTTGTTTTTTTTTTTTTTTTTTTTTTGTATAAAAGAAAAAAATCGTTTTTTTTTTATTTGATTTGTATAAGAATTTAAGTTTTTTTTTTTCGATTTGTGAGTGTATGTACGAATTGACTAGAATTTAGTCGGTTGAATATATAATTGCTATTCGCTATTTCGAGTTTGAATCAAGGCCGATCGGAACCTCGTATACTCGAACGAAAGGTGTACTTGTTCTGGCTATCTTGTGGTATTCGGTATCTGTCGCAAGTGATCATTGCGCGTTTAAGTCGACCGACTCTAACAGGCTCGCGTGAATTTCTATTAACCCTAACCAGCTTCATGAGTATATTACTCGAAACAAGTATATGAGTTAGGTAACAGCGCACAAAGAGATAATTATCTGTATTGAAAAATGTTGTTCGAAAACATTTTAACTTACTTTTTTTTTTTATTAATTTACATCATATCACACGAAATATAATATTCAAACGTGAATTTAATTAATTCTTACAGTATAGTATAAATCGACCAAATAAAAAATGACGTTACATGAAAATTCCAAATTCTATATAGTATAATTAATAAATGATTTCAAATATATAATAATGATTTCAAATACCAATGTAAATAATTTTTTGACCAATTTTTCGACATAAGTATCCTGTTAGGCAAACGAGCATTGAACGCACGGAGAAAAGCACGTTATGCAAACATTGTCAAGAGAAGTATTGGATCCTGTTTCCAACCAGGAAATCGAATAGAAATTTCATCGTTACGATTAAAATGAAACGCGGTTTCATTGATATCCAGCGTGTTACGAGGAAAAACTAAGTATCAGTGAAAACTAAGTATCGCACGACGGCCAACATTCCTTACGCAACGATTTTTTGAAAGCCACTGAAACTTCGATTCCTTTTCTCAACCGTAATTTCTCTCTCCGCACGTGACGAAAGAAACAAGTGAACGAGAAAAATACATATATACGTACATAATTCATATTTAAAAAAAAAAAAAAAAAAAAAAAAAGAAATGGATATTTTCTATATAAGCAAACCGCGAAAACGAACAACCGTAACGTAAGTGTCATAATCGCGATTGCGGTTGCCAGACCGAGAAATTGAATTGCATCAAATCGCGAGAAGATCTAATAACTTTTGACCGTGGAATCGTTTTATTCCCTTAACCCACTGCCTTAACACGTAACATCGAGTCATGCCCTCGATCATACTCGGATAATCATTGATAATTGCAAATAATAATTACCATTCCAGCTGGAGGAGGATCTCCGTTTTTTTTTTTTTTTTTTTTATACTATAAAAGTATACTTGTTTCTATTCGACATTATGATTTCCAAGATAGAAGATACATTATGCGTTGCAAATTGCAATCGCGTATTTGAATATATTCATACTGTCGGTGTAATAAACTACCATACACATGCGAGTAAGTGAAACTTTCGTTCGTTCATTCTCCTTTTCTTGATTATATCTCGTTTCCTATAATTAGTATTATATACGATCAAGAGGATAAATAATAATTTTTACAACGCATTTTTCTTCTTCTTTTTTTTAGATTTTTCTTCCGAATCAAAAAGTGAGGAAGAATTCGCATACTTTCGTGACACGTATGTAAATGTAGTAACTTTAAAAACGATTTTATCGCTTGTTTAAAAAAAGGGGGAGGGGGGAAAAAAAAAATAACGCGTTTAAACAAATTTAACATAGAATGATTCTTTCCATTTAATTTTTTTCAGAAGAGAATAATTCACGCCTCTAACAAACGTCTATCTCTAGTACTCAACGAGGCGAGAGGGGTAAGATTAATTGCCCCCTCCTTCCCCTCCCCTCCCCTCCCCTCCCCTCGTTTTAAAATTCCACGCGTCGAGAGGCGGCGCATCGAGAGATTGCGAAAACATTCGAAAATAGAGAGCAACACTTTTCTCGTCTCACTCATTTTTTTCGGTGAACGGTCCCGGGCTAAGAGTGCCTCGGCTAGTTTTCGTGACATTTGTGAGCCGTATCACGTATTCCTCGGTATACTCGAGGGGTACGCTTCGTCAATCGGCCAATCCAGAGAGTTAGCCTGGCTTGCACGAGCCAAGCAGAGAAAGTGAGTTTCGTACGTGAATGTCACAGGTCAGAATCCAACGGTGGTGTACATGCGCGGATCTACAACGACAAACGCGCGCGGCCGCGGTGTATGTCGGTGCCTCCGGTTGCACGCCGGTTTTGTCCACCGATACCCACGTAACGATCACGAGATTGCCCCCTCCGGAGAGGACGAGCAGCAAATTTCTTGGCTTCTATTTTTCGATCCTTGGCGAAAGTTGACGAGACTTTTTAACTTTTGAACGCGCTCGCCCGCGCTCTATTTCTTTCTTTTTCTCCTCTCTCCCTCCCCTCTCTCTCTCTCTCTCGCGCGCGTAATCCCTCATCGTAAACTCGAGAAGATTTGATTGATTTTATGAAAAATGAAAAGAGTGCTGTTTGTAAGGATATGATAAGGATGGTGAGAATATATATATATATATGAAAAAATAGGAAAGATTAGAAGATAGAAAAAGTAGAAGTATGTAAGAATTATTGTATAGATTCAGAAATTTTGCTCCTCTTTTTATTCGAGAAATTATTAAATTACGGGATGATCGAATTTTCCAGAGAAATGGAATTTTCTGCTACGTTATAGAGTGGAGTATTAGCGGGTAAAAAAAAGATGATAAAAATCGAGATTCTGAACGTGGAATATCTGACGGGAAGTAAATTGCTCGCGAGCAATGGGCGTCAGATGCTGTCACGGAATTTCTCGCCGATCAAGATACCCCGCTCTATTGCCTCTGCAGCGTATATATTCGCGTATATTAGCTTCGTTTCGCCATATGCTCGAACCGACTTCAATATTTTCTGCCTGTCGAAGCTCGAGAAATCATCGATTCCCTCTTACTATGGGACTAATAACCAGCCAAAGTTGGTAAAGAATATTATTATTATTATTATTACTTAAAGTCGCTCTCAAAAATATTAAATTTACGATTATTTAATTTCTTTTAATTTCTCAAATTAAACATTTTCCTTATTTTATTTATTATCATAATCACGTAAATTCATTTGCAGAACGCGTAAAGCATCCTTGTTTGCTTGTTTGTTGAAACTAGCGTTATAAAATATATATCTTCGAGAGCAATTGTAACTGCATCGAGGAAAATTGGAGTTTCGATTCGAGGAAGAGCAAGTCGATCGTTAACTTCCTGTTGTTGTCGATTACTCGCTCTATTGACGTTCTCCCAGGACGAAAAGAGTTTCTTAGAGATCCTAAGCGTGTATCGATACTTTACCTTTCACTATCGCTCGACATCTTCGCTTTTCGACCTCGCAGGACTCCCCGCATTTCCTGCCACGGTGCGGAATGTTAATTAATTAACCACACAACATCAATCAAACGTTCCGTTACACGGAGAGAATCCATCATGACGATCATGTTATTATTGTAACCCCCCTTTCTACAATTACTGGTAATAAAACTGTGTGATTTATATATATATATATATATATAGATAATACCGTACTTATTGTGTTTGTACGAGAGAATGGTCGAGAGAGAAAGCAAAGGAACGTGAATTCGATTGCAATAGATCCAACAGTTTAAATAAAAATAACCGTTTGTTGAAAAAAAAAAAATCTCACGTTTATAAATAAAATTGCATATTGTGATATATGAATAAGCTCCATACTTCATTACAAGGAAAAAAAAAAAAAAAAAAATATTTAACGAGTAAAGAAAATACTTTCTTTGTCTTTGTGTTATCCCAAGCTAATTAACTTTTCACTTTTGTATCATAAATGTGTATATCACGATAGAAAATAAAATTTTTGTATCGGCCATCTGGCGATTTACAAAGAGATTGAAAACCATTACTCTACTCTCACTTATCAAATATTTGTATTTCTCCATTTAATGTTCTCTCCTTTCTCCTCTTTAATAGAATCTTTTCTCCAAGATAAATAATTAAAAGTGTGCGTCCATCGACGTTTTACAGATTCATAGCGATGAGCTGTCTGATAGCCGTGGTCAGGTCGGCAGAGGAGGAATACGATTACGAGGAGGAGCCAGCAGCCCCGGTCACTCCAGCCCCCCCGGCCAGATCCGGTTCCGGTAGATTGGGGGGACTGTTGTCTTCCCGAGGTCGGGTGGGCGTCGGAAGGAAATCAGCTGCGCCAGCCGTGAGTTCCAACCTCCCTTAAATTCGATCGTTCCCAAGTAAGCTCGTCGTCGGATTAAGTCCTTAAGTTAATCCTCTCCTCTCGCAAGGCTCAGTCGACCACGGCGAAGGCGATCGAGCAACCGGCCGTGGAAGCGGAGGAGGAGGAGGAGGAGGAGCTCGAGGATAACCAAGAGCAAGAAGAGGCGCCGACCACGACCACCGAATCTTCCAAGAAAGTTCGAGGTGGAGTCAGACCTTTCAGGTAATTGCGTTGCATTTCTTTCGTTGCCTCGATTCTTATTGATCGCCAATATGATTCGTTCAAAACGTTACGATTTAAGGTCGAATCAAGATTTGTTGGACGCGTTGAAGAGAAGAAGAGCTCAAGCGGGACCCACCACCTCTCATCGGGATACCTCTGCAACCCAAACTGCCACCGAATCGACGACACCTAAATCCAAGTAACGAATTCCATCTTCTTTCCTTTTTTCTTTTTTTTTTTTTAGTAGATTTAAATATTTTTTTTTAAACGAATTCATCTTCTTTTCTTTTTTCTTTTTTTTTAGTAGATTTAAATATTTTTTTTTAAACGAATTCCATCTTCTTTCCTTTTTTCTTTTTTTTTTTTTAGTAGATTTAAATATTTCCATCTTCTTTCCTTTTTTCTTTTTTTTTTTTTAGTAGATTTAAATATTTTTTTTTAAACAAATTCCATCTTTCTTTCTTTTTTCTTTTTTTTTTAGTAGATTTAAATATTTTTTTTTAAACGAATTCCATCTTCCTTCCTTTTTTTTTTTTTTTAGTAGATTTAAATATTTTCTTTGAAACATTAGTATGAACGATATTTTATTTTGTTCGTTTAATGTTCATATTTTTAGAAATAAGGAATGAATATGAATTTAATTCTCATCGATATTTCAATGTCGATAAAAATATGTTCTATTTCAGAGCGACCACGCACAGCCGCAACAAAAGTAACGGCGCCACAAGCGAGACGAAATCGACGGGGCGCGGCAGGTTTGGAGGGACGAGGGGAAGCAAACCTTTACAAGAGGAGGTGGAGGAGACTCAGCGAGAAGAGGTTCAAGTGAAACCGAAACCGTATCGCAGAGGTTAAATCGAATCGCTGGGAAGATCGCGGATTTTCCAGCTTTGTTCGACTAACGCGGGATGAATTAAATTTAAAATTAAAATCCAATCACAGCGATCGACCACGTTCTCTCGTCGAAAACTCGATGAAAATTTACTTTTAGACGTATACAATACTTGCGAGTTTCAAAATTCATTCTCTCTCTCTCTCTTCTCTCTTTTTTCTCTCTTTCTTCCTCTCTCTCTCTCTCTCTCTTGTATATCGAATCTCCTAGCGTTTAAAAAGAAAAAAAATTGAAACATGACGAAAAGAGTGTGACAAATGCGTGGACAAACCTGTAACTATCAGTTTTGTAATATCTATGTTTGCGCATTAATGGAGAAAGTACATTCGAAATGACATGTATATATATATAGAAGAAGGCTGCCATTCACCGAATACTCAAGGTACTTACTGTATAAATGTAAATTAATACAATAAAAATTCTAAAAAACACGCACACAATAGTTTAAAAAAAGATAAAAAAGGAAAAAAAAAAAAAAAGTACGCACACAAATAGCGAGAATAGAATATATTCCACTAACGGGAAAAATAAGAATTTTCGAGATCTTGCTCGTGGGTGTATCCCTGATAGCTAAAGGCTTTTAACCTTGACGAATCTACGAGTATCGTTCGCGACGATCTTTATCTCTGTAAGTGACTTTTCTTCGTCTTATTTACATACGCACGATTGTGTGGGATGTATGCAGGAGAAATTCCAACGGGCATGTTTGGAATGTCGAGGGCGTGCTCCATCTGCACTCTCGCACTTCTCATCTTTTATACATCTCGCGCTTTAACGCGTGTACACACCACTCCTAAGAAAAAAAGAACACTTCGAAACATCCCCATCATCCCTACAAACTTACTGTTATATTCTCCTTTAATGCTTCCAATTCCCCCCCGTATTCTTCTTTTTTCTTTTCTTTTTTTTTTTTTTTTCTTTTTTTACCTGTAAAAAAAAGGAACGAAGGCGATTTTACCGATCATTTCGCCTCGTTCACAAAGAGAACGAGGAATGGGAGAGAAGAATAGAATATGCAGGTTGAATAGGGGATATGAAAGAAGGGGAGGAAGAGAGGAGAGGGCGAAAGGCGGACTCGACGAGGCCCTCTCCTGCATAGAGAGGTATACACGAAAGTGAGAGGCGGTATCTCGTCGGCCTTGAGGCCTTCGCGAGAAGCATTTCACTCGCAAAGACCATCCGTGTCGCGTCACCACCGGCCTGATAACAGGAGGAGGACGATTCAGGAGAGGCGAACGCGAGAAATCGAGAAAGGTAGACGAGATGATCGAGGAAATTAATTTTTTCCCCTTTCGACCAAACAGGTTATTGCTTTTTGTTCATTTTACGACTGTACGTACGATTATGCGAAGAGTAATAATACTAGCAATCGAATCGATGGCATTTAATTAAGAATCGGTGAATGATAGATGTCTTTATTCACCGGTAATCCTTGACAGGGTCTACATTCCGCAGTGAATTTCCCGTTTCACTCGACCTCTGTCACGGCACACGACCGCTGTAGGCAAATGACGATCGATTCGATTATCACAATGTTTTCCAGTGTTTTTCTTTTTTCTTTCTTTTTTTTTAGGAATATTTTCTTAATAAAGAGATTTTCTTTAATAATAAGATATAAATAGATATATTTTATTCCTGGACTTCCTAATTGTGCGTACAGGATGAAAATATTATTGAAGTTTATTAAAAATCTGTAATCACAACGAACTTTTAATATTTTTTTCAATCCGTCACAACGTAAATCATTTCTATTTATTTTAAAATTTTCTATAATTATAAATCATTGATGTAAAGTATATGAAACTGGTGACCTCTCGAAAATCCTAAATTCATCACATCTAACAAACAAAGATGATGATTTGATGATTTTTCACTACTATTAATATATATATATATATATATATATTTCAATCGACATATTATAAGATTGGATACATTACACGTTTATGTTACGTGACCCTACGTGAGCCTACATCGCGCATTGCAAGTGACTTTTAAAAGTGCATCTCGCGTTGGATGTGTTCGTGATTCGTGGCCGGAGACGACCAGTTCTACGTTGACCTTTCGATAATGTCGTCGAAGTCACCGGCACAGTGGCGGCAGATGCAACGGTAATAACGATCGTGCGTTTCATCTGTCTACGTGGCGTCTTCTCCACCAGCCTGTTTTAGATTCGTGTAGACGAGCAAAACGACACCGTTTCGATATTGTGATGATAATTTTTCGCTTTTCTAAGAGGATTACAAGATCCGTTACATCGTTATGAATAGAGATGAAGTGTGTAAGTAGGTTAGGATATAAACAAAATTTTTTACAGATATTTGGAAAGAGGGAATTGTGGTTTTAATTTTTTTCAAGACTGGTATAATGATACAGAGGTAATTTTTTTTATGGATTGCTCGGTTATTTTTGTAATATTCTATTTTAAAAATTGCGATAAGAATAGAATAATTTATAAGTAAATTCATTTTTTTAAAATTAAATGATTTCTTTGAACAATTTTTAAATAAATTGCTAGTTTCTTGTAAATTCTAATGATATCCAATTTTGAAAATTATAAAAATAAAAATAAGATCAATATCCAATAATTTTATTACATTCTTTTCGAGATTGGTATAATATTCAAACAATTTAAAGAAAAATAAATAAAAGAAATTTCTACGATATATTCAATTATAGGACATTGTATAATGTAAACACGACTTCAATATTAATATGCAATTCTTGATCAATTTACTCTTTGCGTTTTTGTTGTTTTTCTCGAAATGACGATAGCTTATCAATCTTAAGTCCCGTTAGAATACGACGTCAATGACGATCGAAAGTAAATAACCTATTGCCGGAAGGAAATTGCGTAACTATTTCTCCAGTATGCCCGAACGTTAGAAAGTTTCGAATATCTGGTATCGCGACTCGTTTCAAAAAGTTACCATTCAACTGCATCACTCGTGATACGATCAGATGTTTTGATTATTATAGCGACACTTTGTAATTCCGACAAGAATTTTGCCTTCTGTCATTGTTATTTTTATCATTTCTTACAATTGCATTATTCGACGCGAGAAGAGTTTTAGCGACAATCGTCAGTTTTTATATTTTTAGAAAAAAATATGAATTCCTTGGCCAACATTGACATACAAAACGTGTTGTAACTACGTGTCAGTTTACAATAATAGAATTTATAAAATATTTGCAGAAAAAAATGAATATAGAATTTAATTAAGTATTTTACTCAAAAAGATTTGCATCCAACGGTACAATTACGGAACTATTAAACTTTAAATGTTTTCTAGCATATAACAAAAAGTAATAATTGCAAAAAATGTAAAACAAGTTTCTATATTTTTAAACGCTCGTTAACGTCTCACGTTAATGCTAAATATAACATTTTGCTGGAAAAAAAAATTAATGAGAACACTTACTTTTATCTTAAACAAAACATGGCAAATATGAATAACAAAAATGTTAACTGCATCTTAAAATATCCTTTTCTTAAAATCTTAATGGTCAAAGTTTTTAAACTTTACGTTAATTCGAATAGGTTTTTAGAACACATCTATCTCTTTCATAATTGGTCAGCACAATAATCCACTCTATAAATAGGTTAGTTTGTGGTCTTGATGCAAGATACCACTACATACTGCAAAATGTTAGACACGATGTCTGTTATCTGGTGAATAACGCGAGTGGAGAGCATCAACAACGCTCTTGTGTCGCAAAACGGAAAGTTATTGCGAAACGAGGAAACGATTATAGAAATGCAACGCGGCAAAAGTGTATTATTTCTTATTATGTTGCGCAAAACTGTAACAGAACAGACTTGGTTGTGTGTCGTGAGTTCTATCGTCAAGCATTTCCCCAAGGAAATGTACGTCTGCATGATTCGCGCTGAGAATAAGTCGTAATTGTACTTCATTTAACTCGCGAGTTGTTGAGTTGAAAGGGACGTGTAATTGTGTTCATCCTTCTTCACCACGTAAACTGAAAATATTTTAAACGTGACAGTTTGTCTTGCGAGACACGATGGAAAAGTTGACGATATTGTTCGTTGCTTGCTAGCTTGTTTAGTTTCGCCTTCGTCCGCTGTTGATCATTACTCGAACAACTAGAGGTTTAGGTTAGGTTCGAAATGAATGCGTGATTTTTTTCAAATAGACAATAAAACGTTAATTAATCGTTAATTTGCATACGTGTTACATAAGATATATAATTTAAAAAATAACCGTAAAATTATGGAAGAGTAATTTCATCTTGTTATTTGAAAAGAAAGTTTGTTGCTAGGTGTAATTGAACATACAAACCAATGGCAAATTAATTATGTATTGTCTTCCTGGTTGTGTAACAAAATTTTTTAGTATTTAATAATTACTATAATTATAAAAGAAAATAATAATTGAGAATAATATACTGAAGTAAAAAAATAGTTCGTTATTACTTATAATTTTATTATTACTATATTACATGCCGTTAAATTCTTTCATAGAGAACAGAATTTGATGAACATGTAAAAATGTATGTTTAGAAATTTCCATTGCTATTCCATTCATATTATAAATTACCGTGTATTACAAATCCGAGTAATTAATTCGCAGAATTTATTATCGACATTAATCAAAATCTACCGTTATTACTTGGAAGTTGCGTGTCTGAGGTAAGTTTTTGCAGAAACTCATTAGTACATCGTGTTATCGTTGAAACTTGAGTGCGTAATATAAATTAGTTATTGTCGAGGTATTATAATTTTCAGGAATTTTTTAGTTTTACTTATTTCCAAACATCTTTTCTTATCTAATTCTAGAATGGCGAGTGGCAAGGATATGATCTTGTTTACGATTCCTACGAGCATTTTGTGTTTCTCGAGTAACGCGCGATAACAACGAGAATAAAACGAAACGTTGCTCAAATGGGGAGGAAGAGGAAAAGACTTTCTCCGAGTGAGAAGATCCTTATTCGCTTTCCCTGATGTATCTGTCCATGTTTCTGCAAAGGTTCGCTGTAAGGGCAACAATGTTGAGATACATAATCATTATTATATCTCTCTCTAAAACAAAAATATCTAAAACAAGAATATTTTCAAATTTTTATTTGAAAAAAATTACAAAAAAATCATAAGAAATCATACATTATAGTAAGTATATCGAAAATATTAAATAAATTTCGATATTTTTAACAATATTATTCTTATATAAATTTCATTTTTCGAAGAAAATGTAGAATCAAAAAAATAAAAGTATTTTATTACAAAAAATTACACTTTTTTAAAAATAATAGAATATCTAAAAAAAAATTTATTTTCTAACAGAGAAGATATCATTATCATTTATCATTTTCTATAGCATACGAGTACTTAAGTATTTCACATCGTTAAGATCGATATCATCGAACGATATGCGTCCTGCAACGCCTACCTGATGCTCCATTATGTATATCAATGTTAAGGTCGTCTCATCCCCAGTTGCCGCGTAACGAAACGTAATGGAAATTGGTGATCATCAACCCGCAATGTGGGTCAAGTTGATGTCCGGTTTCGTGAAACTGGAATACGAGCACCATGTCAAAGCTACATCGAAAAGTAGAATCATGCATCGGACACATGAAACACCTTTCTTTCCCTTTCAAAATATGAAGGAAATGATCGTGAAACACTCTCTAGCCCGACAGCAACGAGAAAACGAATATTTCTTGTTGTGTTTGGCGTGTCTTTCAACGCCAGAACAAATCAACACGTCAGGTTACATAACAACTATTCACCATATCGTGAAAAATATGCTCGATAGGTATATATGGAAGACTTTCACAGATGCTTTATCGCGGTGAACGGACAGGTTTGTATAGCCGATTTGAAAGAGGAGATTACCATTTGAGACGTTATCCGTTGCGATAAGATCGAGCGTATTTCGTATTTGAATTTACCGCCATTTTTAAATGACTTCACGAGTACGTCTGAGAGTTGAACAGATCGTTTTTTGAGATGAAATGGAATGAAAATCAAGAATGATGAAATTATATTTTATATTAGTTTTGATTTTCGATAGTTAAAAATTGACGAAAGTACCTCTGTGCGCGAGCAAGCCGCCATATTGGATTTGATTACTAACCTCTACAATATCCGAATCGGATCTCCGTTTTGTCACTTTCGAGAAAATTACAAAATAATGTTTAAAGAATTACAATAAAATATCGATTATACGAATTCTATCTGAATTTTATCCAATTATTCGAATATACGATAAATATATATTCAAATTAGTATATTTGAAAATGTTTATATTCTAGGAAACGCATTCTTGGAACAGTATTTAAAAACGATTAATTTCTTTTGCAATGCATTTTTCTTACGAGGTACGTATATTCTTTTTACGTCCATTATTAGAAAATTATTTAATTTCTAATTAATTTTACGTATTATCATTTTTACATGCAATTATTTACGTAACTCAATTTTTTTTTTTTTTCTTCAAGAAATTGAACGTTAAATCACGTATCCAAATAATAAAAATTAAGTCTTACAAAGAGTTAATCGGCTTCTGATTTAACCTTAAATCACGATTTGCCAATGATTTAGCCGATTTTGCTCGCCCAAAAATAAAGGAATAAAAGCATTCGGACCGGTCTACCGATACACGAAGGTAGGATCGATGACGATCGAAGGCACTTTCCATGAAATTCCTCGAGTCGCCTCCCGCCAGGTTTCATCATCGTACAACGAAAGAAATCGAAAACTATCCGCGTCGATGCATTCTTCCAGGTATCCAGATACACACGAGTATTTTTACACGGTCGAGAGGATATTCGAAAAGAGCGGTATTGTGCTCGAGAGCGAAAGTCATCGGTGATATTCACACGTGTCTTAGATTCCGGTTCTTGGCTGTCCTTAACATTGAACGGGCTGGTCGTGTCCGACCTTACGTCGGAGAGGATGTTTTGCAACTTCGAGATTTCACTTTGATACCCTGCATTCTTGCTGGCCACTGGAATCGTGTCCATCGCTTTAATCAGAGGAGATATCCTCTATAGAAATGGATTGATGATTAAAAAATGACGTTGCTTTCGTCGATAATATAATTGAGACACGATTGATTATGGAGAGAAAATGAAAAAAAATGTGAAGCTAATTTGAATACTGGATTTTGCATATTGCTTGCACGAAAGATATCATTTATTTAATTTATTTTATTTGGTAATTATTTTAATATCATCTTTATCTATATATATCTATATATATGTATATATATGTATATATAATATTATATATATATATCTATTCTCTATATATAATATAGAGAAGACATTAAAGTCTTCAATCAGACATGATATAAAATAGGAAAAAGTTATAATAAAGCAAATCAAATATGTTTATAAAATTTGATGCAAATATCAATAAATTCATTAAATAATTCCACGTTAAATTCAATATTATACAAATACTTTTCAATATATATATATATATTTTTCAGCCAAGGTGAAAAATCATCCAAAGATAGAACTCGAAAGTGTGAAAACCATGAAATAAGATTTATTCTCTTGACCAAACCATTTCGAAATTTGAACGAGAAATGATCTCGCCACCTTAATTCGTTCATTTTCTCGCACCGTGACCCGCGTTCCAATTTACCGGCAGAAAATGAATCGTGAAAGGGAAAGAGGATCGCCTAATTAAAATCACGGCAACGTGCACGCCTTCGTTTCCGTATCGTGGAAACACGAATTTAAGGAGGCGTAGATTCGATGACGCGATTGGAATAGAAAGCGGGCTGGGAGACAAGCCCGCGATACATCAACGTGCAACGTGATGTTAGGAAGGGACGTGTGTATAAAAAAAAATCGGCGCCATATCGAGCGAGAAGAGTCTGTTACGATCGAAAAGAGTGTATTCCGTTTCTACGATTCGGATTCGCTTTTACAAAATTGACTTTCTCTGGGGCCACGGGTGTGTCCCCCAAACCTATCGACGTGATCGAGATCGTTATTGACGATCCGGATTGTCCACGGATCTGGGATTGAATTGGTAAGTTTTTTTCTTTTATGGGTTTACAATCGATTTCTAGAAAGAGAGACTTGTTACTGTTCTAATTTTTTTCTATCTTTTTATTCTAGGTAATTGTATCACTGTTGCTTGAAAAAAAGTTAATTACGTGATGTAGGTACAACATTATTTAATTTATTCGTAAGAATAGGTTTATCTTAAATTATTCCTATTGTTTTAATTGTTTGTATGTTTCATATTGTAATTATTCGTGTTACAATTGATTTTGATTAAAAGGAATATTTAATTAAATATGTTTTCATTTCGTATTACAATTGATTAATTATATAGATACAAAATTATTTATTTGTCTGTTAGATTATTATAAAAGCGTGAGTTCATTTTGTGTTTTAGATTATTGTTATTTTTCTATATTGTTTGTATTTTGTATCAAAATTATACACATTGCCATTGAGTTTGTTTAATATATTTATTCATTTTATTAAATGGGCGTGTTTTATGTGAAAATAGAATTTAGTACAATTGTATGCAGAATTACACATTTGTATGTACATAACGCGCGAATGTAAATGTACGTTTATGTATGAATATACATAAGTGACTCGTTCGTCAAATCTTGTCATGTTGTATCAACAAGATCTCGAAAGGAGAATGCTTGTTTCCTTTCTAGAAGAAATATTCACAATTTTATATGTGCTATTTGTCTATCTGATTTTTGAAACACAGCAGTGAAAACGTGTCGCCCAAGAGACAGTTTTTCCAGACAGCAGAAAAAAGTTCCTCGTTGTTACTCCATAGTTTGAAAATAGAGTGAATACCAAATTCACGCAACAATATATTTAACCACAAACTCAAACCAGTTGAAAATCGATAAAAAAATTAATGCAAAAAATTGCATTCTTCACAATCTGTCTCTGCCATTCAAATCAATTCTAAAATAACAAATATTTTTATATATATATATATATATATATATATATATATAAAGCTTTGATAACAAATTTTTCTCATTATCATCGCTTCTGAATGAGAATACAGCTTAATCTTTGTGTTCTATCTATCCCAAAAATTTTTATTCCATCGATTGGACCACTCGAGCTAGGAAAATAATAAAAGTTCCGAGGTAAAATTTGCGAGAGTTTCGAATTCGTAAAATTCGTAAAAATCAGATTCCTATTTTTATCTATACGGATCTGACATCGATATTTTTTTTATACGAAAAGATCAAGATTGTGCAAAAAAAAATAATATTAAACTCAATCTATGAATAAAAGGATAGCCATGTACGCTATGGTATTGACATAGGCTTTAAGAATCGATGACGCACAAGGCGAGACTGGACGAGAAGCTACTCACGCATCGAGCCAACGTTCGTTACATATGCTACCTAGAACCCGAACATGGAGAAAGTTAAACTCGAATCCGGCATCGGCCACGGTGTAAATGCCCATTCGTGAAGGTGTGCGGCCTTTTAACGTTAAATCATCGCCCATGATCCATCGAAGGAATCCTTCGACATTCTCGCTGGAACCTTTCGTGAGCTCGAAGAGCTCGAAAAAAACTCTCGAGACTGAGATCGATCTCCTTTGGAAAATTTCGCGATGATTTTTTAAAAATTCCACGAACAATCTCTCTCTCTCTCTCTCTCTCTCTCTCTCTCTCTCTCTCTCTCTCTCGAAAGTGTATCGAGAAATCGGTTGAATCGTGAAGGTCCATTGAAATGCAGCTCGAGTTCCGCGAAAGTGCAGTCAAGGTTCTCGAGTAGACTCGCGAGCGTATCGATATATTTTGCAGTTAATGGCAAATGGTAAAAGTATTCTCATCGAGATTCTAGCTATGAGTTTCACGGTCAGCGATATAATTCTCTCGGATCGGAGAGAACACGATTGAACAGGATCATGGCTACGAGGCTATTAAATCCTACGTCCTGACCGATGGAACCTACGTAAAGCGAGTGTTTTCGAGATGTGTCATGCGTTCAATGCTTTCCGATGCGTTTTGCAACCGTTTTGCGTACGAAGAGGTAAAAAAAAAAGAAAAGAAAAAAGAAACGAAATGCCATTGCGAAAAAAGACACGGATAAAGTAGATGGAACAATGATGACTCTAGTCAAGTGGTATTTTTAAAAGAATCCTTATTCTTCCAAAAAGCGAATATAAATTATTCAATTTTATATACATAGACATCATGAGATTGGAACGATTGTTGTGGAAGCACACTGAGAGATCCAAACTTTTCCTATTACAATTAGAAAATTTCGATCGAAAAGACACTCGGCATTTCAACGTTCATTAACTTTTTAAACGAAAAGAGAAATAAATAAATAAATCACAATAGACGATAACTCGTATAGATTCATAACCTAATATATTCGAAACGAAAACATTCCAATCCGTGCTCCAACCCATTCGACGTAACAGTTCCAATATTATTTATCGAAAAGTTACCCACGATCGATACTCGAAAACAAAGGGCCAACGAACCGTTCGAAATCCGTGCTTCTGGCCGTAGGATTTTTACGGTCGTAATTTCAGGTATCACGGACTCACGCACCTGTGCACGCGTGCACAGTCAATGGCCGGCCGTATTTAGCCTTCGATTTGTACGCAGAAGGTCCGAGGACTGCAGCGGATATAGTAGGCGCCAAGTTGAATGGTAATCGACCACGGTTAATTCATCCATCATCCACGTATCCAATCGTAACGCCGCGTTTAGTTAGCTCGGCGCACGGGGTCCACCCAGCCTCGATCAAGGAACGAGCCTCTATACTCTTATTGCGCCGAGAAGACACATTGTTCCCTGCGTTCGTTCGCGTGGTTGCGCGGCAAAGGGGCGCTCGATGAATGCTCTCCTTGTCGAGAGAAAGTCTCGCGGGTACGTTATACCTCTGTGGGTGTATCAAACATCGGTGGTCACAAACGGTGTTTGTCCCTTACGCAAAACACCAGAGAAACTGAGATATATCGATGTTTATGATGTTTTCATCTCCTTCAGAAAATGTATCGAGGATATCTCGCGAGAAAGCGATCGAACTTGCACGTTCCAACCTTGATCTAGCCCGAATCGTGGCAAGGTTGCGCCTGACAATAGCCTACCCGTCAGTTTGACCACGTTCTTACTTTCTAAACATTGCGCGGTCTTGCATAGACTCGTTTCGAAAATTCAAAAATTGTCAAATGTTGATGTCGATCTTTCCAATGAACGATCAGTTCAAATCGTGTGCAGGAAGTCGAGTTTGAACTCTACGAATCGCCTGATCCACTATATTTATATTTTCTAGACTATTATGGTATTGCATAATCTTAGATTCAACTCGTTGAGAGAAATATTAATCTTAATCTCACTGGTGAACGAAATTACTCTATCTCTCAATAACTGGTATATATATATATTTCATTGTGATATCATTACTCATAGTGTATTGCGTCTGAGTACAATCCATCCATTGCATCTATCCATGTCTTCGAAATTAGGGTTCAACCAAGGGATTATTTCGAAATACATGCGAGGAAACAAGGTTATTCGTTATTCTCTAGCGCGCCTGACCACGATCTACCCGACAAGGCGCTATATCTCTCTCGAGCCACGAATCGCGTAGGATTCGATTTGTCACCAAAGGATTCGATTAAGAAAGCAAGGAAAGGAGGGGGAGAGAATAAAGGAACGATGTCAATGCGAATTGTTCGATATCGTTAGTCGTGGATTACCGTGGCTGGCCTGGCATGGCATGGCATGGCCTGGCCTGGCCTGGTCCTAATGGATCGACATTCTTCTTGCGCAACGAGACGTAAAGACCTTTAACGCGGCACCTACCACCTTCTGCCTCTCCGCTTCGAGCTCAATAGTCTCTGCGATTACGGAACTCGCAACTGTACAGGGCCTTGACACCTACGATACCAATCGTTGCTCGTGCCATCGGCTTCGAACGATGACGTTTAGATAAAGATGAAAATTTGATCGAAATTTTGCGACCTGTCTGATGTTATCAATCATTCGATCGATCGATCCTCGAATCTAGGAAGCAATATTTTTCGTTCTGTTTCTCGATCAACAAATATGCATCGATTCAAAGGAAAATAGATAGAAAATTTTCTTTTTTTTTTTTTTTTTTTGGATATGTGCGAAGAAAATCATTGTTGTGGATCAATAGCGTGAACAGTATGCGTGATTCACGCGATTCGTGAAAGCGGTTACGAGAACAAAAAACGAAAAATCGATTCGACGCATTCCTTGGAATTCCCGCGCGCTTCTGATCCTCGAAACGTGAGAAATTCTTGATGAATCCTTGGGAAAATGAACTTGAACGAAAATGAAAGGGGGGAAAAGAAACGAAAGTCAATGGTCTTTCTTTCTTTCTTTCTTCTCATTCTTTCTTGAGAACGAGTCTCTCAATGACTAACTCTTTGACAACACTTCCTTCCTCGATGACTAATTATTTGATCTACGAGACTACGTGACTGTACAACTTTCCATGTACTTTTTTTCCTCTAACAGTAAATAACACTCTTATTCTTATCTTTAAAATTGCATTTCAAATATATATATATATATATCTTCTCATTCACAAAATCTATATTTAAATCTCAAAATAATATCTATAATTATTTCACCGATCGCAATTTGTACCAGTTTCTAGAAGGAAAGGAAAAGCACGAGAAAGAAGACGCAAACAAAAATAGATATAGAGGCGTGCAGCTGAAGCGAGATCAAGACTTTCTGTAATGGAATAGAGTGGCAAACTGGGTGAACCAACAGCAGCAGCAGAAGAAGAAGAAGAAGAAGAAACAACTCGAGGGAGCGACGAAATAGCAGTCGAGTTGCTCGAGCCGGCACACGTATCGAGTCGGGTTCGACTACGTGGTGTCCAGTTTTCCATGGTCTGGTGGGGTGTGCTCCAGGTGGCCGTGGTGGGTGGCGTATAAGTAGAGGCCTGCATTCGCCGCCGTTCTCATACCCTCACCACGTCCTTCGACTACCTCTTACTTTTACAAACCGGTGTGTGCGTCTTTTCCGCTTCTCTCTCTCTCCTTTTTTTCCACGTCCCGTGTCCCTCGGTCCTCAGAGAGAGTTGGCCGCTCGAACGGGGAAGAGAGGGAAGAAAGGGAGCAAAGGAATCGAGGTGATCGCGCGTGAAACTTGGTATCGAAGGTAGGACTCAGTGTTTGGTCCCGACACAGCCTCCTTTCTCAAACATCGGCCGCAGCTGGAAGACGTGTGTCGTCTCGAGGAGAGGGCAACGATGATCGCGAGTGTCCGGTGACGAAACGGTGTATCCGCAGAATATATTCGTACTTTTACAACGTTCTTTGTACAACGCACCACCCTTCGAGGAACGAAGGAGGTTGAGTCAAGAGAGGCTCGAACCACCGCTTGGACCGTCCAGCTGTTCGTATCCCTTGGTATCTTGGAGAAGGAGGAGGAGGAGGAAGAGGAGGAGAAGGAGGAAGAAGAAGAAAGAGGAAGAAGAAAGAGGAGCCAGGAGTCATCGACATGTGGTTGAAAGTCGCCTTGTTGTAAGTAATATCTTAAGTACGATCATCCTTGAACTATAAGGATCGAACAGGATTCTTTGGTTCAACGAAGACGCTATTGTAGAGGATAATGCGCTTTACTTACGTGGGCTCGGTGATATAAATTGGAGTTTTCTAAGAAAAAAAAAATATGCATAATTTTTATTCATTTGTGTAATTTTTTTGATAATTGGAGCGTGGTAGGATCGTGACGGATCGCGTGGCAGAAAAGATTTTTTTTAGGAAATTTTTAACGATCGACATTCGATAATATTAATTAATTTTAGAGTCTATTGTAATTGGAAAAAATTTACATTTTTCTTGAAAGTAGTGGATAGATTGTTGAGAAAAGAATCATTGCGCTCTCCGCTTACTTTCATTTTTTGATAAATTTTTTTTTTCTTTTAACGATCGTCCCCGAGGAACGATAATTAACGTTGAATCGTGGTCTGGAAAGAATCTGCATTGCGATGCAATTTAAATCGCAGGTTTCTCTTTCTCAATCGTGACAAACATCTCCTACCAAAATTATCTTTCAACGTTAAACGAATAAAAGGGAAGAAAGTTTCATCGCAAATTTAAATTCGAATTTCGATCGATGCTCGTAGAGCTCTCGTTATCATATCGAAGATAATCGAAACTATTTTTTATCGAATAATTACGTGTTCAAAAATTCGATCGGAATGAAAGTAGTGTACACAATTGCATCGCAACGATCTCGCCCATAAGAGATTCAAATTTTCGACTCTCACCTTCGATCTAATCGAGGGAGTGGGAGAATGAAGATGGTCGATGAATCGAGATAGGAGTGAAGATGCTCGAGCGTGGGGACCGTAAACTTTCGCAAACAGATTTTTACAAAATCCGTTGTAAATGTTAAAACATTTCCTCTTATTTTTTTATCTTTATCCTCTGCCTCGTATATTTCGCATCCCGCGCAATCATATTTGCGCAACGGAGGGGGGAACAGGTTAAATAGAAAGTTTTCTTGAGATTGCATCTTCGCACATTTGCGAATATATTTAACAAGCTTCGTAAAATTACGTTGTTTTAGGTAAGACAAAAAAATAATATATATACATATATATACATATATATATACATATATATATATATACGTTCGTATATTTGCTTATATTTTCGAATAGGCTTTCACGGTAATGTTGTGAGGTTATGTAACGGCGAGTCTGTCTCGTGCCAGTGGAGATACACCCTGTATATGTACACGCTTACGTAGATACGGTTGTGAGCCGAGACAGCTTTCTCCATATGGAATCACGATAAATTCCATCATTATGCTTGCGTATCGAGACTCAACCTTCGAATTCCTTGGGCGAAAATTTATCTTGATCGTTCGTTGCTTCTGTTCTGTACGTATATTTTCATCATTACTTTCTTTCTTTTCTCTTTCGTTTAACCTCTGAGAAATAAGCTTCGTACAATGTGTATAGACTTTAGAAATCTTTTCGAATGTTTTTTTAAATTGCAGTCCTCTTTTTTGTCTAATATTTAAATAATTTTAAATTTCTCATTCTTTTAATTGAGGTAAAGAAAAATTTATATAATTAATGAGGCATTGTTTTTGAATGAAGCAGTGTGAAGATCATCGTGATATACGTTGTAGAAAGTGATAATGCAATTACGTTAAAATAAATGAGTGTTGGACATTATAACGATCAATAGAAATTATTGTCTACTTTTTTTATGTGCCATTAACCTTCATAAGTTGTATGGAATATCTATAGAAAAATCTTTCAAATTATTGTAACTATTTTCAAAAGATAGAATTATGATCTTTTCGTGCTTAAAGTATTAATCTCTTGAAAAATTTATTAAGGTTAAGGAAAGATAATTTCGATTTTTATAAATATTAAATGCATAAGAATACCATCCAGCTTTATTTTCAAGAAAATTGAGTTTAAATATTGGTAAAATGCACTTCGATCGAATAATTCCACAAAGCAAAAATAGATCGAATACGGAATATAATTTTTTCCTTTCTGTTCTTCCTTTTTTTTAAAAATTGAATTTAAATCGATAGACATTCATTTTTCATGATAAATCAGCTGAATTCACGAACTTTCGAATTCGAAAACAAAGCTTTAAACGAGAAAATGTTATTCCACATTTTTTTTATTTATTATCTCACGTAAATTTTCTATTCATTCATTTCACTTCTGTTCATTTATCAGGAATCGAATAGGTATATACATAATACAAAAAAATTATTCAAACTTCGAAAAAATTATATTTTTCTTTTCGATATTTCAATTTATATAATACCACAATCTTATACACCCAATATATTATTCCTTTCAATCGAAAATGTCGCCATGTGGTACAAAGCCTTTCGACTTTCTATCGAACTGCGCACAATAAAAAAAAATATCGCCAACATTTCGCACGATCACGGCTCATTTTGCTCCGTGAAAAGAAAGGATACGAAATCGTCGTGTATATCTTCCGACGCGCAACAAGCCCTCGATACCCGCTTTTAATTTTACAGTAGCCGGTCTCCTTCATCGACAGAGGTAATCGATCGTAACCGATCGACCTTGCTGGACAACTCGTTTCCTCGTATAACTGCTCCATCTTTTCTTTTCTTCTTTTCTTCTTTTCTCCTTCGTCTCGCATGAAATTCTCACGCAAAATCGATCGACTTATGCTTTTATACAAATTCTATACATTATTATATATTCGTGGAACATTATTAAAAATCAAAACAAATTAATATATGGTGTACAAAAATATGATGATTGATTGATGATAATTTAAATTTAATTTTTTGCTTAATAAAAAAAGAGATATATATATAATTATAAATTTAAATCGCTCACAATTCAATAAATGAACTTCAACATTCTTGCGTATACCAATATTTTTTCTTTCGCCTCTAGAACCAAATCAACAAAAGTATTCCTCGAATACGTTAATACATTATATTTTGCGATTGTTTGAAGAAAATCGCATGGAGAGGCGTCGCATGGGTTTTGATCTTCCTCAATTTTCGGATCTTTCCCTGAATCTGATCGAACAACCTTGAGCCAAAGGAGGACGAGGTCGCGCTCGTATTCCCAAGCACGCTAGTAGACGGCCTTGACTTTTTCTTTCGATTAAATTATTCTCGCGTCACAAAAAAAAAATCGGTCCCCTCGAAACGCGGACGCGAAACGAAATATCGATTTTTGAAATCGTTTTTTTGAAATCGATTGAGAAAAAAAATTTTTTTTCGCTTCTTTCTTTTTTCTTTTCGAACCTCAAGCCGATTCGACTATGGGAAAGCCGTAAGTTGGAAAAGAGAAAGAGTACGAATTTAACGCGCGAACTTTGGACAAATGGAATGCCGTCGAGACTTTGTGGTTAAACAGACATTGGCGCGAGCTTAGCTCGAAAGTTTTTAAAGATCGAATATATCGCTTGAAAGAGAACGAGGCAAGTTGTAGCGGGTCGCAGCTTCCAGCTCACCGGTCAGACACGAACTTTCACCATACCGCGTTTGCTCGCGGTAGAATCTGTGCACACGTTTCTCGACGAGATAATTTCGTTCGATTTCGTAGCGATTTTAATTTTACTCTCTACTATGCTTGATATTCCCTTTTTTTTTTTTTTTAGATACAATGGATATCAAAATTTGATATCATTAATTACTAATATAAAAAAAAAAAAAATGAAAAAGGAGAAACATAGAAATTAATTCGAAACCATCACTTCCATCAGAATGATTCTCAGAAAATCCTCATCCGTATAGAAAGCATAATATTGAAAGTATTCTTAAATCTTTTATATTCTTAATAATAACGATGAAAATAAATCAACGTAAATAATAATAATAATCCAATTTTTTATCGTTCAGGATATCTTGCGCTGTAGCAAACACACTCGCAGACGATGATGCAACCGGAAGCAAAGCTTTGTCGAACGAAGGTAAATCTATCTCCCTTTAAATCCTTCAAATTTCTCTCTCTTTTTTTTTTTAATAATCCCTTTTTATTATTTATATTTATAATATTTATATTATTATTTATATTATTATTATTTCCTCGCGAAGAATTCGTCACGTCTCACAAAGTGCCGGAGGATGTAGCGCGGCCATCCGACTACGATGACGGGGACGACGACGTTGTGGACGTGGAGAGGAAGACCATCACGAAGAATGGGAAACACGGGAAAAAGGTTGTGGCGAAGTTCGAGAGTTTTGATAAAAAGTTGACCGACCTCGACCCGATCAGACGTTTCGATTTCGTGGACGAAGACAAAACGGGTGACACAACGAAGCGGCAGGTCCGCGTCGAATTGGAAAACTTTGGGGACACCGGGATCCTTCAAGAGGATGGAGTTCGAAAAAGTGACACGCACAGATCCCGCGTAGAGAGCCACAAAGATTCAGTGATTCCCGGGGTGCACGTTAGGTAGGAACATCTTTAGAGCTTTAAGAAAAGTGGCAGAGTTAGAGACTTTGAAACTGAACCGTTAAAAAAGTAGTTAATTAAAATTATGTTAAGTTACTAAGTAATAATTTAAAATGTTTGTAATAACACTATGATGATTGATCCATGTTGTTCATGTAATCTCAGCTACTTGGTGCTACAATTATTTGTATTATTCTCTTTAGTTAAAATACTTTTTAAATTGCACTGAAATATTTTAAATTAGAAAGTCATCTATGTGATTTGTAGAACTATAAAAGTATGTTATAATTCAAAAGTATTCGAATACTTTCTTATTTTCTATAAAATATAATTTGAATTTTGCAAAAAAATTATATTAATTTTACTATTTTCTCTTTTTTAATTGTTAATATTATGTGTATATAAAAATAACACGATAAAATTTATTTTTAAGTAAAAATATTTAAAAATTATCTTTTATGAATGAAAATATAATAATATAATTTCATAAAGATGCTCAATGGAATCATGTTGCTTGAGAAACTTTTGTGAAAGTATTAAGAAGAAATGTGAAAAGAAATTATCATAAAAAATAATAAGAAAACTAATTGAAAGATTATCACATTTTAGATTTAATTCAACAAATAATTATATCTAATCATAATGGAATGGATAAAATATATATTTAATTATAATAAACATATATGTATAGCTAATAAGTAATTTTGAACATAATTCTTGTTCAAAAAATATTCAAAAAAAATAATAAAAAGTTAATATTATTTACGATATTAAATATTTAAATATAGAGAGAAATGAGAAAATTTCTTTCATTGTTTCAGTAACGAGTATCCAACAACCATGATGCCAGTTCTGACGACTCCACGTGAGGCGCGTTCTTTTGATTTTGTTCCTGTTAATATAATCCGCGATGACGGCAAAGAAACATCTTTTCGAGAACGCAATTTTGGCGATTTTAGCGACGTCAGTTTAGTCCCTGCTGGCACAAATTCGCGTATCCAGGTAAGAATTAACCGCATAAATTTCTTGTTTAATAGATAGATAACTTGTTTTATTTATTATTATTATTTGTTTCTACTTAAATGAACATAAAAATTTCCAAATAATTATAATAGATTAAACAAGAAATATTATTATTAAGAATTTCTTTATCCGTTAAAAAGTAATCTGAAGTTTCTTTACGCAATTGCAGGTAAAGAAAGGGCCAAACGGGAAGGATTACGAATACGAGTACGTATATTATTACTATGACGAGGAGGATGAGAATAAGGCGGGTTCAGCGGACTCGGCGGTCACCAATTCTTACGACGTTCCTTCTAGAACCACGTCCGCCCCTAAGCGTGGCTCCAACAGAAACAAGTACAACACCGTGGAAAGATCGAGCACCGTGGAACCAGCCAGCAACGAAGTGATTCCAAACAGAAATGGTAACAACAGAGGCAGACAATTGGTCGAAGCTGAAGACGTATCCGAGGAAAGGCTACCGACCAACACCAGATTCCCACCAAGGTGCACATCACACGTAACATTTTTCCTCTTCCTCCTCTTCCATCTCGCTATCTTCTGCCGCTATCTTCTATTCGAGTAATATAGCTATTAAATTCGTTCATCGACAGGTCACGATCGAATCACAACACTGGAACCACGGAACCAACTCGAACTCGTGGAAATCGTCCCAGACCTGGTTTGGACCTGGTCGATTCCAGCAGTTTTCGTACCCATCAAGAGGGACCGGAATTTCCCCAAGTATTGCCTAAAGGGCCTGTCCGATTTTTGGGTGTCACACCGAATGAAGAGAACGGGGAAGAGAGAACGGCGAGCAGAGGAAGAGGAAGGCCGCAACGAGTTCAAGAACCTGCTCCTGTTGAAGAGATCATTGAAGAAGCGCCCGTTCCTACGACCAGGAGGAGACCTATCACCGCCCTCTCGACAGAGGTGATTATCGCGCTTTGTTCTTTTAAAATGATAATTTTACATTTTAATAATGATTGTACAACAGAATTCTCGGGTAAGTTTCAATTTTTTCAATTAATAGTAAAAATTTATTGGCTGAAAAATTATTGTAACTTATATTCGTTATCAAATCAACAAGCATAACATAATTTATGATTTATATTAATCCTTATATTAATATCCAAATATCATTTTTTTAAAAGATTTACGAGAATCCAGCTTGATCCCTAATTGATTAATTAATTTATAATTTCAAAATTAGAATTTTATTAGGGAAACGTTATTGAAATTAAAAGTTCAGAGAATAGGTTGATGTAAAAAATGATATATTGAATAACATTACAGTGCGTCAAATTCAAATTGCTTTTCAATCAAAAGTTAATATAATAATTCAAATCGAATCATAATGTAGATAAGTTGTCTATATTAAAATCTACATTTAATAGGATAAATTATCAGGGCGATGAACAAAAGATTTTTAATTGAGATAATTTCCTTTTATCATTTTAGATTCCTCCTGAATCGAACAGAGGTGAATCCTTACATACAAGCGAGGAAAAAGACGATTCCAAAGAAGAAAGTTCATTATCGGAGAAAAGCAAAGATAAGCAAACATCTTTGGAGAACAAGCAAGACTACGAAGAATCGGATTCATCTTCCACAACATCAGCGAGTACTGCTTCAACCACGACTGAAAGTGCAACGACGGAGTATCCATGTTCGATGGACAAAGTCGCGTTAGATTTGTATGCTTTCGTGCAACAAGGTCAAAATAATTTGGTAGATGCATCGAGCAGCGAAGCTACAGATTCTTCTTCAGATAAAACGACACTTTCCAGTGACGAAGCTATTACCGATTTGATAGCGACGACTGAATTGTCAGCAACTACTCTGGAATCAACGACGATAACCAATGTAGCAAGTCTTGCAACAGAACCAGTAATCACCACAACTGCTGCAACTACTACTACTAGCACTACTACGACTACTACCACAACTACAACTACGGAACCACCTACCACTACTACTCAAGCTCCAGCTGGAAGAGGGAAATTTAGAAGACCTGGTATTGGTGGAACTAATGGAGGTACTCGAAACAGGTAAAAATAGATTTATTTAAAAAATGTTACAAAAAATTCGATAAAAAATTCATTTTGAATTTCTTAAGTATCACTAGTAATATAATTATATAATAAGTTTATCAAAATATATAATAAATTATATAGTAGATAATAAGATTATCAAAATAATTTCAACATTCTTGAAATGATTTTAAATTTAGGAATTCTGTCATATAATTATATTATTTTATTTTCGCGATAATATTTAATTATTACTATTGTATCTCTTAATTAATGTTGAATTGAAAAAAAAACAATTTTTTTGAAGATTCAAATCAAACGGAAGTACAACGACGACCGAAGCACCTGTGGAACCTACACAACGCACGCGAAATCGTTTCGGTAGCAATGGTTCTAACGGTGGTGGTTTCAAAAGAAGTCGACCTGGACAAAAGCAATCCAATCCAATTGAGGAGGACGCGGTACAAAAAGAGAGTTCGAGCTCTGTTCACGCAGAACGACCTTCTTCCACTACTCGCGGGAGATTCCGTGGATCTGGAGCAACGAGATCTATCTCGACGACAACATCAGCACCGTCGAACGGTGGTTCAACTGCATCTTCTAATGGGCCCTCAGGAATATCGAGACCGTCTTTCAATAAATTGAATATCAACCGACGACGTGGAAGACCGACCACCACTGCTCCGAACGGTAGCGAGGAGAGCCAAGAGTCCATTCGTTCAGAGACACCTAAGGAAACTAGTCAGGAACCCAGTACAGCGGCACCGAAATCGACCGTTCGTTCGAGACTTCCGACAACAGGGACAAGACCGGTTATTAAACCTGGAGCTAGAATAAATTTGAGACCGAAACCGGGTCAATCGACGACCACAACTACGACACCGCTTCCTTCGGATAACGCAGAGGAATCGTCAATTGATGAACCAGCTGGAGAAGGAACTGAAGAAGAAACTCACGAGGTAAAATTTTTTGATAAAAGAATTATAAAATTACGGATTTGAAAAAATTCGAATGAGATCGATCAAGATCATAGTATTTCAATTCATCTATGATATTTAATTAAATGTTTATACATTTTTGAGGTTTATTATGAACAAAAATAAATTAGAACACTATTCTATATTTAAATAATGTACATATAAATATATATAAAATAAGCATCTATATTTGAAAATCAATTATTTATAAAGCATTTAAAATCAATTATTTTCGATTATTACCGAGATGAATCAAAGTCATGATCAAATATTACAATCCTCGTTCCGAAATAATACAATACTATGTATGTCCCATTCTGTTTGAATTCACTTCAAAATTCTCAAGTCATAGAATGCGATTCCTTACGAAATCTCATGTCTTTACAACGCATTTTTCAAAACATATGGCCTCAGTAAAGCTTCTCTTTGGACTTCGCTTTCACTATTTGCCCTTTTGCAAAATGTCACATGCCAGACATGCTTTGACGCTAAGTCGCGTCTATTTCTCGTCTTTCGACAACCGCGTTGTCATGTACGCGCGACTTTCACGCAAAATGTTCATTTCAGGCACCTGCAGAAACTAGCCCGCCTCCGGCACGTTCCACAACCGTCAACCCTCTGAATAAATTACGTAATCGAAATAGACTACAGGTGCATCCTAAAACAACCACTAGAACACCAGTGCTTCTAGCATCTAGAAGGTCGCCGTTGTTACCGCGTCGTAAAGTGACCGAAGCACCGATTGCCCAAACTAGCCAAGAAGAAATATCCGAAGAACCAGATGTTTCCAGCGAAACAGAACCATCCGAAACAGCTTCCGCAGAAACTAGTACAGCCGCAAGCACGAAACATGAAGAAACTAGAGGTCTCAGTGGACTTTTGGCTCCAAGGCGTAGGATAGCAACGCGGCGACCTGGACAAATAATTTCGAGAGAATAGAGTGAATACTTAAAAAAAGCTTTTCGATCCATCAAATCCCCGTTTGTATTCCTCGTTGAGAACGATCAAAGTGATTTTAGAAACGTGTATCAAAGAGAAATCGAGAGAAGGCGCTTTCGTCGAGAAAGTAAGGCGAAAATTCGACAAGAAAGAGGTTCTACAAAACGCGTGACCAATGGTCGGAATTGCATCGTTCTTGAACTTTGAATTATTCGTGCTCGATAGTTGCATGGATCTTTTATTTTAGATTTTCGAAAAAATATTTAAATAGAGCCACGTGTCAATCGATTTTTTAATCGGGAACGAATAATCGGAACAATGAATGACAAACGGCGTGAAAGTAAACATATTATTATCGCGATTATTAGAATTAAATTGCAGAGGTACGTGTGCATATCTGTCTGTGTGTAATTAAACGAATATGTATATTCACGGTGAAAGTTGCTAATATCTTTTGAATGTTACTTCTAAACCGCGTTTCTACATATGTATTGCGACGTATCGGTTACAATCGCGATGCCATAGTCGTCTGAAAACATATCCTATGTCCGTTCTATATGTATGTATATATCAATGTTTTCGAAAATTTTTATTAAATGTGAGTGCGAGAATATTTATACGAGCACACAATTGGAAATACGATACGATTTCTTGCAATTATTTAATAATTACGCGACTCTTGTAGAAAGATATCACAAGATACTATTTGCGAACGATAATACGAATCGTATTCTACTATTTACTTGTAGAATGAAATACGACTCTATATCGTATCGTAAAATAATATTTTTGTAATTACAATGTTCCATAATATGCTGTAAATATGATATTGCAATTAAAGATGTATAAACTTAATCATATTCTCTTTGACTTATGTCTCTAATTTTGATTAATATCTATTTAAGTAAATAGTGTTATGAAATATTTAACATAATTTATAATTAACGATTATAATTAAAGTATATTTTAACATTAATAGTGATTAATAATTATATTTTCATTGAAAAAAAATATAAATCACATAAAAGAATAGAAGTTTTGTGATTGCTATTCTCTATAAAAAGTTATTAAATCATTGATAAATTAGATTTTTTATTGAAAATAATGAATTATGTCAATTGGTACAAAAAGGAAGTAATTTCTTTGAACTAAACTTATATTCCTTATAATAAAAAAATTCATAAATCATATATTTATCCATTTATAATAAAATTATCTAAATTCGCTACTTTCGAAATCATTTAATTATATATATATATATATATATATATATCATTTAATTATATAAATATCTGAAATATTTTTTAATTATTATTACAAATGAATGATATAAAGTAATTAAATGATCCATTAAATGATCCATTAAATGATCCATTTTCTTTTTAAATTTTTAAACTCCCTAAAATTACAAAAATTATAAAAAAATGTTCATGTTCATTATCAATAAAGATAATAATAAAAAAAAATGATAGAAAAGAGGTAATAAAACAGTATATATATAAAATTAAGAAACTGCTAAAAAAAAGATAAAAAAGTAAAACCTACAACAAATATGCAAATAATATATTTCATAGATATAAAATATATATATAAAATATATATAAAATAAGATATATAAGATATATAAAATTTAAAAATATATAATAGACTAGAAGAGCAAATGCGAAAAGAAGAGAGATATAAATAAGCTAAAAATTGAAGAATCAGCGCCATCTTTAGAGTATCACAGATAAAATACAAATTATATTAATAAACAAGGATAGTAAATAGAGAAGGATAAAATAGAATAAGAATTGATGGTTAACGCCATCTTTTGATTATCACAAATATCTCTTCAAAAATAAGATAAAGTAATTGAAAATCAGTACCATCTCTTGAGTATTTTTAGAACGATATTTTTTTCCTTTTTTCCAAAAGATGACGCTAAGAGTCTAATTTTTATTTTATTTTTATTTGCTATCTTTGTTAATCTAGTTTGACTTATAACAATATTTTAATGCTCTCTCAAAAAAAAAAATACATTAAATATTAGATTTTTTCTGTATCTAATCTATGATATAATATTTATTTATATATAATAATTTATTACACAATAATAAAACATAATGATTAATAGACGATCTTTGCTAATGGCATAAATAATGATTTTTATATCATATATTTTAAAATTTTACATAATATTTTAAAATTTTATAAAAATATAATAAATATATAATAATCCATGTACAAGAAGGACTTATCGTTTGTAGATAATACACTAATATAATAACTTTTTTTCCGTCCATAATGATAAAATATATTTACAAAAATGCATAATATAAACATATTTTAAATTATACTCACAATCAAAAATATATAACAAGTCATATATTTTATTTGTATTAGCATCTGCATTCGTTAGAAAATAATAATTTATATATTATTAAATATTTATTTTACAAAAATAAATATATAAATAAAAAATATTTCTTACTTTATATAATTTTAAAGTATTTTTGGATATTTTATGATCAAGACATCCATAGAAAGAAATAATAAGTTAGTATAAAAGTATTTAAAATGAGTATTAATATTAATATAATATAAAAATAAATAATTTTATTTCAAATATAGTAATAATATAAAAAATTTAACAATTAATATTTAGAGAAAGAAAAATCTTTAGAATAAGATAAAATTATTATTACATTATATAAGGACTTTATTTCAATTGTTCAATTTAACTTCAATTTCAATATTATATTATTTAGGAAAATGTAAAAAAAAAAGGACTATTATTTGTGAAGTATACTATAAACTATAAAATGCATTTCTCAACATGTTATTATTGAATCTTCTCATTGCACATATACATTATCGTTACAAATTACTCTGCATCTACATGAGTGTTACATGTACTAATAATATCGTATAGAAATATTACAAACAGGTACAAAAGCTAAACTACTTTCTTAACATATGTTTCCTTAGTTAATTTTTTTATGGATTATAAATATAATCATTCACTAGAATTTAATTCTTTATTCATAAATAACTTTTAAAATTAAAAAATATTATTATATTGTTTAATTATTTTGTTTCATTATTATAAAACTGGAAGAAATTTTCTAAATTAAGAGAATGGTCATTGTAATTTTTAATAACTTTAAAATGCTTTTATATATTTTATATTTTTTTTTATGAAAAATAAAGGATTAGAAATTTTTTCAAATGGAATGCAGATTCTGCACAAATAATTTTTTAATAATAGGATCATTATATTCATCACAATGGATATATTATTTGTATGTATGTACAGTGTTCGTTTCATTTTTTAATTTAAAAATTTCATTATTATCCTCCAGCTGTTAGAAACAATTAATTTTTTTAAAAATTCATTTTAGGGATAAAATATTTTATTATTTTTATAAATTTGCTACTCAGCTGGTGAATCATAATACTTTCTAAGTTATGTAAAAAAAATTTTATACTTCAATCAGATCTCTAGTTTATCATATATGTATATATAAATATATATATATATATATATATTATCAATTGTGCAAAGAGATCGTTAAAATAGTGGTTAAGATTCTGTAATACTTTAACCACTAATTGGCAGTGATATTTTGGATTTTTTATATTTCTCACTGATCGCAAAAAGAACAATACAATATAAATTTTAAAGAAAATTATTTTTCACAACCAAAAACGCGCAAGCACAATTTTTATACTACAAATATTAATTTATGTCATATTACAATGTATTTTTATTTGTATTATAAAGATTTTACATATCAACTGAAGTTTGATTAATTAGTTTAAGAAAAGAAAAAAATAAAAATTTACAATTTTTATTTTTAATTTCCTCATATAAAAAACTTAAATTATTGATTTTACCATCACTAAAAATTTTTCTACTAAAAATTCGATGATAAAATAATTTCTATTCAATTTAAAAAAATGTTGAACAATTCCATTATATAAAGTTCAAACATATATTATTTCTTACAATCAATGAGAATACTTTTGCAATAATACTAAGTTTTTTAAATGCGGATTAAGTTCAAGAAGATTATTATATTATTTATATGCGCGTGTACAAAGTTTAATTACAAAGAGTCTAAAAAACTGACTTATAGATGTTTTTATTTATATCATTCGATTCTCACAGCACCTACCGCTGAAAATGCATTAAAAAAATACATCCATTGTTATTATGGCATTCTTCAAGGTGTACATGAGCCAAAAAATAATGTTTAACATAAGATTTTTTTTTTTTTAAGAGTAATATTTACCCGTTTCTCGAGATCAGATAGTGTATTAAATTAGATCATTTAACTTGAGTTAAATGATTAACTAAAATAACAAAATAATTCTATATTGACTTAAAGTATTAAGTCTATATTGACTTAAAAGTATTGAAGAAATGAATTGAAGTGATGAATTTATATTAAATATTCTAATATTAATTTCTACAAAACGTTCATTTTCTTGTTAAAAACTTTCTATTTTCTATTATGTTTTTTTCTCTTTAAGGAAATTCATGTTTTTATAAATCATGTAGCTCGATCGAAATCCATTCAATAATTATTTGTTACAAATAAAAAGAAAAATATTTACAATAACTGTACAAAAATATGTTCATGAAGTAAATTCTTTACAATCAACAAAAAAAGTACATACAAGTTAAATATAAGTTTAGATAGATTCTAATACGATTGGTCCCATATATCGAATTCTTATCGTTTTCTCTTTTTTCTCTTTTATTTTCTTTTTTTGCAGAAAAAAATAAAGCCTTTGTACACCTTAAAGTAACATCTTACAATATCTTCGCGAGACGAAGCCATTTATGTAAAACTAGTTTGTAAAAAGACGATACTCGTCATTATTTACAGGTTTCGATCGAATCTACTTGAAACATTTAAGACTTATATAAATAAAATTTTTTAATTTGTTATACGTTTATATCATTTTTTTTTTATAAATTCATAAAAATGTAAAAACAAATTTCTGTATTCATAAAACACACCTGAGATAAACGTAAATTTTATAAATCAATTACTAATATCATTTAATTGGATATTAGTCCAAAGATATATTAAAATTCAAAGAATACATCAAATGAAACACACATGATAATATTAGCTAATTAATGCTAATTTACAAACCTAAATTATTTTAATATATTTTACTAATTTTTTAATGTATCTATGTATATGAAATATTATCTCTTAAATATAATTTATATTTCATTTTTTATATTTTCTCTGGTGTGTTTTTATAATCATATAATATCAAAATTTAGTGACTTGCGCGCAATACTTAAAACAATGAATGATAGAAATATGTATATTAAATTTTACAAAGAAAAAAAGAAACGAGCACAATTAAGTAAGATATTTTCCTTTCTATTCTTGAATGACTAAAAAATATATATATAGTCATTGCTTAAAAAAATAATTACACGTTCGACGTGAAAGTTACCTAGTTCCACTGGCCTAAAACTGAATATCAAGGAACGTTTCAATACTAAACTTAGATTAAAAAAAAAAAAAATATATATATATATATATATATATATTTATATATATACACATATATATATACACACACATATATATATATACATATATATATATAGAAGCAATGAATAAGATGAAAGAAAAAACACGATATTTTGTCGAGAACTTAAGATACTGAATCAGGTATACGATTTCCAACTGTTTCTACATATGCTACAAAATTTTACAAATCCAGATCCTCCTATAGCTGTCTCATCTTTGTACTCTACCTAGTTATGCGAATCTAAGTAACTTCATATTTGTCAGGTATACAATTGCGTAAAAATTTACAATTATTACTTAGTCCAGCAATGTATAAAAAAGTATAATACATCAGTCTGGCCACTTGCTGACCAAAATACTTATCGATCTATACTGTTATCTAACACCTTATTTTTTCTTCCTTTTTTTTCTTCCTTTCTCTCTATTTGCTTACTTGTATTTACTCACAAATCAATTATACATATTATTAAAATTGTTCGAAAAATCATACATATTTGTATCTACTTCGCATATTAACAAAAAAAAAATATATATATACTACGAGTCATCAAATTCTACAATTGTGATGAATGTAATTGTCATCGATCGCTATCAGTAGAAAATATTTGAAATAATTTTTCAAAAATATTTCTTTGTTTCAAAACACTGAAAAAATTTTAGACATTAAATATTATTAAATTAGATGAAATAACATAAAAAAAACCAAATAATGTATAAATGAATATATATGGAAATATTATTTATTTCTAAAGGACTTACGTATTATCGATCTAGGGAATTATCTAGAAGTGAAGATTTTTAATGTAAAAATTATGATCATGATTGTTACATAATAGCAATCGAGCATTAGTAGAAAAATAGAAAAAGATGTGACTTATAAAATAAATTCTTTAGATCATAGGACTTCTCGACAATTCCCTTAATAATCATTATTATAATACAAAAGTCATTTTATCCTATAATTATTTAACCCTAATATTCCATTGAAAATCTGTTTTCACTTATTTATAAACTTATTTTATAAATAAATGAAAACATTTATATAAAATAGAATATCAGGGTTATTAATGATCTTAAGAAAAATTATACAAAAATAAAATAAGTTAAATAGATAGAGGATTTTTTGTGTATCAAATATTTTCTCTCTGAAGCGTTATATTTGTCGATTTATCTATAACTATAGATACGTATAAAATTGGTAATTTATAATTAGATGATAAATCTAAACTTAATCAATTTTAAGAAATGAGCTGTTTCCTGCACCAGCTCGTACAAGAAGAGGTGTTTTTCTTCGTGAAGTAGTCACAGGTTGATACACATAATTTCCTTGTATTGCACCGGTTAACGTTTTTTGTCTTTTCGTACCGGAATTAAGCTCGTATTCAAATGGTTCTTGTTTTGAAATATTTAAATGCATGTGTAATGCTTCTTTATTGTCCTCGATATCTATCTCATCATATAAATGCTCATGAATGTCTATATCACAATCCTGACTGCTTTCATCATAACTATCTGTCACTGAATTCGCAGTTATGTGACCGTGAATAGATTCTTCATATGTTGTGTTTTCTTCAACTGCTTCATCACCTGAACTTTCTGTTTCTTCAGATACATCACCACTGCCTGCATATTTCATTTCACCTCTTTCAAGCAATTCCAAATGGTCTGGATATATCATTGCTTTTTTAATAGCTAAAGGATCCTTTCTGGACCATTTTTGTACTTCTTCATCCATCTTTGCTACTTTTGCTGGATTAATAGCCCATAAGCATCCTTTTCTCTGATTTCCGTTTCCAGCAGGCTTTTCGATTTTTTCAAAGCACTTGTTTAATGATAAATTGTGTCTAACTGAATTTTTCCAACCATTTGGTGCAGTCTTGAAATATGGAAAATGTTCGCTGAAATAAAATATAGACTAAATTATTATAAATATATAAGTAATTTTGTAATTTCTTTAAAACATTTATAATTAATTTTATTATTATATTTTATTATTAATATTAGAAATGGAATAAATATTTAAATAAAAATTGTTAACATCAAAGTATTATTATAGCAATAATATAATACACGAATTAGAAGAAGGAAGAATAAAAACTTGCTAAACAAGGAACAAAATTTACATTTTCTATGGGGACTGTACCCTAGCACGCACCTGGTGCTCCAGGGGCCCCATACAAAATGGCAGCTTTCCCCTTGTGTAACCTGGGAATAAAGAAGGGAGGACAATTCTTTTTCCCCTCGTGGGTTAAGCACCAGAGGGGTTTCAACCAGCCCTTATCCTTCCGGCCAAATGGTCGAAAATAAGCGGCTGGCGACACATCGTTTGTTACATAAAAATTTATTCTATTATATTTTACAAAAAAAATGTTAATGCTTGAATTTTATCAAACCAGTTTCCTTCTCTTTTTATAAATTTCTCTCCGCTAAATCAATTTATTTAATTGAGTAAAATTTATATTTTATATTATTTCTTTTAACATATAAGTAATTTATATTTATAATTTCGAATGTTTTCATTTTTTATAAAAAAATATTCAATTTTGAATATTATGTTCCAATTTTAACTTACCACATAAAATTGTAAATTTCCGAAACCGGTAGAGAGCCTGTCTGACTATTTTTTAACGCCATTGCAATCAGACAAGAATAAGAGTAAGCCGGTTTAGGATAGGGTTTGTCATCATAGTCTGATAGATCGAATTCTTTCTCTCTTTTCACTGTACTGATAGTAGTAGATCCTGGATTGATGTGTACATTGTTATTATAGATCTGCTTTCGCACATGTTGAGGCATCTGGTTGGAACTCTGTAATACTTTGAAGTTCTGAATCCTGATGCCAGACATACCGTTTATTTTCGGGGTGGTCTGTGCCTTCGTGTATTGTGGGGATGTCATTTTAGTAGCTGATATTGAGATCGTTTTCGATTTGGACGGTGTCACCGATTTCGAGACTTCCTGCTCATCCTCGGAATCTTCTTCGGTTTCTGTGATATCGTTTTCATATTGTTCTGTCTCAGTATCATTTTCGATTTCGTTTTCTTGTTCATTTTCATTTTCATTTTCATTTTCGTTTTCATTTTCATTTTCAATTTCATTCTCATTTTCGTTCTCATTCTCATTCTCATTCTCATTCTCATTCTCATTTTCATTCTCATTCTCATTCTCATTTTCATTCTCATTTTCATTCTCATTTTCATTCTCATTTTCGTTCTCATTTTCGTTCTCGTTTTCTGTATAATTGCTACCTTCATTCTCTATCTCTTCTTCGACATCAATTTTCTCTTTTATGTCTTTTTTCGGTGAAAATGAAAAGTGTCGTCTGTTATTATTTGGAGTAGGACTTCGAAGTGCCATGTGCGGCATCACCGAGTTAGGATTTACCATAATGGAGGCTGCATCGCTTCCACTAAGGTCAAGATTGAAATTACTGAAATTAAAAAGTCCAGCTTTTAAAAAAATTGTTTTTCTTTCTTTTTTTTTTGAAAGATACATACTACTTATATACATATTACTTATATTATATTTTAAGTTGTATAATATAAAATTAAACACCTGTTCGAGCTATTGCTGTTTCCATTAAGTAAACTGGTGGATCCAAACCATCCACTAAGATCATTTTGACATCCAATGGGATCATCGTCCATTTCTAGAGCGGACATGTCGGTGAAATTAAAGCCCAACTCCGTATGCCCGCCGATAACACCCTCGATTTCGCATTTGATATCGACATCGAGCATCTCTTGCAACGATAAACTATCTGTACCGAGATAGTAATCCATCGTGAGCCAAGGGTCCCGCGTCGGTCCCTGAACCAGCTCAGTACCGTGTCTGCTCTCCGTATCCAACATTCACCTGACTAAAATATAAAAAAATACTAATTTTTATAATTGTTCTATTAATAATATATTGATAATATTTTTAAAAATAGACTATGATTAAATATCATTTGCAATTTTATATTTCTTCCATTTCGTTTGAGAAGAGAAAAAGAGAGTTAATCGTTTACTGATCATAAAAATTGCCTTACGTCAAAAATATCGATTTCATTTTGATTTTGACGAATGTCCATCTTATCGTTAATATTAAAAAAAATAATAATAATAAAATTATATTTCTCTCCATAGAAACACATATTATATTTTCACACAAATGAAAAGTTCATCGACATTTACTCTTCGATACTATCAATGAAGCAACTTTACTATTGTTGCTCATCAATAATACAAATCAAGAGGTACATTCATCTTCACTTTTGTATGTGTCTAACATACCGTCGATAATATTTTCATAAAAGAAGCGAATAAATAAATTTCGATGATTTTATCAGATCTAAGGATCATCCTCACGATCTCTTGTAGCAAGGCCAATAGATTCTCGACCGTGTCCGTACCCGCGTGACCTCGCGTGCGCGCGTTTGTGTGCTATGGTGTACACAGTGTGTACGAGCGTGCAACGAGGATCTTGAACCCACAACCGGCTTGTGGGTGTGACTGACTCATAGTACTATAGTCGATTTACTATAGAACGCGTGGACTCGTAGTATATGTCCCCTGTGCCCACTGCTCTCTTCATCTAGCCCCACTCTTGCTCATTTAACTATTCCACTCACAATCAACCCCTCTTTGTTAGCTTCGTTCCGCACCGTCGAGTTCTCTCTCTCTCTCTCTCTCTCTCTTCCTCTCGTTCATTCTTTCTCATTTTCTCTCAATTCTCTATCCTCCTCAATTAACTCGTTCTATCTCTATCTAGTTCAAGACTCGAAGGAACCCGGTTCGTTGTAGTATTCGATCCTTCGTTCACAGTTCTCGTCTTTATTTCATCATCGTGTTTTTTTATTTATTAGAAACCTAATCTTTCTCTGATCAATTATTATCTATTCTCATTCATTTTTTTTTTTTTTTTTTTTTTTTTTACTTTTGTTATATCATCTTTAATTTTAAATTGATTTTTCTAATGAAACTATGATTTCTGTATAATATATATATATAAAATACATATATTAAATCATAAATAAATTATATTACATAAATTAAATTATATTAAATAATAAAATATATATATATATTATTAATGTTTATACAATTTTGTATTATTATCAATATCTTTATTTTCTTTTTTTCTTCCCGTGTATTTAATATTTCTTTACCGAGAACTTTCATCCTCTTCTATTGCACGTTTCTTTTCAATCTCTGTTGCCTCGACGAGCGCAAGAAACAAAGCTCGAACGTGGCCTAACGAACAAACTAAGTATTTAACTCGAGTTCATATGTAAAATAGAAAATTCTTCAAACTATTGCTAAAGTAACTATTGCTAAAGTAAATTATCATCAGCGATATTAACGAATTGTACAGTTTCTTGAGTGAAGTAATGAAATCGTTATCGTACCGCGAAATTGAAGGATCTTTTAAATCAGGAAAAATTAAATTAATATTAAATTTGAACGTAGAAATTACGTAGAAATTGTCTTTGTTCGAATCGAAAATTGAATCGAAATGAATCGTTTCAAAAATGCTTTCTGTACAAAGTGAAAGAACTGGACGGTTGAATTATCGGCCGTGATGAAAAGAAAAGAAATGAAAAGAAAAACAAACAGAGAACTGACCCTGCTCGATGTAACTCCCATCGTAGAGTGGCCTTTACGCGCACGAGACATTCAAGTCTACGTGACTGAACGATATTCTTAGACGTGGAAGTGTAATGGAACTTTGCTCGATATACTTATATACGCAGCGGCTCGCGGGTTAAAGAAGCTTCTAAACCAACACCCACATTCCTATTAATAATTTCTGCGCGCGTTTTGGAATAAATATACAAAAATCGAAATATTCATCCAGAAAGAAAAAATTACAAATAGAATGTTACTTTCTCATAAGTGAAGAAGTCGGATGCATGGGAAGTTGATGTAAATACTGCGATCCATTTATAAACGTATTATGAACGTTTACATTGAAATGTTTGGAATTTCATAAAATCTAAAATATAATTGTGTATACAATATATTTGAGAAATTCCTTGAACTAAAAACGAATTGTTATTTTTATCATCATTTTTATTATTATTTTCTTGTTGAAGAATCGGATTAATTTATATTGCGTATTTGAAGCATTTCCAATATATATTATGTCAAGTGAAAATAAATAAATATGAAAAAATACTTAAAGAAAAAGATCAATCCGAAGGAAAAACGTTAAAGAAATTTTGCGGTGAAAGAATTTCAGCCGCGAAGCACTATATTATGCTGAAATGTTCTGCTAACAAAATTTCCACATATCTCGCGATTCTGAAGCTAGACTAGTTGGTCGATGAGAAAATGGAGCTGGGAAATGGGAAAAGAAGATGAGCAACGTCAGACATAGGTCATCGACCTGTCGAGAGCAACAAACGGCAGCATTTATAAAACGATAAGTTAATCTCTCTGAATGAGAGTTATTTCGAGGAAAAAATTTTAGTTAAAATTCTGACCGAACAGATTTATTACAGCGTTTATATCTCTTTGAGATTGAAACGTCCATTCAAAACTCTTCTTGCAAATTAGCGTAAAAATACAGTTACAAAATGAATTCTTTTGTATATGCAAATGAAAAATGTTAATTTTACTTAATTATACAAGATATCTTATTGAGGAGATACGCATTATACATGATAATGTTCAAATCGTTGCCTTTTTTAACGCGTCAAAGATAAATTAATTTCTGAATGGAAATTCCTGAGAAGAGGAGGGGGGAAAAGAGGAGAAATCATGAAAGAGACAGAAAGAAAAACGAGGCAGACACGTTTGACGCAATCAGACGCGATGGGCGCCACATGTCGAGTGCATCGAACATTTTAGGTAACATAACAGACTTCAAAACCGACGAGATTAAAACGGTCAAGGACCCAAGATTATTATGCGTCGAGGTCATAAGGGTAAAAAAATCGATTTCTCTCAAATATCTCATCTCAATTCTCATCTTTAAAATTATTTTATCATTAAATAATCGATGACGTTTCACAGAAGGAAAAACAACTAAAAACAAATTTGATTAGAGATGGAGCATGGGTTAAATTAATGGTAAATATCTCGAGTCTTAATCGTTAATAAATATAATCTTGGCCGCTCTTCCGATGCCTCTGGTAAAAAGAAAGATATAAGTGGAAATACAATCTTGAAAAAAAAATGCTTGCTTGCGTAATAATAACATCAAGTATCAAATAATCGTTCCACTAACAGTTGAACAACAGAAAGAATTCGACGATTAATCAGCGTATGTTTTAAGAAATAAATATACTAGTGTGTGCAGATAACGTGGGCATAAATTATCATATTATATATAGCGGAACAAATGATGCCACGATAACATTTTTTATGTTACCGACATTCTGCATTCGAAACATTTTTAACTTTTCGCTAGATTGAATTTACAATCTATATATTCTTTTAGACATATAATACATTTACTATTATACTGATAAAGAAGATAAAAAATTAGAAGATAAAATTAAGAACGAGGAATTTTACAATTATTTTTGAATGTCTAAAATGGAATTTCAAAAAAAAAAAATGTAAAAAATCCTTAGCAATGGCACATTGATTAAGACTAAATCTGCAGAATAGTGTATTATAATTTTATGCGTGGCCATTTGCGGTAAAAGAAGGGTCCTCGAAAATTGTATCTTGTTCGTGCAACAGGATAATCTTTCTCCCTCGTTGCCTCTTAAAGCTCAAGTTCCGAGAAGGGTCCTCCAGCGATAGACGATCCTAAGACCCTGGAGCTATTCAACCTGAAATCCTTCGCAGGTCATAAAGGGCTCCCTCTATATAGCTACCTCTATTTCTTTCTAGCCAAACGATCCACAAGATTTTTCTTTGAAGAGTTAACCTATCTCAGTCGATTTACAAGATCTTCTAACTTTTTTTAAAATTAATCGAGTTTTATAAGTTTCGAACGTTTTGAACGTTTCCTGCAATCCTTTCGTAAATGAACATGGACGTAACTTGAAAGAGGAAACTTTCTAAAAATGATTATGATCCAACCTTCCGCAAAGGTAATGAGGACTATTACGCATCGTCTACTTGGCAATAAAATAAATGTTTCTAAGTATCCATTTTCCAATAGTCAAGATCAACAAGGTTTTCTCTTAAGAAAATCCATCTTTCTTTAATCGCAATAAATTAATCTGGAATCAAAGCAACTATTAAACTACAAATGTTGGAAAAAGAAGAAAACAAAATTTTCCATGTACATCGGGTAATCTTCATTAATTAAAGTACTAGGGTGCATATATTTGCACGTTTAGAAGGAAGATAATAGTCCCGTAGATAGGGTGTAAATGTGCAGCGTTGGTGGTTAAAGGGTTAAAAGAGCGGCAGCGACGTTGGAACGACGTAACAACGCTATAAAACTCAACTCGAGCACGATAACTCCTCCGCGTTACAACAATCGACGAGATTTCCCTTTCACCAGGCTTTCGTAACTGTGTGTGCGTGTATACAGGCGCAGCTGTGTGTTGCTTGGAACACACCTGACGAAATGTCTGTGGCAAGACGATGCAATTGATAAACCGAAGGGAGTGGGGGCAGCAGGAAGATGATCCGAGGGGAAGATCTGGTATTTCTCCCTCTGGAAAACTCATGAATTACGAAGCTTGTTGTCAGCCTAGTTTTATACTTGATTCGACTCCTCTGTAATCTGCAAAAAAACACCAATATAAGAAACCGGGCTCTCATAAATAAGTTATAGAATAGATAGAAGAAAAAAAAAGGTGTATAGTGTATTGTTTGAATTCGAGAACGAGTTTGATGAACTTCTTTTGGAACTGAAACCAGTATCGGTAAAAAGAAGTCAATGTCTAACCATACAGGTGGAGAAGAGAGAAAGATATCTTTCCGAAAAGGATTTCTCCAAAAACAGTTTCCTGTTAGTGATATAAGAAACTGGTTGAGCAAATATTGACCTTAAGATGTAAACGTGCCGTCGACGAGATACATATTTCTTATCGCAGAAAGCGGCCATAGCTACGCGGCTTAATCATAAGAATATTATAAATATTCCGCGAAACGTTTTATCACGATAAAATGTAACAAATAAATTGCATTAAATATTAAAAAATATTTTAAATAACGCGAGAAAATTTTTCTAATAATATTCGAGCATCGTACCAGAGAAAAATGATTTTTAATATTCAACGATATTCTCTTTAACGAAATATTTTTCGAATTTTTCGAACGCGAATAAAATGGATTAAAGTGGAAAATAATTTTTATAAATATCGAGAGGAGGCAAAGTCGGCCAATTGACGGTGTAGGCTTGCGTGCACGTAAAACGGCGGGATTCTTTGTGATCGCTTCTCGAGAACCGGTTTGAATCGTGCAGAAGAGGGCTTATGAAGTGAGTCGAATGTGAATCGTGTTCGTCTAATAAATGAACTTTTGTCGACCAGTTCGATAACAACGATGTACGAGTTTTCAGTCTCATGTGACAAACCGATAATATATATAATATAATATATTAATTATATTACACACACAGAATTTCCAAAATTTCAATTAATAATTTTTTTACAAATTTTTTGCATTTTACGTAACATCAAATTATAAATAAATTTAAACTAAGACAAACTGTATGTTTTTCGATCGATTATATATATTTGCGGGCAAGTTTTATGATCAATGCGAGGATAGCGTGATTATTAATTTATGAAATATACGGCTTTACAATGCAACGATTCGCGTATAAAATCAAATATCAAATAATCTATAGTGCACAAATCATTTTACTATTCGATTCTAATCTTCTTCGTCCATTCCTTTTTCAATATTCTTTCATTATTTTATATGTATCACAAATTTTATTAATCGTATCTTTTATTATTATACTTCAATTCGTATTTTGTCTATTCTACTAATAGTAGAATATTTCATGTTCAAAGATATCGTTTCTCTCTCTGTCAATAAGTTTGTTCGAACGAAAAGACGTGTATTAACATCATCTATAAATTTATAATGCCAAATACAGTTCGGCATGTTTTTATTCTTGCCTGATATTACTTCACAACGGCAGCCAGCTGCCGAGAACAGTCAATTTCATTACGTGTCGTCGAACTCTGCAGCTGTATTTTCTTGCACGCTCTCGCGCCCTTCTCATCGAGCTTTCTCCCCTTGCTGTTAGCGAAAATTCGACCTTCAACTTTTCCATTCATCCTAATCTTTGCCAATCTTTAAACTTTGTTCTCAATGATGAAAATGATCAAAGAAAAACTATTAATTTATCATAAAAAAATATATATATAAAATATATATAATATATATATATATATATATATATATATATATATATATATATGTATAAATTACAAAAAAAAGTAGTAAAGATCGAGAAGAAAGAATATACCAGAATGTTGGTGAAACGAAGAAAGTCTCAAAGTCTTCTTGAATTATTGATATGAAATTTTGGAACACGCGCCTTTCCCAAACAATTTTTCAAACCGAATACTGAGAAAAATTACGATCTTTGAACGTTAAAAAAGATTAATAAGAATTCTAAATCAGCGTGTTCTCGAAAGCAAATGTATTTTCTCTGGACGAAGAAATACAATTCGGCAAAAAGGATTAAAAAATTCGCGAGCTGATTTTTGTGGTATTTGCAGAGGTACAGGTGTAAAGGCTGGCTATCCCTTTGTTCTCGAAACTACCATTACAGACAGGTAAGAAAAGAGTCGAAGCGTGTCGGACGGCGGAAGTCTTTCCTGGCAGGTAGCTACGAATTTTTAGCACTGGTTCAATTCCTCGGGCTTTCTCATGCTTCGATACCCCATCCTTTCTCTCTATTATTCTTTATTAATTTTTTCCTCTACATCACCCGTAATGCGATCTGTAATCTTCTTATCGATGAACTTAAAATCACTTTGAGGGAAAGAAATTTGATATTATGTGTACAGTAAGCGTGAAAAAGAATTTTTTTTTTTTTTCTAATAGAAAACAGCGTAAATGAGGAACATTGATACTTGAAAATATTCGACAAAAAACGAAACCTCGACCTTTTAACGTTGTATTGCAAGGAATGTACAAGTGTGTAAAGCTTGTACACGTCGAACGTCAGTTTCACGGCCGTGAAAACGCAAGACATCTCACGGGTCGGATCTTTTCCCATGGCCGCGGTGCTTACCGGCTACTTCCTCAACGGGCCACACTTCCGCCGATAATGTTCATGACCTGGACTCCCCGAGTCTCGACGACGTTACATTTTTTTCTCTCCTCTCCGCCGTTGTATGCAAATAGGTCACGCAATTTCTCTCCCCTTCTCATATGCGTCTGTGCAACGATGACCCTGATGGAATTATTATTCGAATAAGTTTCGAAACATGTGTTTAAAAGGATAGAAAAATGATTTAAAAATGCTTCGAGCTCAGCTATTACTATCCGAAGCTTCGAAATGTTTATGGAGCAACATTTGTATGAGAGATTTTATTGCGACATCAAAATAATATGGAATGGCTGGCAAGTTAATAATATTCTTTGACCAATAAGCAAATATCGACGTTGGAATGGGGAAAGGATTCATCAACGAATCGCATTGTTTCAACCAAGTAATTTCGCCTTTTTTTTTTTTTATGATCTTTCCATCAATCAACACGAGAATCTTTTCAAGGAAAAGTTTTTTAATTCGTATGCTTATACTGATGATCTTTAGATAATTTTAAAAAATAAGGTATCGACTAAAGGTCATCAATTAAATAATCCATAAGTATTTCTTTCTAATGATCTTCAAATTAGTCGATTACTAAGACGCTTAATAAAACGTTTGAGAAAGTGATGCTCTTTTCTTCGAGCTCTCTATTCGTTATATAAGATATAAAAAATTTAAACAAGGCTATATAAACTGGGAACACTGCTACTAATGCGTGAACAAGTATTATGCATAGTTTCAATAATGTTTTTGGTCATACATAGTTGAAATATATATACATTTTTGGCTCGATTTGACATATTTTATAATGAAAGGATACATAGTGAAAAAAATATAATGAGAGATCGTTTGGGTCTAGCTTACCAGGTGCTTATAAAAACACCTCTAAGTTAGGTATCGAAATTTTTGACCTCCGAAATTACCGTTGAAATTTTTCTATTTCCTCGAGCAATGGGATTTCGTTTCGTGATTGTCGACGAACAACGTGACGAGAATAATATTACTTGAAGAAATGAACAACAGTATTTGGAATTCTGTGAAAATTATCATAGACAATTTTCTTATTACTCAGAGATTCATTTAATTCGAATTCAATATTATGAAAATTATAAATATGTGGATTTAAATATGAATCATTAAATGAAACTTACTGAAAAATAATAAATGTGAATATTCATAGCATATAGTTTAAAGATTATTATATAAAAATATTTTATTATAAAAAGATTATATATAAAAAGAGAAAAATGTGAAAAGAAATTACAAAATAATTCATACGTAATGTTCATACGAAAATGTTTGATATACGTTAAACAAATTATATGAATAAACTATTACAAATAGCACGAGGCAACGAAGAACATTGGTTTCCGGTGACATCATTTTCAAGGCTGTGAAATAAATACACGCAAATGCATGCTTGATATCGAGTGAAACAACATGAAAGTGTTTTAAAGAACGAAGATATATCGAAGATGTATACCGATCTGACCACGTGTTTCCTGATACAATTTTCGCGCTATAAAGTTAGAAGAAACGAGAGCACAGCTGGCTTCTTTTTCCTCTTGGCTCTAGAGACTAACCAACGAGGTCAATCAGACTAGTAAAAAGAGAGTAACGCGAAAAACTTTACACCGAGACGAGAAGATGAACTGCTTCCTTCTGCGCAACATAATCTTCGCTTTCCTTATCTATCTGCAAAAAAGATATCATCTTCTAAACAACTAAATCATCGTTTGGTTAATATTAATACTTATGTTCAAGATATTTAAATTATTCCACTTTTTTTTTTAACTTTTTGCATTGTATATATTTGCATATATTTTATTATATAATTATAACAATTTATCTTCCATAAGAATCGGTAATAATATAAATATTGAGTCAACAATTAAAAAAATTTAATTGCTTTTTTTTTATTTTCTCTAACCAATCGAAATTTTTTCTCTATTTATTAAAAACTACATTTCTCTATTTATTAAAAATTACTATTACTTAAATTAAAATAAAAATTAAAGAGAAAATAAATAAACATTGGGTGTTTTTCACGAATGTTTGTCGACAATTCTAAATAATATCAAGATTAATTACAGAGTGAATTTGGTTGGTATTAAAATGGAGGGGCGTATCCGAGTGCATAGAGAGAGAGCCTATAGTCTGGATCTTGCGATGGACCAACCGTAGAGATACGTATAGCTGTGTGCTCTCCTCTCCTACCCGCGCTTTTCGCCGAGTATCGATCTGATATCCCTGCCGCCAGTCGACCAGTGTTTGCGAGAGAGCTACGAGCATGTCTGCACCCCCCTACCCCTACCACCGTGTGCGTGTGCACGCTTACAAATGAACGATGAAGTTGGTAGTAGTGGTGGTATGGCTCGGTTCTTGCCTGCTGCAAGACAGTTTGAAAATGCATCAAGCCAGTCTTTCTTTCAGATACATTTTTTACTTCTGTCAATTGTCCATTTGATTTTAATTATTGACCGAATTTCCTACGAGAGATTGATAAAGTAAATTATAATATAATTTTTCACTTATTCTACGTTATAATATTATGAAGAGATTTATTAATAGTTCGAATATTGGTTAGAAATAGACGTCTGCGCGGTTGGAAATCCAATTTCGTAGTATGTACGTCATATCGTTTTGCACATCGACAGAAAAACAGATCGAACGCGGGAACGTCATGTACACGTGGACGTGTACCAATGGCAAATTGGCGCGAAAAAATATCATTCTTAGATTTATTGTTGCAATTATGATTACGGTTAATCTTTTCTTAATCTTACAGATGGTTAAAAAAAAAACATTGAATATTAAAGAACATTAAATAGAATAAAAAATAGTAATGGAAAATAGTAATACTAATTATACAAATGATGTGACAAATCGATTTTCGATATAAACTTTAAGCTTCGATATAAACTTAATTTAATCGAATTACTTTCTATTTTACTTTCACCGAAGAGAACCGATTTAGTTTTCTGAAAAATTTTGCATGTTACGTCGAATGGCACGCAATCTGCATTCGACAAAACGAATTTCTCTATACGAATTTCTCTATACATTCGCGACCAAGTTGTTGTGTGTCATAATACCAATAGTTACCGAAACGCAAGATCGATCCTTGATTTCGATTAAATAATGATTAGAAGAGATATAAGGACGCTGAAAATCAAAATATTCGAATGAGCAAATATCTCACATTGATAATATTTGACCGTTTTTTCATAATATTTACCAAAGGTAATATAAACGTAAATGTAAAATTTAATATATTAACATCGCTTAAAAAAAAAAAAAAAACAATGTAAACATAAGCGTAAAATCCGTCACGTTATCATCGTTCTAAAAAATTGTATTACAAATGTTTCACATGATAATAACAAAGGATCAAGATCATAAACATCACATAAAAGCATAGTTCACGAACTATTTTTATAGTTATCTTTTCACATTTTTTAATATGACTTTTTAACGTGTTTGAAAAAGACTCATTTCATTTCTAAACAATCGAATCAAATGTTCATCTCAAACGAGTAAACAGAAAAAAACGAAATAAAAAAAATATTGAAATATATAATTACAATATTTTTAATAATTTATAAACAAAAATTCGTATTTATCAATTCCTATTTTTCACATCTCATTTAAAATATGTAAAAATATTTATTTCACTAGAAAATATTTGGAAAATAAAATAATTAAAACTTTAAAAATTAATATTTTTTTAAAGTTTAAAATTAAAAAAAGGAATAAAAAAAAACAGAGAAAAAAATATTAATAAGAATTTATCAATTAACATTAAGAAATAATTTTTTTTATGAAAACATAACAAAAATACTAAATAAACAAAAAGCATTGATAATATAAGAAATATTTCTTAATGACAAATAATCATTTGTGAATATGAAACATGGCGAAGTAAATTTCGGTTGAGCCTGTAGGATATTTCCTGCGGTGGGCATATGGCGAGGGGTAGGGTTCCCAGAAGGTTCCCACGGTCAATAGCTTTCGTGGCGGTGAGGCTTGAAAGTGCTCGAGGGACCTTCCTTACTACTCGTTATTTGCAATATTTTCAAAAAAATCTCTTTTTCTGACGACGATTCAATGAAAAACTATATAATTCTATTATGAATAAATATATCATTATGCATATTTATAGAAACAATAATTTATACAACAATAATATATTTTTATAATAATATCATAAATATCTTTGCTTTATCTGAAAATTAGCTGAAAAATAGCTTATTTCTTATAGATCTTAATTTCCACTGAAAATGACCATTTTTAATTGCTATCCATGTTATTGATTACCTTGCAGTCAAGACGAGGGAAACTTTGGGTTAGCTTCGTTAATTATTTTAAGCGTACATTGCTTGTTACATTTATGAAAAACAATTTATTTTATTTTAATTAGTAAATTTTAATTAATAAAAAGCCAACAACTGTTTATCATTAAATTTATTTTATTAATGTTTAATTATTTTTGGTAATATTTTTTCAGAAATTCATACATAAAACGATATTATATAATAAATAAATAATGATAAAAACAATAAACAGTATGTTAATCTGATTTGATATGCAATTGAAAATCAATAATAATTTATTTAGATTTCATTCGAAATGAATATAGAAATCATAAATTGCTTAAATAGTAATTGAATTAATTTTTTTTAATAAAAATGATTTATTAAATTAGAAAATCATTTTTGTGCACAATTATTTCTTTATATCATTTATGAATACAACAGTAAATCAAAATGATACGTAGTATAAGTGCAAACATGACATTGCGTACAGTATATTGCGCGGCAAAACAATAGCTTTCATCACCGGAAATTCATATTATATCAGTAAGGTTTCCCGGTAATACACTCTCTTCCCGCCGAAAGTTATATAGAGATCCATTAAGTCTATGATGAATCACTCATTGAGTTCGATTTGACACACAAGCCAAGTGATTGTTTATTTTTATGGAGCATTGTACGCTTAATAAATAATTGCCATGGTGATATGATCACGGCCGCCTACGCTACGAAATCGACGGAGCGCGGCAAATGTATGAATCTTGTGACCGATCATGAATTTATCGTATCTAAATGGCCTAAAAATACCGGTTACAGAAGTAAAAAAATTCTCGAATCATCGAATTATTGGCAAATTAAGCGGACACTATTAATCATCATAATTAAACACGAATGTAAATATAGATATATCATAAAGCATAATAAACTCCATACAATGAAAAGTAGAAGAAAAAAAATTGGCGTTGAAAGCGTCATGACTGCCCCCTTGTACCTTGACACTCGAAAGCTATGATGGCTCGGCGGGCCGGCAAAGAACACAAAATATTTTTTCATGATTTTTCGACAAGACTTGTATGAACGGCATATGATAAAACATAACAAGACCTACCGTATGTTTGACAATCCTTAAATCACGTCGTCCTCGCGGCCAAGCACCACTTTCACACATATATTTACAAGAGAATTATGCGATTTTTGGCAGCGACCATGTATAAACGGACACCGACACAAGGCCCCCTTTACGGAACTGAAGTAACGTTGACGGGAGGATAGTGAACAAAGACCACGCACGATTTCAAATTTCGTCCTGACGATTGGCCAGCAACGGTCACGTGGTTTTACCGCCCTCTCCTTATTGGCTGTTCAGTATGGGTTGTGAAGACATTTTAAACGATGTACTTATACACATGGCCGACCAAGAAATATGTACAAGGAAATTTTCTTTCTTATTTTTATATAGAATTATTATTTCTGTTAAAAATAACTATTTTTTGGAAATAGTTATTCATTAAATTATCAATGGCAACGATAGACACTGCAGTATATATATATGAATGACAACAATTGCACATCTTCTCCCTTACCTTCCTCACTTCAAAATGGCCGAATCCAAACAATATATGAAAAATCAGTTACTGTTACTATGTTTATTTCAATATATTTTAATTTCATATATAACTTAAAAAAAAATTTCTATTTTTTGTTATTCTTTGAAAACAAAATATTTTACAACATATACTGATTGCACGAAAATTTTTTATGATGGGAGATGAAAACATCGGACGAGCCCATCATTCTAATAGAGAGGGGAGGGCGGTAGTTATCTTAAAAATGAAAAATAGTAATAATAGCATGAATATATATATATATATATAGACTTTAACATGAAAAAAGAATTTAATACAATTGTTATCCCGTAAAATGGATTTTACTGTCTTAAATTAAATAATAATAGAATATATTAGCATGATTATATTTTTATAAAATTTCAATTAAAATAAAATTTTCGATATTATTAAAATTAATAGACGACTTTTTCAATATATTTACTCTATTATACATAAAAATATATTATTAATATAACGATTTTTGCTATAAATTTTAAAATGGATAAATATATTAATATAAAATGATAAATGATTATTTAAACTATATATAAATATATATAACTATATATATATTATAGTTTAAATAATCATTTATCATTTTATTAAAATATATATATTATTGTTACATATGTAATAAAAATTTTTAAAGTAAACTTTATGTAAAAAAAATTTAACGCCTTTACAGAAATCATCAATTATAAAATATTATATACAATTACGAAGAAAAAATATTTTGTGTACTATATTTCTTGTACTATTTTGTACTTGATTTATAAAAAGATTTCATAATAAATATTAAGTTATACCAAACTCATTAGAAAAATCCATAAATACACTTTTTAATACCTGATTCAAATCAGTTCTGTTCCTCTTGATGAGATTTTCTTTTCCATATTGTTGGAACATATCATTCGCATTGATATTCTCTTAAAAACTTGTTTTCAATTATTTTCTAACTACCAAAACTGACAGTGTGTTGAAATAATGAATTCCATTGAATCATCATATGATTATATTAATTTTTCACTTATATATCGAACATTTTTCTTTTATAGTTATTATTTAGTAATTTGATATATTTATATAAATATGTATAACATATATATAAATTATATTTTTATAACAATTATAAATTTTAAAATTTATGTAACATTTTTAAACTTTATGCATTATTGCACTAGGTTGTTTATTTACTTCACCATATTTTTATATATTATAAATATTTTTTAAACTTAATATGTTGACTTAGACATTTGCTACTGCTGCTATAATTTTCATATATATTTCAATACCTTTCAAGAAAATGTCTTTATTCAAATATTCATCATGATCGTGAAGGAGCATTTTAGTTTTATTCATGGGTGAAAAACCAATAGCAGGAATTCCAACCTGGAATAGAAAACAATTCTTAAAAAAAAAATGTATTTAAAAATAATTTATAAAAATAGAAAATCATTACCTGTCTTATATATCGACTATCAGTTCCACCTGGAAAAATTCCTATTTGTAACTGTATTGCAAGGTCATCACAAGCTTTTTTAAAAGCAATCCAAAAAAGATTAGAATCATCAAGTTTTGTATTTTCAACTTTAGGATTTTTTTGTTCAAATGAATATGTAACATCAGAACCAGCTTCTTCACACCATTTTTTAATCATAGCTTCAAACTCATAATGATCAATAGAAGGATCAAGTCGACAATCGAAAATTGCTGTCAAGCAAGGAGGTATAACATTTGGTTGTACGCCACCCTGAAATAAATTATTTTTTGTATATATAGTTAATATAATACTATATATATATATATACAAAAAATATACTATATATTATAGATTTATTAATATATAATATAATATATAATATAAGTGGTATAAATTATTTTTACAATTTACAATAATAATATATAAAATAATAATTATGATACTACTAACTATATTTAATTATTATTAAAATACTTACTGTGTATATTATTTTCCTAACATGAACAGTCATGTAATTTTTTAAATAAAATTAATTATATTTTTTCAATATAATAATTTAATTAAAATGTTTAAAATAATATAATATATAATAATCATGAATTAAATGAATAAATTTCAAAAGTTTACATACCTTCAATAATGTTAAATTTATAGTTGTAATATCACCAAGCTGTATTTTTGGATCTTCCAATTTTGCTTTCTCCTTAGCTCTAAAATCCATAAAACGATCAATTATGACTCTTATCTTTTCTCCAGCTGTATTATCCAATAGAAGAGATCCATGACCTGGATTGCCTGAACATTCTATTACAACATGCCAAATTGATCTCTCTCCATAAAACATAAAAAAACTTTCTTCAGGTGAAGCTACACCTTCATCTAATGCAAAACCAATATTTAAAGCTTGAAAGTCTTTTGTGTGTACAAAATCTTCCATGCCAAGAACTCCTCCTATTTCTTCATCTGGTACAAAAGAAATATGAATTGTTCTTTTAAAACGTTGTCCAGTAAGTTTCATACGGCGAATTGCTTCCAAATATTGAATTCCAACACATTTCATGTCCTGACTACCACGTGCATATATGTTTCCTTTTTCATCTATATGAGCATCAAAAGGAGGATAAGTCCATTTATCCTAAAAATTTTTCTTTATTAATTATATATATTATAGATTTATTAATTTTTTCCTTAATTTAATTCCTCAGATTTGACATCAGATTTGACATCTGTGCTATGTTAACTTATATTGCTTCATTTATAAATGAAAATCATTTTACTTTCTTTTCAAAAAATTTTTTAATACTTTTATTTTTCAAAACATTTTTTTATATCATTTAGAATTATATTAAAGAGATTTAAAATAATTAAAAAAACAATTTATAGGATACTATATTAATATCAATTTTGTAATTTTTCTATTTGAAATTTGTCATGTCTAAGGAATTAACTAATAAATATGAATAATTCTAATATATACTTCAAAAACAGGTACAACGTCCATATGACTATTTAATAAAATAGCTGGTTTTGACGGATCTATGCCTATCCATGTGAGAACCACAATTGGTTTTTTTGGGTCAACATAGTATATTTTGATAGGTAAATCAAGAGACTTTGCCTGTTTCTCAAGAAAAGCGACACAATCATCTGTAAAATAAAAATCTTAAATTAATATAGATAATATATATTAATTATATAATCATTATATATACATTAATTATATAATTTTATCATTCTTTTTTTAATAATATATAGATCTCTATATTTTTTTAGTCCAAATATAAGTTATTTCATTATTTTTGAAATTCCCAAAACTGTTTTCTGATGTTTTAATGTTTCATAAAAAAAATAATTTTATTTTTTGCAATGATTAACATTTTTTATAAAAAAATTTACAAAATTTCATATAGACTATCAATCATTACAATGTAACTAATATATTATGTAATAAATTATTTATAGCAAAAGTATTATTTTTTAATAATTGTTTATTGGTAAACTCAATTAGTTCAAATAGATATAAAAAACGAATAAGGCAACATAAAGTTTAAGAGAAATTACTAATTACGTACAATTTAGGTCAATCACGAATCATGCTTAAATAATGATCGTATTCAAGTCATTAAATTTCCATTTTTTCGCGAAGTATAACAAAGTAGAAAAAATAATTTTGTAGAAGATTAAAATGCATATTGTCATCTCAATGAAAAAATATAAAAATAGAAATAATATTCCATACAGGGTGGGGCATGCAATGGCTGGGTAGCGTCTCCGACGCTTCGAACTTGGTTGAGTTAAGTGAGAGATTGTCTGTATGCATAAATGTAGAAATGTGTGAGCATTGTGAATTAATTAATTAAGATTAATATGTAAAAATAGGGGTCTTGTATTGCATGAAAAATGTATGATTTGCTTAAGAAGGAAATGATCAATTTCGTCCCAGTATGCAATATGTGTGCATGATTTTTATATACGATAATCGTATCCTTAAAGATATATATCTATCACATGTATATATATATATATTATTATTATTATATATATACATGTGAAATTCAAAAACTATTCGCATTGTTTATCATGGCAAATGAATTAGAAATGCTAAAAATTTAATATCTCAAATTGCTTACCATAATTAACGTTCGGTTGAACTGATGGTATACGTAAGTATTCACAAAAATTTTCTACAGCTGTTGCGTCCAACTGAACTTGGGACGACAAAGACATTGCGCTGTCTGCTGATCGTCGCGTCGGACGCCGCTGAGTCGACTGTCATAGCAGACGCCTGCCGCTTGTGCTTGTCTCGACCAATTGCGGTGATTATTAGCGATGACGTAGACGAGAATCGATCAATCGAAACGCGCGAACACAGATAGCGGGTTTGCGAGCATTTCTTTGAAAAAATAGACAGTAGATTAGAGATTACAAGTTCTGGAAAATTTTTGACCGTGATAAGAAAACTGACAATTAATTTATGATAATATCCGTAGTATATGAAAATAGGTTGACTCCGGTATCAGATAACGAGTAAAATAAATAAGAAATAATTAGGAGATAATTTTTTTCGAATCATATAGATATATGAATACAAAAGAAAAAGGTACACAGAATAAAAGAATTTTAAGACTTGTTAATTCGTAAAATGTATTCCGATTTATTAAATTTCATGTATGCCTAAATATGAGCTCTTTACACGTTACGCCATAATATTATATTCATATAGAGTTTGATATCGAAGAACTTGTTACATTCATTAATCGATAGTACGAATTAAATTATTATACAATATAGAATATAATGCAACGTGGCTAATAACTAGGCACATACATGTAACAGTGAATTGCAAATAAAAAAATTATGTATTTCGATACTATTATAAAGACGAACTCTTTTTTATATATATATAATTATACATCTACATATAATTATATATATATATGTATATATGTACATACAATATTATAATAATAATATTAATAATAATAATAATAATGATAATTATAATAATAATAATAATAATCACTATTGATCTGTTTTATTTACAACATTGAAACTATTGTACTAACGAATTTTTTACTAAGTTTTGCCGTCTCACCTCTCTAACTCACGTCTTACTTATATTTTCTTTATATGATAACAGAACGCCTTTTATCGCTTTAGAATGTCATTATACAGATACCATAGAGCAACCAGAGAGAATTATTGTACAACGAATAGAATACATTACAAAGCTGAACGCATGTGTATGTAACTTCAAAAAGCAATCGTATTACTGTTGTTTCATTTTTTGTTATTATCCTTTTTAATTTTCATTCTATATTTACTCTTTTATCTGTTCATAAAGAATGTTTGTTTTTTCTTTTGAAAAGATTTCAAGGAGACGTCCATACTTAAATTTATCTTACAAAAATATGTACAAGTTTCACAGTATCGTCAATCAGGTAGTGAACGTAAGCTATACACATATTTATCTCACGTATACATTACCTGATCAACACAAGTAACTTACACTAGTATACATGTTTATTACAAAATATCGGCTAAAGTATAAAGGAATACCAAATGCCAAAAATATCGCTCGTTTAGTTTTCCAAGTTTCAAGTATCTTTTTTTTTCAGGTTTCAAGTATTTTTGCTTTTTGTTAATATATTTATATTGATTTATTTTTATAGAAGCTGTAGCCGAATAAACATAAGTTAAATAAGAGGTGGTTGGAGAGTCTAACATATGATGTTTTTATACCTTATATTATTATTGATAAGATTTATAGAATGTATCAGAAATTTTGTAATTTTTAATAATTCATTCCTTTGTATTTTCTTTTCTTTAATATCTTATTCCCTAGTCACAGATCTCTCTAAACTTTGATACCATATTTAAACATTTTTTTTCTTCCAATAAAACATGTCAGAACGATATAACGTGGCTTTGTCGCGTGCTAAAATTCCACTGATCATTTCTTTTCAAATATAAAATTTTACTGATTGAAAACTCTTTATTAGCATTTAAAACTGAAAAAATATAATATTATAAAAATGTAACAAATAAATCTTTAAAGAATAATGTTCATTAAACATAACTTTTCGTTTATCCAGAATATTGTTATCGAAATCTTAAATTTTATATGTAATTTATCTTTTTTTAACATTAGAAAATATTTTTTTTTTGTCTGTATGAATAATACTTTAATATTTTGTAATTTCGTGCAATTTTTTTTACAAGTCAAAAATGTCAAAATAGTTTTTTTTTTCACTTTTAATATTTGATTCGATAATTGTTTATATGATTTTTTTTATATTTTTATTATTGCACATGATGGAAATAGAGTGGAAATTAAGAAATATTTATGGCCTTTAGATTCAGTATAATTTAAATTTTCCAGCTAAAAAATTTCTCTTTGATCGAGAGAAATAATTCGTTGTGTGTATGTATTCTTTTTGAATAGAATATTAAATGTGAGTTTAAAATCTGCGAAGTATACAAGAGCCGAATAATCATAACTCATATTACAACGAGGAACTCCGAATAAGAAATATCGTAATTAATTAACGTATTTAATATTTATATATGTACACACGACAAATACGCAACGATTTCGATATGAAATCTTTGTACAACACTGTACACTGGGCGAATTGTCCTTAATCAAACATTTACACTTAAGTAGAAAAAAAAGAAAAATAAGAGAAATCATCGATCACCGGGTTAAAAAGGAAGAAAAGAAAATAACTAAATTTACAATGCAAATAAATAAATTTTTAAAAAAAATTTGACATCCTTCTTAGTACGGAACAATTAGAAGAATCTACAAATTCCGAGAACGAAAAAAAAATGCAAACAACTTACGCATTCGTTAATTCGTTTTCTCACTTTTTTCTTTACAAAAAATAGCCTACAATTTTCCTGCCATACTAATTTCTTTTTTCTTATTGCAGTTTATTTTCTCTCTCTCTCTCTCTCCCTCCCTCTCTCTCCCTCTCTTTCTCTCTTTTAATACATTCTTTCTCTATATCGCCTCTTAAAGAGCTTTGTACTTCAGAATGAATGTTTAGTTTCAGGATTTCCAAGGATCGTCAAATAAAAAATATTTGTCGCGGAGACGCCTCTCAATATCAACTAAAATCATGTTGTACTATCGATCGTGTTTAGGAAAAAACAATGAAGGGAAATTTGAAAATTTGAGCGCAAAAAAACAATTCTTAAAAGAAAAGATGTGTCAGACTCTTAGCAGGAGGTACAGAGCGATGAAATCGATACCTGGGAAATTCAGTCTAGATTTATATTTTCTCTTTTCAACTGTACAATTTTAGCCTAAATAGGCTTATTTTCTTCCCATAAAATCGATGTTCATCATCACGATGGAATCGAAAAGCGGTAATTCCAATTTTCGATAATGAATCTGTCACTGTGCAGTGATATTGTTCCATTTGAATTCTATGAAATCTTTCTTTTATGAAGTTATTTTTTTTTTGTTTTCTTTAAGATTCCGATCATGCCGATACTCTTTTCTTTTTTGTTCTTTTTTTTTTAAAAGAAAAAAAAAAAAAAAAGAAAAAGAAAAAAAGAAATCAAATAAAAAACATAAAAAAATAAAAATAAAAATTGCAACTCACAGCACAGTGTTTTAACTTTTTCTGTATCTCTCCCTCTATCCTTAACTAAGGTTAAATGTACATTTTAATATCGTTATATTATGCATATATGCAAATGATATTTACAGAAAAATCGTATTACAATGTAAGTATGCACGTTTGTGTATCTGTTTCTGTGTATTTGTGTATACATATATAATATATATAACTGTAGAGTTTCCGAAACAATGTATATCACCATTATCATTTCGGATTAATTCCAACTTTGTTATAGTTTCGTCAAAATTGGACTAATGCTATATATAAATGTTTTTTAGGGCACCATTTCACCGATATTAAAAGTGTACAATGTTCAATACACTTTTGGCCATAATACTTAGATGCCAATAATTTTCTTAAACACGGTCATTATACATAATACACAAGAACACTACATTTTGTTTTCTTTCATTTTTCTCTGTTCCTTTTTCCAGTTCAAAATACTTAATTGTCATTTTAGGCCACGCGAATTCCATCGAGTGCGTCTCCGAAACCATCAGAAGCATTAATATTTCTTATGTTTCTTCCTTCGCAGTCAACGGTGTACGCATAATGTTTTTTATATAAGCGAGAACAGTGTAGCACCTGGTATCACGAATCTCTTCTCACATGCCAATCGTGTGCATGAATTATCATTTTGTCATATATAATCTAAATACCCTTTTGCTATAACACGAACGACATAAGAAAGAAAAGATCGTGAATTTATTTTCTGTTCCACACTCAAAATATCTTGTTTCACTCCCTTTCATTTTAAACTACAAAGGATAACTTAACATTTTAATCTAATGGAATTAAGCAACCAGCCATGAACCTGGTGTTTATTCTGGTGTTATGAATTAATGATTTAATTCATAATCCGGCCAAGTATAATAAAAATTTCCCAACTAATAACTTTTCGATAGCACTACCTTTTATGTGGGTTAAGATCTTGGTGCCGGATGATTGTAAAATTGCTTTTGCGATTGGCCAGTTGCAGGATATATTTGATTTCCAGATGGCGGAGTCACAGATGTATACTTGGAGATCGATACTGCAGTGGTAGATGGTGGAATAAATTGAGGAGGATATGGATTCGAGCCCGGCGGTGCTTGTGACGCTTGAGGTATTAAGAATTGTTGTGTCTGCTTGTTTGCAGAAGTCTGAGGCGTAGCATTTGCATAGACGGGTTGTGAAGTGTTCTGTGGGACTGTGAAGTTTGGATATTGAACGGAACAAGGTTTAGCTTGGAATTGAGGATAATGAATAGGTGCGGATCCTGGAGGAGGAATATAAGGTTGAGGAGGCAATTGTGGTAAAGGATAACCTGGTGGAGTATTTGATACATTGGGATGAGGTGGAGACGCTTTTCGCGCTTTTAATATTGCCTCTGCTGTTAGACCTGTAATAATTTATAATCGTAAGAGCATAATATTAAGAATATAAAAATCTAATGTATAGAATATTTACCGTGTTTGCGAGCTCTTTCTTCTTCGTCGTCGCTAAGAAATAATCCAAATTCTCGTTTTAGTCTTTCTGTAAGATTTTCTCTTTGACGCTCAACTAAAGTTGGTGCTGCAGACCAACCAATTGTTCCCTCCTCACCACCTATAAAAACATTAATGAAATAATATATTATTTTTAACATAAATAGTCTAAATCTTTTACTATTATCTATTATTATATATTATATTTATATTAACCTTTTTTTTCTTCTCCTTCCGCATTATTGAAAAGCGGTAATGTGGTTAAGGTTGGTATATCGAGAGATAATGAAATTTTTGAACCTTCTTCATCAGAACTAAGTGATGAAGTTCCGCTGCTCGCACTGTCTGATCTACCTCTAGCTCCGCTTTTATCTGTTGTAGAATCGCTCGATGGTTCAGGTTCTGGAGGTGTTCCAGATGATTGTTGTTTCCGTTTACGATATTCTGATATGGATAACTAAAACGACAAATTACTTTTGAATAAACAAGAAACACATAGTTGAATAACTTCGAAAATAAGATTTTATTCTATAGTTATTCTAACCTTTCGTTTAACAGGAGGAATTGTTTCAGGTTTAAATGTAGGAGCTGGCATACTATTTGGAACGACCGTTCTCGGATCCTTTAATCGTTTGATTTCTTTAGGTGGAACTTCCTCTTCTTTTATTGGAATTTCTTCATTGTGAACATTATGAACATTTTGAGAAATAGGTTTTAATACAGATTCTTCTATTTCTATATTTTGTTCCGAATTCTCAGATTTTGATTCGATATACATAGTATTATTTTCTTCAGTATTATTCATTTCTTCTTTAGCATCATTAGGTGTCAGATCATCCAATTTAGCTTCCAGCAATTCTCTTAAAGCCGTTGAAAGCATAGATTTTTCTTCACCATTTTTTGATTCATCTTCTGTCTCCATATTAATGGTAGATTCGATTATAGCTGCTTCAAAATTCAATTGACTTTTTGAAGCATTTGTAGTTTCTGTTTTTTTACGAATACGTTCACTTAATGGTGGAATGGAATGAAAAATCTTTGGTGGTTCTACAATAGATTCTGTATCCATATTAGAGGATGCAGACTCGAAAATGGATTCTTCTGATGACGTAACAAATGCGGACGGCTGTTCTATTTTCTGAGATTCCTGAATCTGTTCAATTTCTTTAATACTATTCTCCATTGAAGGATCAGGATCAGGATCAGGATCAGGATCGGGATCCGGATCAGGATCAGGATCAGGATCGGGATCAGGATCAGGATCGGGATCAGCATCAGCATCAGCATCAGCATCAGCATCAGCATCAGGATCAGGATCAGGATTAGGACCAGGATTAGGATCAGAATCAGGATCAGGATCAGGATCAGGATCAGGATCAGGTTCAGGATCAGGATCAGGTTCAGGTTCAGGTTCAGGTTCAGGATCAGGATCAGGATCAGGATCAGGATCAGATTTGCTTTCAAATTCTTTAAACAATTTTTCTTCATGATTTAAATTAAATGATTTGAATGATGGTTCATATTTTACATCATCCATTTCTTTATCCTCAGATTCTGAATCTTCCTTAGAGCTTTCCATTAAACCCTCGATGCCATCCATACTTTTATCTTTTTCGGAACTAGTATCTACTTTTTCTTTATAATCATTTCCATCATCGCCAGTAATTTTTTTCATCTGAGCTTCAACATCAAATTCATCAATTGACATATTATCATCGGATTTTATTTCACATTTTGTATCCTCAGATCTTTTATCATCATCACATTTATCATCTTCAATTTTAACTATCTCATTTATACCACCTCCATATTCAAGTCTCATTTCAGCTACTCGTTGCTTTAGAATTGCATCTGATTCCATAACAGCAATTGGTGAGCTGAAATCTTCCATTTCTGTATCACCTTCATTCTGATCGATTATCTCAACTGTACCTTTTTCTATGTTTGAATTTTCTTCCTTTTTAATAATGTATTCTTCTTTACTCTTATCCTTTTGATTGTTGACAAATTCATTTTTAATAGATCGTAATTCATCTTTAATAAAAGGTTTTGATTCCAAATGCATATAAGTGTCACAATCCATTTCTATATTCTTTTCTTTTTTTATTCCAATGTTTTCTTCCTTGACCAATGAAGTGTTCATCTGTACTATATGTTTTTCAGATTTCATAGTTTTAACTTGAAAATCCTGTGGAATATCTATCGAAAGTTTTTGCCGTACAGTCTCATCCGAATTTACATGAGAAACAACTTCCTGTTTTATAGATTCTGTTGTCATATGACGTTCATCATTCTGTTCAATTAATGACGATTGTAAATGCTCGATAAAATCATCCTGGAAAAAAATTCAATTAAAAGATAATAAATTTTAATTTATTTATAAACAATATTTCAATATATAAATTAATAATAACTTACTTCATTAGGACACAAAGATCTATTATTCGGAGTAGATTCAGGAACTAACATAGTAGGTGTAGTTGGTGGAGTATAATTATCTGATGACAAACTTTCTCTGGCTATTCTTCTTTTCTTTGGTGGAGCTACCATTTCATTAGTCGGCGGACTATCTGGTCGACTATTCGGTGAATCACATTCTTCGGATATAGCTTGACGTAACCATCTTTTTTTGGCAGATCCTGTGGAAACAGGGCATACCGTATTGCCACTAATCGCTTGTTTGCGTTGTGGTGGTGAATCGCAAATTCCAGAGACAGAATTTGCTGCTTGCACAAGAGTTGCTAAACTCTTAGCCGCATAACTCTGTGTTAAAAATTCTGCTGATGTGTCTGTTGGTAAAGAAAAATCTGATCTACAAAGAGAATTTATCGAATTCGAAGTGGAAGCTGGTGGTAATGCTGGTAATGGTGACATTTGAGATATATTGCTTTGTGGTGGATCAGGAGACTCTTTTAACCATTCATTCATTAGAACTTTTTTGGTTTTTGGAAATTTAAAGCCAGGAGCTAAAGGACCAACTGCTGCTGCGACTAGCAAACAAGCCGAAGATAAAGGAGTAGATGGAGTTGAACTTTGAGAACTGCTGCTTGCACCACTATCGCAAGTTGGACTCTTAACTGGTGTTGGTTGCTGTAGAGGTGGTGAACTAGGTCCAGGTGCATTAGAATTTGCTAAAGCTAAGAGCAGACCAGCAGCTGTTGGAATTCCTTGATGAGCAGGTGTCGTCACACTTTCATTCGTGTTCTTGGCAGGCGTATTTAAATAAGAAGAATAAGAAGTATCTCGATTTTGCGAATGATTTTGACTCAATAAAGGTGGTGATTGCATCGAATTACTTTCTTCTCCAGACGATTCGTCGGAATCTGCAGAATTCAATCTTGTTCTTCGGCTAGTACCTTGTGACTGAGAAGTACTAGTAGTTCTTGCTCTACCTTTTTTTCTTTTCCGTCTCAAAGGTCTTTCAGAATTTTGTTGTTTCTGTTTAGATTGCATCGTCAAACTATGACTATCTTCATTATCGCTATGCGTACCACCAGATTCCTTTCGTTGTGCATTTCGTGCTTGAACTTCTTGTTTCCTTTGTTCCGCTTTTTCCAATCTTTCAAAAGCTTTCATAATAGCTTCCATTTTTCTTTCTTCTCTGGTCATTTTCTTTTTGTCTTTCTTAGTTTCCGAAGGTATAGATTGATTTAAATTTGGAGAAGTCTGTGGCTGTTGAACTACTGTCAATTCTTCCTTAGATAGTTGACGCATTGTATTTGACGCTATAGTGGTTGTAACTGTTCTTCTCAGTGGTGTAGATACTGATGATACTGTCGTTGGTGGTGGTGCAGGTTGTGCAATAATAGTACTATTAGACATCACAGTCGAAGAATCGCTATCCTCGCAAATTGTATTTCGTCTACCCCTTCGTCTTCGTTCTCGACCATCAGCATTTTCAGCCAATGCTCCATTACTTCCTCTTCTGTTTAATTGATTTAGAGATATTATTTGACATTCTCTTGGATTATTACATGCACAGACAATAGGCATCATAGAGCTATTTGGATTAGGTGACAACAGGAGATCGTGTTGTTCATGTCTGATTGTAATTTCAGCATTTTTCTCAATTGCGGTTGTGGTCACAATATATAAATGTAATGTTCCCTTTTCTATACAGTGTTTCACTTCCGCATTAGGTTTACAACTACGTCGCACAAATCTAGCATCGTTTCCATACGTTCTGGTATCTACACAAACTTCAGTACCATCTCGTGGTAATCGATAAAAGAATACAAAAGGTCCAGGTCTCTGGGTATGTTGTCTTCCTTGAGGATAGGATGGTCGATGTTGTGTACTTAACATATATTTTCCACGTAATTCAACGACAGGTGTATTTGGTGGAAGATACATTGTTGCCACCAAAAACTATATAAAAATTATTTATTTTAAATAAAAAATAATTAAAATAAATTTTCCATTATAAAATATGTTCATACTTACCCTAACATTATTACTGTGAACATTGAGCCTATATTTTCCAGTGGCAATAACATTCATATTATTTTGTCTTAAATCGCTATGTGTGCCATTCACTTTAATAGATGATATCCTAGCTCTTAATTCTGGACTATAATGATTCGTTACAGCTTCTTCGTAACGTTCGATCCATTGTCTTAATGGTGCGACGTTGGAACTCCATGTATCTTGAGTTTCTTCTTCTTTATCTTCTAAACTCATTCTTCGTTTTGCTTTACGTTTTCCTGGACCACGTTTTGTAGTTTCTTTCTTACGAACAGTACTAGATTGTCTCGGATGTGAATCTCTTCTTTGTCTTTTTGCGACATTATTATTATTGTTGTTATTATTATTATTCAGTCGCCTTACTTGCGGTGGTTCGGATTTTCGTCGAGGAATTTGCTGTTGTATAGTTCGTTTTTTTGGAATTGTGTTTACACCAACATCAGTATCTGCTGAACTGGTAGATGATGTATCGGATGATGTATCCGAATTTAACAATTCTTCTCGTTTACGCATTTGCAAAGCACGTGCTCTTTGTCTATCTACACGCCGTGGTCGACAAATTTCACAAAGATACTCATCAGGAATGTTAGAACGATCTATACCCATGCAATCAACATGTTGCCATACTCTGTAATCATATATTTGTTAGTATAATATTATAAAAAATTTTGTTATATATTTTGACAATTTTAATTAGACTTACAAACATCGATCACAGCAAATCATGTATCCATCATCATGTTCAAAATCACTAGAAGTAAATATTGAATTTTATTAAGTATTTTTTATCGATTAATTTTTAAATAGGAATATTTACCATATACATCTAGTAACACTGTCTTCATCGTCTCCTTCTCCTTCAGGAGCCGTTTCTGTTTCTTCACCTTCCAATTCAGCATCTCTACCTGTTTCACTACTAATAACACTGGCTGCATCATCATCCACATTAGTGCCAGTAACAACTATAATGAAGAATAACATTTTATTAAAAATATATTTTTTCTTGCATCATTATTGAACTGGATTGTTACAGATTACAAAAATATACCTTTTCCATAAATATAAGAATGCTGAGAAGTTGCAGTCGAATTTCCGCCACCATTGATGGGTTGCTTTGGATGAGACGGTGGTGACGGAGGCGATGGTGTTCGTGGAGGTGGTGCGCCATAATTGTGATCCTGTAGGACGTACTGAAGACACTATAATCAAGAATTAAGTGTTCTAGGAACAACTATACATGACTACAAAATGCAACAGTGCACACTGTAAAAATGATTCTGAAGATTCATTATTAAATTTTGCATTATGTTTACTATAATATATGTTACCTCGTAAGGAGGGGGTATTCTTATAATTGGAGTTGTAGGACGTTGTTGACGTTCATCTTCTTTCGATTCACGCAATTCAGATTCAGTTCTAGAAATTGATATTTATTAACAAATTTATTTTCCATAAATATAAATATATATAAATTTATTAAGAACAATTTCTTTTTTAATCATTAATTGATTAACAAGTCTATCTATTAAAAATACTAACTTGTTTTCTATATCCTTGCGAGTATCCATACTAGTTACTGGTAATAATGTCTTCACTTGTCCAGATTGCTGCCTAATTTGTTGAGGAAACTGCGATGATGTGATAAGCTGTTTTTGTTGTATCGCTTGCTGTTGAATTTTAATTGGTTGATTTTTATGCATCAACATATTCGTAGCAACAGTCTGTTGAGGAAGCAATGTTTTGATGCTTGCCTTTTGTGCGACTGCAGTTGTTGATCCTTGATTTTTTACAGAAGCTACGTTTGTATTTAAAGAGGTCTTAATACCGGTTACTTTCTGTGTATGATTCCTTTGGGCTGGTTTTTGTGGCGGTATTGTTTTGATGCATCCAGGTTGTTTTTGAGCATTCTGAGGTCCTATAACATTCTGTTGTTGCTGGATTATTTTTACTGGCTGCACGTTCGTATTTCTGTGCAATGATTGTTGCACGACATTCTGTGAATTTGAATTTTTAACCGTATTCGTAATTTTTTGAGATACATTTTTTAAATTGCTTTGTAAATTTTGTGTTTGGTTCTTTGGTACGCCTACTCTCATTACCATCTGTTGCTGCTGTAATTTAGAATTTACAACTTGGGTTCGTTGGTTATTGGGAATTGTCGCAATCGTCGCAACCTTTTGATGGACGTTTGTAATATTGTGACTTCTTTGTGTTTGTAAATTCGTATTCGTTTGCTGTTGTTGTGGCTGTTTTTGCACCATTTGTTGCTGCGATTGTTGTTGTGAACTTTGTTGTAACAACTGTTGTTGTAATTGGGACGAGTTTTGGATATGTACTTGCTGTGATTGTAAATTTTGCGGCTGTGAGATTACTGGTTGCTTGTTCACAGTTAATAAATTGGCATTTTGCGATGTTTTGGTAATATTCGGAACGCTATTACTTTTGCAAACATTGGTGATTGATTGCACTCTATTAGAATTGACTGTGGCTACAGTCTGAGATTTTTGCAAGGCTGCTGTAGATTGTGATCTTTGATGTTGTGATGGCTGAACTTGTTGCACATGTTTTTGGACCTGTGGCAATTGCTGTTGACATTGTACTTGTCCTACTACTTGTACTTTCTGTATGCCAGCTACAGAATTGTTAGATTTTTGAACATTATTCCCTGCTGTAGTGTTTGATTGTTGTCTTGGCACAGTTACCGTTTTCTGTGATTGAACTTGTATTTTTTGTAATCCCTGCTGTTGATTACTCGTTATTTGTTGTAATTGTGCTTTATGATTCGGATGGCTATTTAACATCTGTGATGACATCTTTTGGTTATTATAGATCTGCGCTACTTTCTGTGTGCTCGCGGTATTTGTTTGTGCTTTCTGGAGAGTCGGATTGCCTTGTTGAGCTCTCTGTATATTGGCATTGTTCGTGACTTGATTAACAGCGAACTGGGTAGTTTGGGATGTAACTGTTGACACTTGAGTCTTTTGTACAGTTTGTATCCTCGGTACGGAATTTCTTTGAACGGTTACCCCTTGACTGACATTAGTCACAGCTTTCACTTTCTGCAAGTTAACTGTCTGAGCCTGTCCAACGATATTTTGCGCCTTCACATGTATCCTTTGAATATTGGGCAATGAAGTAGCGGTAGTGATGGCTCTAACTGCATTATTGCTTACAACTAATTGCGAAGATACTGGTTGAACCTTCAAGGGCATGCTAGTTTGCAAACTAGATATCGTAGTCTGTTGTTGTTGTTGTTGTTGTTGTTGTTTACTCTCACAGGTGACTGTTTGATTTCTAGTTTGCTGTTTGCTCTGTGTAGACACCGCGTGTTGCAAAGGATATACATGTGCCATTCCGCTGCCTGGCGATGGCAAAGACTGAGTATTTACCGGGATATGGGTAATGTTGGAAGATGCGTTTAGTGTTAAAGGTGCGGATTGAGTCTGATGGATAGACGACGGTACTTTCTGTGAGATCACGCGAGTCGACAATACCTGCGTGGTATTTGTTTGAGAACCAGTAATTCTCTGCACTTCCCTAACAGCTTTCGCCATCGGGTAAGTAACGCTAACTGATTTTACAGTTGAGAAGGAAATAACATGACCGGCTGAAATTTCGGCGCTGCTTTCTAAACATTGAAGAATCTGAGATTTGCCGGTATCATCGTTTCCAGTAACGGCTATGTTTGAACTTTCCTGATTCATCGACGAAGATGGCAAAGTATCAGAGTTCTTTTCGAGGGATGTTTCTACCGTGCCCAATTGCAGGACAAAGCTCATGGTGGTTTCAGCGTTCTGTGGAAAGCTGTCAACGCATTTCGACGTAGCGACATCATTCTCGTTAGTATCGGTATGCTCGGCTGGGGATACCGGGGGAGGTGGGTCAGACCCTGGGGACAATTGCTCCCCACCCCCACCTGTTCCACCCCCCGATAACTTGATCACCGACGGGGTCGACGTTTTGGAGGCCTTTCGATCACGCCAATTGGAAACTCGAGCAAATTAAGATCGAATGGCTATCCTCGCCCGGCAGCTTGACGGGATACCACGCTCTTCGATTCCGCTATTTGAGGATTCTGAACCATAGGCTGTAACATACGAGCAAGAATCTTATCATTAGTTTCATTTAAATTTTTGAAAATTTGATAAAGATAAATTTATAATAAAAAAAAAAGAAATAAAGAAATTGTGAAAATTTTACAATAATGTTCGAAGAAAAATGTTTTTGAAAATTGATCGATTAGCTATGTACTTTAACCGAAACATCTCGCAATTTATTATTTAATTATTCGATATCCATGATGTAGTAATACAATACTATACTCAAAACTATTGATTCAGAAAAACGTTTCTTTCCAGTACTTCGATAAAATAATTGATTATCTAATATAAATCATCAAATTTTTGCAAATCCATATAAATATCAAGTAAACATCTGTTAATCGGTTCATAATTATTTCAGTGTCATATACTGAGATGCTTACCTCAATAATGAAAAGGAAAAGAAAAGAAAATTAAAAAAATATGCATTTAATATTTAAAATATTTAATTATGTTAAAATGGAGATGATAGAAACAATACTTCTTGTTTACATTGATAATGTTCCTTGGTAATTCAGAATCACGCAATAAAATTAAATCATTTAATTTAAAGAGATTAAACTATGGATAGATTGTAAATGTTTAACGTGTTTAATTATTATAATTCTTGTCATCTATAATTAAAATTGTTCAATGTAAATTATTGAAAAAAATTTTGTAAATAAAAATTGTGATAAAAAAATAATTCAAAAAAATTTGAAAGAGATTAATTTATTATAGTTTGCTGAAGTGTTCGCCATTGCTGAAATATCACTGCCATCTAACAGCATCAAATTGAAACAAAGCAAAACGTAAACTATAGGAATTTATGTATTTTTTACATCTTATAACGAACTCCGATGATTCATTTTGTATTATAATTTTATCGTATATAAAATTCTAAATCGTATATTATTATGTTATTTAGAAAAATAGAAATATAATCCACGATCATTACTTTCAATTTCGAAAATGATAAAAAAATACTTCGGAAAAAACCGTAACAAATCGTACGTTACGATAAGCATTCGCCAGCATGTCAAGTCCGCACGTGCGGCTGGATTCGCGCCAAGTGTGCCTGCGTATTTTACTACCTCGTCTATACGTCGTGCGCTCCTAATAAATTAGTATTATCAATTTCCTCGACTAAACTCAAACTGCTTGATGTAAACAACCGACTGAATATAAAAATATAAAACACTGGCCAGTCACAATGATGGAAGTTATCGCAAGCTTAATTCACTTCGTGTAACTATCGATAAGAGAGAAAATATAATGTAACTAGCAAAACAAATCCAAATAATATAGAAATACTTTCAAACATAAGAGGTGAACATAGTCTATGTAAAGTAAGAATAATTATGTGAATTCTTTTATTTCTACTGCAAATTTTAAAATCTTATTTTATCTTATCTTATAAATCTATAAAAATGCATTCTATATAAAAACGAATGTTATAGTTAATATTGATTAAGAGTTAAAATAATAAATAAATAATTCAATATGATTTGTAATGTAAAAAGAATAGATTATATCATAGCTAAAAATAATTATTTATTGCAAAATACAAATCAGTTTAAGTTATAAAAGATAATCTATGAATTAAGATTAACATCATTCTATATAATTACAAATATTTTCTTATTAATTATTATTTAACTTATAAACCAAATGTCATTAATAACATCAGTCGTTAAAATAAGGCAAATTTAAAGATATCGCGAAATGAAAAATTCCACGGCGAAACTGGAGTCAGAATCACGTGACGAATACGTGAATAGAAGACAAGTTTGTCGATGCATACACTACCTTTTCCACTGCACTCATTGTCAGTGGCACGTGCTGCTACTATTAAAAACTATCAACGATTGTATGGTCGTTTCTCAAGTTTTTATTCCAGACAAACATTTTCAAAAGAAGCATTTAATTGGATGAAGTTTTATAGAAATATAAAAAATCCTCACTAATTAGGATCGTAAGAAAAAAGTATTGAATTTTATATATATTATATATTGAGATATCTGTCATCCTAGTATCTATGATTGAAGAAACTTCGTTAATAAGTAGTAGTATGTATTTTTAGTAAAATTTGCCACTATCTCGCTTAGATGTTTAAATTTATTTGTATGAAATTGAATTGAATTTCCGATCAACAATTTGGCGGGCATTGTGACCGATTCAAGAAAAGTGTATGTTACACAACTGCATTGCTATCACGTGACTGGTTGCAGTGTAATGACGTTATCGGTACTGTCAAAACGCCAATGGTAGAGATTCAGCTTCCATCGTGCGACCACGCAAGCGTCTGTTAACCGAGGTTATGCACCGTTCCGTATTGCGTTAGATTTAATTTTAATCAAACCATATGAAAATCCACTACCAATGTAAATTTTTATTATAATTCTTGCCCTTTTTCTAAAAAATGCAGTTTTTTAAGATTTGTTTATACGGAATATTTGAGTATGTCTGGATGTAATATTATTTCAGATGGCATGAAATGAGGAAAACTGCCAGAAGTAACTGTATACTTTGTAACAGAAACAAAACTATATTCCTGCGGCTAAATATAAACTTCGTTTTAGCTGTTACACATGCCATTCCGAGCTGGCTAATAAATGTTCCGTGATGCATTTTCGCAAAATGTAATTTTCATGTTCATGTAATGAAACGATCTTATAAAATATTTAATTATAAAATAATATCTTAGCAAAGAACATAATATCTTAATAAAAATAGATTCTCAACTATAATCCTTGACAATTTCCTAAAAATACTAAAAAATATCAATAAGTATCTTTCCAACACTAACCAAACTTGTTACTAGACAAATGATTATCGTGGACAATAATTTATCCAAAGTATAACTTATTATTAGGAAAAAAATCTATATTTGGTACTATATTTCTAAGAATAACTTTATCTTTAAGAATAAAGGATTAGTCGGCATAGGAAATTGTCGGCTATATTTATAATAACATTAAAATCTGACTAGTTTCGTTGTAATCATTCCAATAGTCGCGAAGTTAACAAGGTTCGCACGCGACTCGCCGCGGAGTAAAACGCGCTCGAGCGTGGAGCGTTGCACGGGTTAGTTTGTCACGTTGGCAGCAATGGGATTTGTGGCGACCTACTTGGCGTACCTCGACCCTTGCATTGATTCGATACGAACCAAAATTATTCCTGAACGATTATCGCTTGATGCTCTCCTATTCCATCTTCTTGCCTCTTTTCCACTTTGATCATTCCTATGATAGATATTTGCATTCTAATTTTGTTTCGTGCAAATGAATTTCATTATTCTTCGAATAAGTACTACCAATCAAATATCATTAATGAAAAACTATTTTTTACTATGTAATTATCATAGAATAAATTTATAAATTATAGAATTTATGTATTAACGCATAAAAGTGGAAAAAAATTCATTTAAAAGATTATTAGGTCGCATACAATACTATCAATCGAGCATTGTTACTTGACATAGGTCGACGTCTCCAACAAGTTGTTTGACGCTTCCGCTGACCCCTTCTCACCACAGGGCTATTCGACGTTGCAGGAAAACGGTGTTGCTCTTACTAGCTACCCGTGCGCAGCTGAAACGCGCATTCTACTGCCATGTAACAAGCTCGATTGTAAGCAATCGTGCGAATGGAACTGGCAATGATACCCAGATTCTCTTTTTTCAATTTAATTCAATTCAAAGAACAATTCTCATATTATAATTAACTAATTTGAAAAATTCAATCTATAAAAAAAAAAACTATATAGATATCATTATGTTCTGATTAAATTATAGATCGACCATCGATATATTTTCTGTTTTTTTTAAAAAATAGCATTGATTAATTTTATTTATTTTTTCTTCGTTTATTCAAATCATATTTAAAACATATGTAAAATTAAAGAAAATCAGCAAGATTATAACGATTGATGATGCTTTTCTATTATCAATGATACTATCTTTATCTATGATTATTTCTATGTTAAATAAACGTTCGAATTGTCTTTCTCTCTCTATTACCCCTTTCTCTTTTTTTCCAGCCAACATCGTTTTTCTCGAAGCCTATCTTTTGCTCTGCTTTCTTTTTCTTCATGACAAGAGAGAGTACGAGCATATAACATACAGTAAGTTGTATACAAAAGCCTGATTACTGGATACTCGGTGAAATATGCCAGTTCCCCGCCAATAACCGGTATCATGTTGTCCTTTCTTTACATTTGCGCTGTCTTTGCCATACTTATGGCAGAACGATGCAGAAGAAGGATCACTATATCAAATAGAACGAGAGGAATAGTAGAAAATGGCGAACTGCTAGTGAAATAAATCGAAATACAAAACAATAATATGTCTGGGCTATCACTGTATAAAAGATTTTCCTCTGTGATCGAATATTTCCATGATTATTTGTTTCTGAAAATTTTTTTTTCTTTTATATTAAATATATTAGACTTTGCATGATAATTCTACAAAATTAAAAAGATCCAAAAGACAGAAAAGCAACGAAGGATTTAAACGGTACTCGTGAAGATGGTTGTTGCGCGGAGAACAAGCACTCCATTCCACGAGAGTTTCGTGCCACTCCGCTCGATCATGCATGTAAATGAATGGGAGCGTCACGAAGCCTGCGAATGTGCTCGTGCGCGCCGCAGTTTTGCAATCCCTTTTCGTACTTTCGCGACGGTCGATATGCAACACCACGAGAATCACAGTTGTTCAGTAAACTTCTAAAAGATAACTTATATTATTTACATGAAACATATTTATTTTTTTAAAACTTTATAAAATGCAAAATATACTTTCAATTTAATTTGTAAATGAATAAGTTATAACAAATATACAACAAAAATATATCATGAGTATAAGATTGTTAGAAGTCTGTTTAATTTCGTTTTACTTGTCAACAACTACAATAATAGAGAGCTTCGCGATGTGATTCTATGGATTAATCACTTAGGAATGCAATCATATGATGAAGAAAGATTGAAATATTTATAATAAACTGATTAGAAAACATCCCATTAATTAATAATCAATTTTTACTTGAGACTTTATTGTTTGAAATTACGATAAATTATGATTTGATTAATATTGCTAATAAGAAATAATAAAAATTTAACAGATAAAAAAAATATAAATATAATATATATATATAAAATAAATAAATATAATATAAATCTATGAAAAAAGAAAAAAGGAAAAAGAATGAAAATAGACATTCTCATTAGATATAATTTAAACAATTCTATGCATTGCATGGGAGTATGAGGGAACGAGAGATGAAGATCCAGCATTGTGCACCTCCGCTATTATAACCAAGGTTACCAAAGCGTGCATCACACACACACACGCACCCGCCACAGCACATATGCATGCACATGCGCGCATATGTATGCACATGCGCGCATACATACTTTAAATCTGAAACTCTTTCAAACTGGACTAGATTTTGTTTGTATTTAGTTGCATTGTTAATCAGAATACATAAGTTATATTTACACATATATTTTTTATAACTATATCTTCACTTCTACAATCATATAATTTTTTTCTTATGCAAATATAATTATCTCTACATAAAAACTATTAACATTTATGATTTGATAAATTATTATTTGATTATATATGATATTATAATCTTTTATTAATAATTAATATTTCTGTCTAATGTTCGAGATAAAATTTGCGGTATGCGGAATAATCTTATCATAGTGATTTATCAAACGGAAGTTCACGTAATTGTAATATGCAATGAACTTTCTTCCCGAATATAAAAGAAAAAAGTAATGATTGATTTGATTAAAAAAAATGAATATATGATTCATTTTTGTAGAATATATTTTATAGCTGATCTAGCGGCACACATATATTTCTTTGTCAGCAAAGAGTTAGCCACGATACACGCTCTTTCGTTTATTCTGGATATTGTAACCCATAGTAACCGCAAGCACCATTAATATACTCTGATGTCATCCCGAAGAAATGCATCGGTTCTTTGCGGCGTAAATCTTGCGAAATCGTCTCTGGTCTCTCTGCCACGTTTGATTTTCTATCGAAATTAACCAGGAAAGCACGATAACATAATTTATCAAAATATTTATTTTAAATGAATTTAAAAATATGTTCTGATCATTATCAAAATCATATATCATTCAAAATATCAAAATATTATAAATAAAAAAATTATTACACACAATATTAAGTAACTTAATTTCGTTCTATAGTATCTTTTACAAAACATTTTAATTTTATATACAGCTTTATGCTCAATATGGAAATAAATAACTTTGAGATGAATTACGATTAGCAATATCTCGTAAATATTTACTCACTTTATTCTTCATTAAAAATAAATGAAAATAAAAAATAAACAAAATATTTCATAATCATAATTAATAACATATTATATATAATTTAAATATACTATCATAATTTAGATTTATAGAGTTTATTTATATATAGAGACCATATAAATAATTTATTAAATTAGCAAATATTTATTGATAATTGATATAATCTTAATTATCGTTTTATGACACGAATTCATCTATATATCAAATATATAGTACATCATGAACAAATTGAAGCATAATCATATATGCACATTGGATCTTTTTCGATAACATTAATAAGATCGATTAATGATAATAATCAAGGAAGAGAAATAATCAATAAATTCTAATGAATCCGAATACTTTTACTATTATGCTAATAAAAAAAAAATGAAAAATAGTTGAATTATTATATATTACGTGACTCAAATTTGTATAGAAAGCAACCCGATTTTATTATTATTATCAAAAATTAAATTATGAAGCATCGAAAAATAATATGAATATATATTCATAATATATAGAGTTATTTAATTTTTTAGAAGATATGAGAATAAGGGATAAAATTTATGATTAGAATCATAAATTTTAATTTGAGTATTAGAAATTAGATATTGTAAAATATAATAGATTTTTTGAACAATTTTCTTCAGGTTATCTTGTATGAATCGAGTATCGCGCGTGCTCCTCACTGCGCGCGAACTTCCCTTGCGGTCGATACGATTTCACCTCGTAGCCAGCAAATGCTACCACCAAAGGCATACTCTACCAAATTAAATTTTGAGTACGAATATTTAAAGCTTGTTTTTTTTCATTTGCATATTTTTTTGTTTACATTCAATTTTAGCTTTAATTTATTTAAATAACTGTACTTCCACGTTTTAATATATATATCACATATATGAATTTTAAATTATAAAAAAATTTGTCTTAAAGATTTATCTTGGAATTATATTAAAATACATGTTAGAAAAAGAAAAAAGAAAGAATATAATTTTAATTATAATTAATAATAATAAATTAATCAACAATTTTATAACACAAAGGAAAAAACTAAAGAAAATTATTATAATCGATTAATAGTAATAATTCGTGGCGACGCCTTTGGTTATCGACAACCACCCACGAACACCATATGCACATATACTCCACTACAAGTATTGTAAATGACTTTACAAGCAATTTAATGTACAAATAGTTTGATTTATTAAACAAAAATCATTTTTTTTTTTAAATAAGATATTTAAAGAAAAGATTTATAAATGTTAAATATTTTTGCACAGTATTTTATATTATATATTATTATATATTATATATTATGCAATTAAACTGTATAATTTGATGTAACAAAATCTAAAATATCTAAGATTATTGAAAGATTTTATATTTGTTTCTTTTTAAAATTGTTAAAAATCAAGAAAAAAAAAAAATAGAAAATCATTGAAAATTGATAAATTTTATATTCTTGTGATCAAAAGTATCATATAATAACATGTACGAAAAAGAATTTAATTTAACAGAAAAAAAAGATATGCGGAATTTCATAAAAGAAACGATAAGAGAAAAGTAAGATTAGGATCATGAAGGAATCAAGAAAAAAAAGATAATGAGAAAAGTTGATGAAAGTAAATGCAGAGACAAGACGAATGATAAATAATTATACTACATATACACGCACGTCTATATATGTTAAAGAAAGGAATGGAAAGGGAAGAAAGAAAAAGAGAGTACTAACAATATGGCCACCTTACAGAGAAACTAGCGCCGCCTAGCAGATTTTTCTATTCCCGCCGTGAAATAGTTGCAATATATAAATTTTATTTGTTTAAAAATTAAATAAATTTATAAAAACTTGTATATCTAAACATTACAAAAATTTTAAAAATTTATTATTTCATAATTTGTGAGAATTTGTGATTAAGTATTATATATTTAATAATTAATAATTTAGTTTTGACCATAATATTTTATAGTACAGTTCAATGATTATTTAATTAAAAAAAGTTTAAAACATATATAATATTATTAATTGATCTTTGAATGAAATATATTATTGTTACTAAAAATAAATATTATATGTATTTATATACAAATTAATTTTATATTTCATATTATTAAAATAAATATGTTATAAAACAATTATTTTCAAGAATCTTATCATTTATTTACTTATTTTTCTTATTTTTTCTATAGTAACTGCACAGATATAATTGCAAAATAAAATCATCGATTTATTAATCAATAAATGTGTAGAATAAAATAAACAAGAATTCAAATTCATTTTTTATATACTATGAAAACTTTTTTGATGAATAATAGATATAATAATAAAATTTATGATTAACATTATGTATCTAAATAAAATCGAATATAATTTGCTTAACAAATAATGTAAAAAAAAAATTCAATAATTCAATTTACAACTAACACAAGAAATTAAAAAATAATCATTCAAAAAAATTCTAAAAACGTATGAAAAAAGAAAATAAAAAAAATATGGAATAAATGTTTAAATATTCCACGAAAGTTAATCACATAATTTTAAAGTAGTATGTGTATGATGTGGTTGACCTGTACTCACTCACCATTTTACTAATCATTGTTGCCACCATTCAGAAACAAAAATTGCAGCTAACAAATACGTTTTAAACTTTGTATTATTATAAAAAAACAATAAAAAAAATGCAATCGAAATCAATTTAAAATGCCGAAATCGAAATTTCGCGACATTAAAATTTTTTTTTTGTTAAATGCGATATAATAATATGTCATGAAATATAATAACTATCAATAAAATTATAAAAAAATTTTTAACAATAATACTGTTTTACATTTTCAAAAACAATTTGTAAAAAAATACAAAATACATAATAATTTGAATGTCAAAAACGACTCATAATATGAACAGAATGTAACATTACACCTATCTATCGTATTACAATTCTATTAAATTTTTAATATCTGTCATTCCAATTAAAACTTTCTGATTATTTAAAGTAGTAGAAATTGATAAAAATGTATTGCTTACCTTAATATGACAGGAATACAGAAGCTCACTTTAAACTTGGATGTAAACACAAGCATTTTTTAGTGGAATTGACACCAGGGCAGCTTAAATAATATACGAAAAAACACTCTTTACATCGCGGAAAACGTTATTTCACTATTCGAGATTTTATTACGTTATTAAATACCACAATAAATATGAGAATTCACGATCTCTTCGGAAAACATCCATCGAAAACTAAAGATGGCAGCCATTCTTCTGTACAAAACAAAGGTTCACATCCACGGACTCGCAAGCAATGAAGCCTCGAACCCAGATAACTTCCGGCGCTGCCATCAACCCGCCATTTTCAATTATTCGAAAATACATAAACTTGTTTTCGATAAATGCATAATATGATTCAATTTAAAACTTTAATTATGTTACTTGATCTCTATAAATTTATCGTTTTAACATTTATTTACAAAAATTAAAAATATATCTTTTTTTTTGTTGAAATAATAAATTTGTGATATTAATATGAAATACTACTGGTAGTTGGCGCTTATATCGAATCTTCAATACAAAATGCCATCTAGTTTAAAGTATATGAATAAACTTTCTGCTGCCAACTTCAAGAGAAGTAGAATAAGTATTTTATGTTCACTTCTTTTGCTTAATTAAAAAAAAAAATAAATAAATAAAAATTAAAAGATTTATTTCGTGCCAATTAGAACGTATTTCTTAATAAATCATTTAATATTCGATTGTTTCAACTTTCTTTAAATATCAGTTTTATCAATATTTCGATAGAAATCGACTGACATTTAAATAATTATTGACATAAACGTCAGTGAGAAAGTTGGTAGTATTTGTCAAGCTTGTATGATATAAAAATTCTATGATCGCTTAGATTATTGATTTCTAAATATATAACATATGTTTTAAGAAGATAATATTTAAAATGTAATCTGTAAAAATATTTAAATAAAAAATATTTTGTGTGTAATGATAATTTTTGAATTTTTATAAAATTTTTTAGAAATATTATATTTATATTTTATAAATACAAATATCATTATTTATTATATACTTTAGTAAAAACAAAATAGAAAGATGAAAAATAAGATAAATAAAAAAAAAAATTTTATATTAATAATATATATAATTGATAATATATATTAGAAATAAATTAGATTTTTATTTCATGGAATATTATTTTAATATATCAAAATGAATTAATAGAAATGCCATTTTTTAATTTGTTAATTATTTATATATTCATGTCTTTATCAATGAAAAACAAAAAATTGTTGAAATTAGAATTTTATAGATGACAATATTAAAAATTATTATAAATATAAAATTATTCTTTTTTTTAGTATTTGGAAATGGCAGACACTGATCCACAATTAAAACGGCTTTTACTTCCAGCAGAAGAAACTTTATTTGAACAATTATTAAGATTTGGACTATATATTGGTGCAATATTCCAAGTTATATGTTTATTGGCAATAATAGTTTATCAAGTAGGCCCTTCTGATGGTATAGGTGCTTTGAAGGTATTTAATGTTTTATTTATTTTAATCTTTTATATAATGAGTTTTATAAAGTATTGAATAATGAATTTAATTGATTTACAAATATTATTATGTTGAATATATTAACAGGATGATCCAAGTGATGTTGAATGCTCAGAAAATAGTCCTCAGGTTACCCCAAGAAGACCTCATAGACCACGAAAACAAGAAAAAAAGAAAAGACGTTGAATTGTTTTCTTGTTTATATGAAAAATATATTATTTAATAATTTTAAAAACTAATATTAAATATTAAATGCTATTTGTATAATTTATTATTTAGATTAAATATGTATCAATGATATTTTTTAATATTTAATAATATTTTATAATATAAATCAGTTATAATTGTTTTTGAAAGAATGTATATTGTTTTAATAAAAATTTATTGATATAATTTTTTCTATTTCTAATTTTTTTAAAATTGTAAATGCAATATTTTAAAATTTTTTTAATACATGTAGATATACTAGTAAATATTATTTTATATTATTAGTATATACTATAAAATACTAGTAATATTATTAGTATATATTTATTTATTATCATAAAACCATTTTTATTGAAAAAAATTAGGAAAAAAAATTATAAAATAAATAAATCTAATATTTTTTTCCGAAAAAAACATGCAAAAGATAATTAAAAAAATATATTTATAATAGAAATAAATATAAACAATTTAATTATATTTCATCATTTTTTTTCATATTAAAATATATTACAATTATAAACAATTATAAACTGATATATGATTTTTTATATTTTTTATGAAATATTTTTTTATTTATCTAAATTTAAAATTTCGATAAAAAATCGATCATTATATGTATCATAATATACGCGATCTGTAGGCAACAAGTAGAAACATTATTTGAAGAATGAAAAAACGTGTATTATATTTTAAGTTTATTATATATTATCACACGTTTATATCTTTTAACTTCTTAATTTTTTTAATAGATAATAATAATAATAATAATAATAATAATAATAGTAATAATAATAATAATAATAATAATAATAATAATAATAATAATAATAATAATGATTACAAGAAATGTTGCAACTGCAATGAATTAGTTTTATGATTATATTTAACCTAAAATTTAAGAAAAGTAAAAGAATATGCTATATTTTTTAAATTACATTTATTAACAGACTAAAATTAAAATGTTACATCCAACTGGAACATTATCACCACAAGATATTTTGGCAGAAGTTAGAAAATTTATTTCTGGAGCAGTTCGCCCAACTCATAGCACAAGCACACTTGATGTAACGCGAACAGCTTTATCTTTACTTCGAAATGTACCTGCTGCAAGAGATGCAGTACTTGAATATTTTTGCAACGTGTTTTTTGTTGCAGTTACCAAATATGTTCGCCAAATCGAAGTAAGTAAGTATTTAATAATATGTCATAAAATATATGATTTAGTTAAAAATTCTAATATAAATTTTTTTATTTTTTTAGACAAATCAAAATTTAGCAATATGTGAAGAAACTATAATAGCAGAAATTCACAATGTTTTAAGTAGCTTTATTAATGGAAATCCAGAAGCTTGGGCACCAATTATTTCAGCATGGTCATTAGAATTATTAGGTATATGATTATTAAGGTATTATAAATCAAATTGTTATAATAAGTATTAAATTTTTTATAGGTAAACTTTCTTCAGATTATGCAAAACGTGGAAATTTACCTGTGAATGCTGGAATTAATGATTTTCTTCAACAATGGATGTCTTGTTGTGCCACACGTACTCTGATTGATATCACAGCACAATGTCTTCAATGTCTTATGCATTCAGATACAGAATCTTGTATTAAAGCACTATTAGATACTAGTGTATTACATAGCCCTCATTTTGATTGGGTAGTAGCTCATGTTGGAAGTTGTTTTCCAAATACAGTTATTACCAGAGTATTATCATGTGGCCTAAAAGATTTTTGTGCAATAGGACATGAACATAATGTTAAAAATCCTAAATTGAATTCAGTAGTTGGAATTTTGGGACATTTGGCTGGTAGTCATTTTCAAGATATTACAAGAGCTTTATTAGATTTATTCAAAGTAAAAATTATGTTAAGTCCTAATATTAACTGAAAAATTTTTTCTCAAAATATATTTAATAATATTAATAATAATATTATTTTTAGTGGAGCTTAGAAGAAGATGTAAATATTGATGAGGATACAAAGAATCAAAAATTGGCTACTGTTCCATTTCTTTTAAATCTAGCATCTCTTTCACAAACTCTTTTAAAAGCAATAACAAATGATATATTACAAACATGTAAGTAAATATATTTTATGATAAAAGAAATAAAATTTAATTTATCTATTTTGTTACAGTAAAACCAGATATAATTCCACAATTAGCATTATTTGCATTAGATTGGTGTAAATACTTTGATAATCAACCAGAAGCTTTGATAGATTTAACTGTTCATTTGATATTAGGATGCGAACAAGGAGCATCTCAGATAATAAATATTTTACTAGATACTAGTTTAAATACAAGTAATGTTGGGTATCATAGCATTAATGCTGCTCAAAGTGTAAAAAACGTATGTTCTGAAATATTAGAATTAGTATTACAAGAAATCGATTTACGTTTGAGAACACACGGACCACAATGTGCAAATATTTCCTTATTAAATTCTATGAAACAAGAATTGCCAGTAATATTACCATTATTACTAAATCAAAATTCATTACGTGTTCAAACCGCTGTGCGATTGCTATGTTTTCTTGGAAGTCAAAGTCCTAATATTTTAATATCTGCAGCATCATATATGTTAATCAAAGCTATAACTACTTTTCATCTTGCGGCTTTGATACGGTTAGTTTCTAATAATATCATACTATTTTCCTCTAATAAATCTGAAACAGAGAATGTATTAGCTAGTTATAGCTATTTTACACAAGTTGTAGAACAAGCACTTAGAGAAATAAATTACAAAAATGTTATAGAGAAACAAGAAACAAGACAACTCTTTCAAAATCTTACAATATTGCTAAAGTAAGTATATAATTAAGAGTAAAAAGAGTTATATTTCTTATATTTATATGATTTTTCTTTTATAGATGGGAAAAATCTAATAAGATAGTAGTATTTCGATCAAAAATGATAACTCATGCTATAAAATCCAATTTACACCAAATTTCCACTCTATTAACTAAAACAATGGATTTCAATTTAGCTAATGATATTGCTAAAATGTTAGATTTATTTAGTATGTCTGAAAAAGATAATTTTATGCCAAATGTAGAACTTACTTTAAAATTAACAAGAGCTGTAATTCAATATTTTTTTTTATGTATAGCAGAAAATGGTAATTAAAAAAATAATTATTTTTTCAAAAAAATTTTCAGATAAAAATTTGATAAATTTTTTTATTTTAGATATTACAAAAAAACAACAGGGTATGAAAATCATTTGTCATTTATTAAAAGATTTAACTTTTTATTCATCTTGTGCCCGAGTTTTAGCTTTAAGAGAAATTTTGGGACATAGTATCAATAATGATCCTGCAAAATATTTTGGAGCAAAAGAAAAATTTGAACAAAAATTTGAGGAAATATTACTTTTACATCAAAATCATAAACAGGTAAAAAATTAAAAATTTTAAAAATTATTAATAGTTATTAAAAATTATACAAATTTTATTTTATTTAGGTTACAAGTACGATGTTAGCTCAAAAACACTCTTCGGTATTTCACGCTGGCGTCATTGGACATGGTCCTAGAAGACCACCACCAGAAAATACAATTGATAAAGAAATTATTGCTTTAAATAAAATATTGCTGGTTGATGTAATAAAGGTAAAATTTCTAAAATATTACATAATTATTGAATAAAAATATTAAGATTCATTCAATATCTAAATTTAATAGGCTTGTTGTAGCAATCGTGAATCGGAACGATATCCTGTGAACTTAGATGCTTTAACAATGGTCAGTTTATTATTAGTTGAATTAGTTTCACCTGATGTTATGTATAATGGACTACCATGGCCTGATGAAGAATTTACAAAGGTATTTTGTTAGAATCTTAAAATATTATAATTTTAATCTTAAGAATTAAATTAATTTTAATATTTAATTTTTTAATTATTATATTAGGTTACTATAGAAAGAGATTTACAAATCCGTCGAACATTTAAAGATGTACCATTATTATGGACATTGTTAGAATTAACAGCTTGGTACAGACCAGCTTTAGCTTATTGTTCAGTTTTGTTGAGAGGTATTGCTGCCACAGTTATAGCTAACTGGAATATCGAAGAAGGTACTTTACTCGTAAGTGTTATGGCACTTGGTCAATTATTACCACCTCCATTGGCAAGTATAAGAGATATTTTACCAATTTTAGAACCGCATCAGGTGGGTTTTTGTAATTACATAATTATCTAATATATATTATTTTGAAGTTAAAATAAAATATATATTATTATAGATAAATACTATAATGAAAGAATGTGTATGGGCTTATATGCGTGAAAATGTTCCATCACCAGCTCTTTTCACGCGCAGCGAAGGAGCTAATATTGCTTGGAGAGATACAGATACTTCTACTCCAAATTTACGATTTACAGAAACACTCCGTTTAGTTCTGTTAGCCAATATCCATATATTGGGTCCACTTTATGCTGCCCTCTTTTATAATGAAAATAAATAATTGTACTTTTTACAATATATACATAATCTTGTGGATAGAATGACAAAAATTTAACAAATTAATTGTTAAATTGTATTAAAAAAGTTTTTAAATATTAATATATTTTTTAAATGTCCACACATTTTTATAATATTTTTAGATTATTTTATTAAATTACTATAGAACATTTTCAATTAATATTGCATTAATTCTTTATTTATTTAAAATGATTTTGGATTAATACTTAAACATGGGTTTTTCATTTACTATTCTGGACAATAAATATATTTTCAGTCATGTTTTAATAACAATTCTACATATAAAATAAAAGATATCATTTATATTATATAAAATAGGAGTTAAGTGTACTAATTTTTGAATATAACTAAGTAATATACAATATAATACGATATACAAATACAATGCACATAATTTATAAATAATTTCCACCATTTTTATCTATTTATGTCAAATGAATTATTTTCATTTTCTTAAATATAATTTGCTACTTTCAAACGCTAAAAACAAATTAATACAAATTGGAGCAAGAAGGGAAACAAGACAAATAATAAGCTTTACTTTTTATAAAAGCATATTCACTTAAATACATAAGAAACAAATATTACTTTACTTTTATTATTATTAATATAGGAATGATATTTATGATGAGCGAACATTGTACGAATTAGTTGATTGTACGAATACCCTAGGTGGGTGTCTCGTCCTGACGAAATGATTATACATTATGCAATGATTCGATTCGCATAAACGTCACGATCTTAATCGCGCGTTTTGAGAGTCTTTTATATGACTCCGTATTACTCGGAGTATAAAACACTAGTAAAAAAAAAATGTTGAAAATATTTAATTACTTTCTTCCTATGTACACTGCTCGTTGTATATAACATTTTGTGTATAAATTCAGAGCATTCAAATTGAATATCTCTTTTTACATTCGAGCATTTTACATATTACACGTTCGAGTGCGAACTTCTACGCTTTGTCAACATTATATTCAATTCTGGACAATATCAAAGGATTATTCAAAATCCCTTTTGATATTTATTGACACAGTGCAGAATCACTATTAATATTTCATATATAAAAAAAGATATTCTTTATCACGATGCATAAATAAAAAATTGCAAAATCTACAGATTGATACGTAGTAAGTATGAAAAAATATTTAATTAAATATTTCTTAAGTATGAGATGATCATGCATAGAAAACTATTTTGAGAAAAAAAAAAAAAATTATCATGTAATACGTATATGTATTTATATATGCAATTTTTTAAACGACAAACAAGAAATAAAAATGTGCTTGATTCATATTGAAGACTTTCTATTACTCTATTGAGTAATTAATAATAATAATATTTGACGTCGCGAATGGACATATTTTATAATAAATTATTATTCAGTTCTTCAGAATTAAAAAAGTTCACTTGTAAAGTCTATGTAAATTAAATTTAGAAAAGTAGTGTACTCATACCACCCATTTCACTTTGTTCTTTAACGAAGATCTCAAAATACTGGTATATAATTGTGACTGCAAGTAAAATACCAGTACCTGAACCAATTGCACCAAGAAAATCAGCTAATACAGATAAAGCACCAATACACAATCCACCAAACGCTGCTGCAGTTGGAATATATCTATTCAATTCATGGATCATAGAATTATCTCTATGACCTCTCATTACCATTTGTTGTTCTTTTAATTGTTTTGCAACCTGCAATAAATATTTTGCTTAAAATACAAAATTCATTAAAAAGCAATGTAAATAGTAAAACAAATACTTACAGCTTTTGCTGAGCTACCAGAAATCTCAATCCATGTTTTTGAAAAGAAAGCACAAGATCCAAGCATAAACAAAATATAAAGAATAGCATGAATGGGATCTTGAAGAATATGTCCTACAGATTCTGGTGGCGATAAATAATAACACAATCCTCCAACAGGATAAGATCGTGCAGGACCACCGCCACCAATGTCAGACCATACTCCCAATAGATTCACAATAATGTTTCCTTGAAATTTGACAGCCAACATTTGTGAAATAACATATAAATTAGATATTAAAGCAGATTGAAGAATTATAGGAATATTGCTCGTATAGAACAGTTTGATAGGATAACTGCTGTATTGTCCTCTGTATCTAGCAGATTTGATTGGTAAATCAACATGGAAACCCTACGAATGAAATATATATATATATATATATATATACATTTTTATAATTTTCATATAATTTTATCTTTCATTGAAATTGTTATATATATATTTTAAATTAAAATAATTCCATTATATATACCTGGAAATAAATTACAATAGCAAACACTAGAATTGTAGCAAGTAAATTCATAAGATTAGGAAGATTTTGTCTATAAAATGCCTCACGAAGAGCTCGAACTTTGTCTTGTCTTGTAGCCAATAAGTGAAATAGTGCAATTACAGCACCTTCAAATTCCGTACCACGCCCTTAAATAAAAATGCTATTTTAATTATAGTGTACAGTATTTTTTACAAATATTGATAGAAAATAAAATCATACCTGTATTAACAGTAGTTGGAGAAAATGCTTTCCATACAATTGTTTCACAAATATTTGTAGCAATAAAAAGTGAAATTCCACTTCCCAATCCATATCCTTTTTGGAGTAATTCATCTAATAATAATACAATCAATCCAGCAACAAATAATTGGATAATAATTAATAAACAAACACCAGCTCCAATTTCTGTTGGATCACCATACATTCCAGTCATTACATATACAATGGCTTGACCAACAGTAATAACCATTCCAAATACTGAAAAACAAAAAATAAATTATATGTTATAGCTATAAAAAAAATCAATAATTTTGAGAAATGTATTATATTTTTCTTACATTTTTGAGCACCATTAAAAAGAGCTCTATCTTTTGGAGTATCTCCAACTTCAATTATTTTCGTACCACTCAATAGTTGCATAATTAAACCAGATGTAACAATAGGAGAAATTCCTAATTCCATAAGAGTTCCTCTATTTGATGCAAGTATAACTCGAATCCAATAAAAAGGATCTGCACTATCTGAAGACATAATTCCAAATAAAGGAATCTGTAAAAATAAAATATATTTCATTATACAAACAAATTTTGTATAATATTAATGCAAAATAATTTAATATTAAGAATAAAACTATTCTTACCTGACAACATACTAAGAAAATAAACAATGTAATTGCAGTCCATAATACTTTTTCTCGAAATTGTATCTATAAAAATATTTAAATTCTTAAATCATTTTTAAAAAGATTCTAAAAATATTCTAAGTAAACATTTAAATGAAATTGAATTTGACTAATAAATAATAAAGAATTTATTTTTAGAAATCACAAACAAAAAATAATTATAAAAAGTAAATGATACTAAAATAGTATATGATACTATAAATATAAAACAGAAATAAAAATAGTTTGATATAAACTTACTTTTCGTTTCGGCTTCTCTATTTCTGGGAGTATACTACAAAACGGCTTTATTACCTCTAAAAATTTAACTGCAAAATATATATAAAAAAATTAGATCTCATATTAACAGAATTATCAAATGAAAAATAAAATATTTAAAATTCAATGAAATGAACAATATGTTTTAAAAGAAAAGAAATTAAGTCAGGTTACGATCTTAGTTAATTGCAATGATTGTAGCTTTAAATAAAATATTTTTGAATTTTTGACTGGAAGTAGTATACTTACATCCCATTTTGAATCCGAGGTATAACTATTCTAAGGATCACGATGTTAGAACACTTCCTACTCACTTTAGAATTGAGAATGCTGCGAAGATACTAGTTTAAAACAAGAATCCGAGAAAACTTGGCTGCGTATGCTCGATTGGCAAACTGTAGCGAGTCGTGGCTCCCTTTGTCGACACGTATCAATATGCTATTGTCACGTGACCTGATGATGTTGGCCGGCACGAGGGAGAAATTCTTAAAAATGATGTTAGATGACGCCATAGTCAAATTTGCACGTGCGCATTGCATATTTTTAAAATTTTTTTTTATTTAAAATCGAATTTAATATTAAATTAGATATGAAATGAAAAAAATTCTTATTATATAATAATATAAATATTTATGTGAAATTTAAAATGCAAAAATAAATTTTATATAAAAATTTTTTTTGAATATTAATAACATATAAAAATATATAAAAATATAAATAAATAATATATAAAAATTTATATATGAAAATCTGTAATGAAAGCATTAAAATATCAATAATTTATATATAGAAAATTTTTATTATAAATTACTAAAAAAAAATGTAATCATAAATTTAGAAAAATTTCAAAATTATTTTTTAAAAACTTTCATTATCATATACGATAATTAATATAAATAATTTTACATTATCTATATCATTATTTATTAACATAAATTTTACATTAAAAATTTATGATATTTTCCAACTAGAATTCATTTATATTATACGTAAATATATTATTGTGTTAAGTCTATGTTAATTAATGAATTTCTTCTATCTAGTTTGTTAAGCATATTATATATTTATAATATTAAAAAATATTTTCGAATATAACAATAATTTTGAAAAATGTAAAAATGTAAATTATTAAGAAAATTACACTTTCTGTAGAAATATATACCTTTATATAAATAAAAATTTTAATTTAAACGAAATAATGTAGATAGATTTCTATTATTTTTAAATTGTACAACAATTCTTTATTAATTTTATTTAAAATAAAACTTCTTATAATGCTAATAAATTCATATTATATGAAAAATATTAAATCGCGAATAAAAAGTTACAGGAAATTTTGTTTTCCTATATAATTAAGTATTATATATCTCAACATCAATTATAATATAAATTTTGTCATCAATTTTGTCAAGCTATTATCTTTAATTATATGCTGTCAGTTGTATATATTTTGCAATTATCAGTGAGGTCGGTGAATGGAGAAATACTATATAAAGAGCAAAGTAGTTATTTTTCTCGAAAAGTGTTTTTTAAATTATTAATTTTTGCTTATTACATATTTTATAATTATAGCATTATTTCATATACAATGCAAAATATTTATATAATATTATTTCTCGGATTATATTTTAATTTCTTTGTTCATGGCATGTAAGTGAAAGGATTTGCTATAATTCACCATATATTAAGTTTTTTTTACACAATATAAACAACACAATATTAATATAAATAATATAATATTAATATAAATAATATTTTTCACTTATTTTCTATTTTCTCAATGTGTGTTTTAGTATAAAAAGAAATACTATAATATTTATTTTGTACAAAATATGAAATTTTAATAACTATATATATAAATAAAAATTTTGAATTGCGAAACATATTTATCATAATTAAAAAGTTTGTTAGTTCATGAAAATTATTTTTTCTTATTATTGAAAATATTTATAATTTTTTATCATTTATAGAGAAATCGATATAAATCTCAAACATAATTCTGATTTAGTTATTGAACCAATAATAGGCAGATTTGAGCATAGTGAAGGTCCTCATTGGGATTCTCATATTCAAAAACTTTATTTTGTTGATATAGAAGCACAAAAAATATATAGATTTGATCCTATAACAAAAGATCTTTCCTATATATTTATAGGTAAATTATTAGTATATTCCTATAAAAAAAGGCATCAATATACTTTTTCACAAATTAATGTTAATGAATAATTATTTATAAATGACTAGAAAATGGACCTATTGGATTTGCTATTCCTGTTGAAGGAGAACCTCATAAGTTTGTTGTTGGTTGTGGTACAGATTTCATTTTAGTTACATGGGATGAACATAGAAATGTTACCAAATCTATTCCTAAAGTACTTACTATTGTTGATAATGATCGAAATGGAACTAGATGGAATGATGGAAAAGCAGATTCTTTAGGAAGATTTTGGGGTGGTTAGTTGGAAATGATCAGTCTTTTTCTCTTTCAATCTTTCTATTAAATGAAAATACTAATTCATATAATATATATCTATTATATCTCTATAGGAACAATAGGACCAGAAGTAAATGATGTTGTTATTCCTAATCAAGCATCTTTATATCGTATTGATTCAGATCTTAAACCAAAAAAAGAATTAACTCCTGTTACTAATAGTAATGGATTAGCTTGGAATCTTCAGGATGATACATTTTATTATATTGATACTCCTACACTTCAAATAGCAGCATTTGATTTTGAACCTATTAATGGAACTATATGTAGAAATCATTTGAAATATATTACATATAAAATAGAAAATTCATATTGACTTAAATTTATAATAAATATAATTCATTTCAGCTAATAAAAGAATTGTATTTGACCTCCAAAAAAATAATATTTCTGGAATACCTGATGGTATGACTATAGATAGAAATGGGAATCTTTGGATAGCTTTATATGGTGGAGGTGGTGTAAGTATTTAAAAAAAATTCTTTTATATATCATTAATAATATTTATAAAATATTAACATATTAAATAAACAGGTGATCAATGTCAATCCTTATACTGGTAAAGTAATACGTCTTATCGAGCTTCCTGTTACAAAAGTAACCAGTTGCACATTTGGGGGACCTCTACTAGATATTTTATTTGTAACAACATCTAGTCGGGATTTAACTAAAAAGGAATTGACAGAAAAACCATATTCTGGTTATGTTTTTGCTATAAGAGGCTTAGGAGTACATGGTCTTGTAGCAAATTCATTTAAAATTTAAGTAATAATTTTTAAAAACAAATATTCTTATGCATTTTATATTTAGTATGCACAGATAATATTAAAAAAGAGATAACAATAAAAATAAATAAAACTTTATATTTGTTTTTCTGAAATATTATTTTACTATTGAGAAACACTAAAATTTTTAAATTAATATAAAAAATAATTATTAATAATACATTTTAATCATTATATTGCAAAAATTGTAAAAATATTTCATCTTTGTTGTTTTCTATCAATATATTTATAGTTTTTTTTATGATAAAATAAAATTATTTTTAAACTTGATAACCTATTATACTCTATGTCGTAATAAATCATTATATATATAGTATATGTACTATTAAAAGCGATTATTAAGCACAAAATCTTATCTATTTAAATTATGATATATAAAGAAAAATTCTGTCATTTATATTAGTATTATTTATTCTTTAAATCTCATTGAATTAGATAAATTGTTAATTATTAAATTCGATATTGAGTGAAAATCATATTATTTTATAACGAAAATAATAATAAAGTAAGTATCATATAAGCGAGTAAATAAATTTTGAATACTTGAATAAATGAACAATATTACAACAATAATTTTTATATATATTTCTTTTTTTATTTACATTTCGTGCACTAAAAACACTTGTCGTTATATGTATTATATATCACGATTATAAATCGATAAAAATGTATGCAATTTATAATTATTAAATTAGAAAATGTCAGAAATAACTCTTGAACCACTCGTTGGACCATATGATCTTGGTGAAGGTCCTCATTGGGATTCTATTTCTCAAAAACTTTATTTTGTTGATATATATGCCCAAAAAGTATTCAGATTCGATCCTGCATCTGGTATTGTTACCTCTGTGTTTATTGGTAAATAATTAAAAATATTTTTTAATTTTATTTTATATATTTAATATTATTATTATTTAATATATTTTCTAATTCTAAAAATTTATTAATTTTAATATATTTTATAAATATATTTATAATTAGAAAATGGACCAGTTGGATTTGTTGTTCCTCTTGAAGGATGCACTGATAAATTTGTTGCTGGATGTGGTATAGATTTTGTACTTTTTTCTTGGAATAGTGAGAAAAGCCTTGAAAATTGTGCAGCTCAAATATTAGTTAGTGCAGATAGTGATAGAATAGAGACAAGATTAAATGATGGAAAAGTAGATTCCTCTGGAAGATTATGGGCTGGTTAGTTAAAAATATGAATTATTTTATACAATTCTGTGTGTGTATATCTAATTCAAAGTATACATTTTTACAATATAAGTTCTTTTTTTTTTTTTAGGAACCATGGGTCATGAAAAAAATGGAATTTTTCCACCTAATGTAGGATCTCTTTATTCAATTGGTAATGATTTTATGTTGAAAAAACAAGTATCTCCTGTATCTATAAGTAATGGATTAGCCTGGAATTCTAATAATGATATATTTTATTATATTGATTCACTCAGCTATCAGATTGTGGCATATAATTACAATTCTCAAACAGGAATCATATGTAAGAAATTTATAATGTATCAATATAATATATTTTATGTTAAATTTACATTTTTAATTCTTTTTTTTTTATAGCAAATAAGAAGATTGTGTTTGATTTCCTAAAAAATAATATTTCTGGATTACCAGATGGTATGACTATAGATACAAATGGAAATCTTTGGGTTGCTGTATATGGTGGAGGTGGTGTAAGTATTATTACATACAATTTCTATTATAATTAATAATTATTATAAAATACATTGTAAGGAAATAATTGACATTTATTTTTTGAAAAAAGGAAATTTTTAATGTTTAGATTCTCAACGTAAATCCGAAAACAGGTGAATTGTTGCGTTTTGTTAAGATTAATAATGCTAAGAACATAACTAGTGTTGCTTTTGGTGGTCCTAATCTTGATATTTTGTATGTAACATCAGCGCGTATTGGATTAAATGAGAATCAATTAAAAGAACAATTACATGCTGGTTATTTATTTGCCATTAAAGGTTTAGGTGTTTGTGGTTTTCCTGCCAATTCATTTAAACTACCAAAAATAAATTAAAATAGATATACATATAAATATTTAAAATATATACAAATATATATAAAACATATTTTTTTAATATTAAATTACTAAATAACAAAATTTATAGATTGTATATAAAAATTCTCTGTAGCAATTTTTGCAAAGAAATAAACATTTTAAACTAAAAAAAGAATTGATTTAAATTTCTTATTCAATAAAAGTAAATAGCATTATATATATATACATATATATATACATATACATATATATATATATATATTTTTTTTTTTTAACGAGAAAACATTTTTATAAATTATTCATTAGAAAATATACACATGTTACTAATATCTAATTACATTTGCCTATTCTCTTTTTTACATACAAAAAAAATTATATTGGTTGCTGAATGTACACAGTAGAAAAATAATTGTTTGTTGTTTTATTAATATGCAAAAATGTTTCCTTGGAATTATTGTGAAATTATATTCGCGATTGCATTACTGTTACGATTATTAGAACTTCGTAAAAAGTAGTGATATTCAAGCATTGTCATCCTGAGGCTTGTCATCCTAACTTGTGAAAAGTTAAATTTTCACTACTTTTTTCCTGGAATATAATTTCTTGAATATATGTATATTTTACGTAAGAATTTCATTTTAATTATTTTTATAGTTTAGAATACGTTTATTATTATCTATTTTCATGTGTAATAATTAAATGTTCATATATAGAATGACTCCATTAGGCACAGAAGTGAGAAGGCTAGCGAACTATTTCAGTTGTTCTTGATTAAAACATAGACTACAAAAATGTTAAAAAATATTATTTGTATGACTATTTTATCTTATAATTTACACATTATAATCATTTCAAATTATGGATGACAATTGCATTCAGCATGAACAATACATCAATAAACAAAAGTCAAAAAATGAGATTAAGAAACAAGAGATGAAATATTAATATTCTTGTAATGAACATTCAATCATCTAATGTTATAATTTCAACGCTATCATTAGTTTTTTCTCCTTTTTTGCTAGAAACACTACTCGATTTTCCTCTCGGTAAATCATACATAGTTTTGCTACAGTCTGATGGCCTCAGAGATTCTGATACTTTTTGTGAAACTACACTCACACCTGAAGACAAGTTTTTTGTGTATTCTAGAGTTGACTTTATTTGCTGAGGCTTTTGCTGAGGTATGATCTCTAAATGCGAATGCTGTTTCAATTGAGAAAGCATCGAGAAAGCTTCAACAGAATTTCCTTGAGAATATGAATTTGGCAAAGAATTGGAAATATCCATTGTTGGTTTCGTTTTTGTGGACGATTTTTTATATTGTGAATATTTTGTACTTGGACCTTTCAAACCAGCTTGAGGATTTACCGGACTTACGGAAATTCCACTTAATTCTGGTGGTATATACGGTGCCATTGACGAGTTCCCAGGCATTGCACTCAATATATTCGATAAATTATTCGGCAATGCAGACATTGTTTTAACTGGTTTTGCTTTTCTAACTAAATTTTGCACATTTGTTTGTGAATATGATCTTTGTGAATTTTTCTTTGACAATAATTTGTGTTGTAATGATGTTCCTGAATGAGAAGTAGGTACGTTTATAGGTAATGTTTGTTTCATAGTCATTGATGGACTCAATGTTGCATGTGCAACTTGAGGAACTGCAGGTGGATTTGTTGTCGCACTATTTTTCAAAGGAGAATGCGATAAAGACGGATTATGTGCTGGCTGAGGCTCAGTCAATGACTTTGATACTCGAATTTGAGGTGCGCTTATTTGTTTTGGTGGACTAGTTTTAACTTGTGTGTGAACAATAGATGGTTTTAGCAAAGAAACTTGTGTAGTTGGTGGTTGTAAGATAGTTTTTGATGGTTGTGATATTTGTAAAGATTTTGGAAGTTGGACTGCTACAGATTCACTTTGTGGACTTTGTTTTGATGATTTACTTTTGGGTAATACTGTATTTACTGGAGTTATTGATATACTAGGTCTATCTTTAGTTAAAGATGCAGTGGTGGTAGTTGCAGTGGTAGTTTTTGTTGTTACTGCTTGTTGATATAAAGGTGTGGAACGTGAAGTTGTTGCTGAAGCATTACTTAAATTTAGTAACTGTTGTACTGTTAAATTATTTAAGTTACCCAAATTGCTTATATTGGAAGCAGCATTTATATTAGAAGTAGATGTACTCATTGTAGGTACACTGCTAATGTTGGATGCAGTAGCAATGGTACTGTTTAATCCACTGGCTAAACTTGATAAAGAAGAAAGATTATTTTGATATTGTCTTAAAATATCTTGATAATTACCCATTTGATTTAAATAATTCATAGCTGATAAAGGATCCATCATACTATTGCTTAATCCACTTGTTAATAAAGCGGATAATATATTTGGATCAACTAATGGATGCATAAAATAGGGATTCATTAAAGATCGATTTCCCGATGCTCCCATATAATTAGCGAAAGTAGCTTTCGCGCTGAATTGATTCATTGCGTTACTACTTTGCATTGCTTGTAGATATTTATTCACATTGGGTGGACGTCCTCTTGGTCGACCAGTAGATGTTAGATTTTTATATGATTTTCGGCTTTGAGAAGATTGTGGTGATGTAGAAGTGACTTGTGGTTGGGATGTAGTTACCTATACAAACATTGAAAATGAAATTTATATTAACATAGATAGTACAAATAATTTTAAATAATAAGATTATAGATCTTACAGGAATTGGAGATGTAGCTTGAGGCTGTGTTTGATTCTCTGTAGGTTTATCAAGACTGGAGAAAAACTTACTTAAAACTTTTCGATTATAATTATAATCATTACAATATTTTGTAGCAATCTCTAAAACATTTCCCTCCAAATTCTATCAAAAAAGATTTAAAAAATAAAGTAATTATGAATATTTATGAGATATTCTCAAAATATTTTATTCAAAAAATTAACTTACTTTATTACCAATATATGTTTTATACGTATCTACCAATAAAGAAGCAAGTACTTGTATAGTTTGTTCTTTAGTTTGAAAACTTTTTAAAGCTCTCTGATATACCCAATATGTATCAAGAAGTACTTGAGTTCTAGCATCTGCATTTTTATTAATTGCAAGATCAGAAGTGCTTGTTCCCATTAATTGTACTTTGGTTCTAAGAGATTGTAAACACAGAGTCAATGCTTGACAAGATAATTGTTCTCTTTCTGAATCACGTAAATATTTTCTAAAAAAGTAACATACAATTTTATAAATAAATATTTTTCATATTTTGAAGTATCAAATCATTGTATTAATATAAATTTTAATAAAAGAAAAAATATATAGAAAATAAAATATTTTTTTATTTAAACTGTACTTGTCTGATTCTGGTATTTTTCCAAGTTGCACACTTAATTGAATTAACATTCGACCATCATTCGTTTCTTTAAGTACTTGCATTAATAAAGTTACGCAACGAGACATATGAAAAGCGAAACTTCCCGGTCTATCAACTTCTCTGTTTGGTATATGCCATACGCCCTGTAAAGATAAGCGATATATTTACATTGAGATAAAAAAGTTGATAAACCATAATTATTTGATCATAATAATACATTCGAATATAAAAATAAATTTATTAATCTAAAAAGTAAATAGGTATGTGTAATTTTTATCTTTTTTTATTATTACAATTTTTATTTTATTAAATAATATTTATATTTGTTTAGAAAAAAAAATGAAGATACATATGTTTTATTGTAAGCTTTTAGCTACAATCTCATTATGTGTAATATTACATAACATCAGGTAAAAATTAAAAAATTTAATAAAAAATTGTTCAATACAATTGTAATGAAATCATGATATGATAATAATTTTAAGATAAATATTAAAATAAGTTAAAGATTGACATTAATTATTTTATTATTTATTAATCAACGAAATAAAAGTTTTTAATTCATGATTATATATGAAGGTTTTGTAATATCAATTCGGAATTGCATTGTCTCTTTTAAAAATATGTTTTCTAATTTTTAATAATTTTTAATAATTATTTTAATAATTATTACTATTATCCAATTAGATAAAATAAAGTAGCTATTGAATAAAATATTATAAAATTGAATTGCTGTAAAATATAATATATTAATTCATAAATAATTTTTCTAAAATTTAAAAATTTAAAATATTTCATAACTTCAAAGTATGGCTACATTATGAGTATCACAATTAGTTTCTTTTATGATTTCATTATTATTAATTGGATCAACTTACAAAATAATTCACGCAATTGCGAAAATCATATCTTCTGCTTAAAAAATATATTTAAAAAACAGAAAAAAAAGAATTATAATTATATCTTTATAATTATATTTTTCTTATACAATATTTTTGCAATTATTTAAATAGAAATAAACTTGAATTTTTTAATAGATTCAATCATTTTATCAATCGACATAAAAAAATATTATGCATACATATTCGAAAAATTAATTTGAAATATATTAAAAAAATATTTTGAAAATGTAATTTTTTTTTTAAGATTTTTTTATACTAGAGAAAGAGATATAATTTTTCTAATTGCGTAAATAACTTATATAAATTAAAAAGAATTTAAAAAATGTAAAACATAAATTCATTTATATTTTTTAAATAAGACAATTATTATTAAATCTTTTATAAGGTTTATCAATGCATTAGAAAAAATTATAATAGATACAGATGCTGGGGCAGATGATGCAGTAGCTATATTTTTAATTCTTAAATCTACAAATAATATTTTAGCAATTACTTGCTCTTATGGAAATACATATGTGGAAAATGTAGTTATTAATGTACTTAAAATTTTAACCATTGCCAATAGAAGTGATGTAAGTATATTAGTAACTTATTTAAATATTATTATTATATAATTATATATTATTAAATAATTATATATTTATAATATATATTATAATATATTATTATAATATAATATATAATTATTATATAATTATATATCTTATAGATACCGGTATATAAAGGAGCACAAAAAGCATTAATAAATGAATATAAATATAATGATTTTTTTGGTTCTGATGGTCTTGGAGATTTTAATTTTACCGAAAATATAATTGCTAAAGTAGATGAAAGTAAACATGCAGCTGTAGCTCTCATAGACATAGTAAAACAATATCCAAGTAAATAATTGACTTATTTAATATAGTACAAATTAAAACTTGTTAAGAAGTTATATTTAATTATGTTTATTACAAATTATAGATCAAATAAGTTTATTAAGTATTGGTCCATCAACAAATATTGCCACAGCAATTGCATTGGAACCTTTATTTTTAAAGTACTTAAAAAATCACATTATATTAGGTTCCAGTATTTCTGGAATTGGTAATATTCTACCTAATGTTGAATTTAATTTTTATCAAGATCCAGAAAGTAATTATATGATTTTGAATAAAACCACTACAACTATTTTATTTCCATGGGAAACAGCAATTCAAAGTTATATATCTATGGTAATTATTTAAAAATAATATAAAAAAATTATGAAATAATAAAACTTCAATTTTTTAATAGGATTGGCGTAAAAATGTATTGGGAAAAATAAATTCTACTATTATAAATTTTTTAAATAAAGCGGAACGAATAAATATGTCCATCTCTAATTCATGGAGTGCTTCTGATGCAATGGCTGCTGCAACTATGTTATGGCCACAACTTATAATAAAATCCATAGAAACCAATGTACAACCTGTAATCGACGGACTCGCAAGAGGTTCAATACTTGTGGATTATACTAATTTAACTAAGAAATCAAAAAATGCAAAAATTATACAATCATTTGATACAATTACTTTCCAACAATTCTTATTGGAAAAATTTTCTTAAATTTATCAAAATTTATTTTATCTATTTTGCAAATATATATATATATATATATATGTAATTAGATATAATACAAAATACTTACATTGAAAAAATTTGTGCTTTTTCTATCAGCAAACAATCCTTGAAAATTTTCTCCTCGATAAAATTGACAGTTATAATTGTCCAACAAAAGATTTCTGCATTTTATTATATCTTTAGCAGTCTTGTTATTGAAAAAAAAATGAGATAGTCTGTAAAATGATTTGTAATGTTCTGAAAATCTTAAGATGCATTGTTCTAAACCAGCTAAACAATATGCTATTAAAGTAGCAACTTCTTCTTCCGACATATTTTCTTCTTTTTGTGCAAAATCTGAATCTTCTTTCTTTTTTTCACTTTCACTTTCACCAGAATCGGTTTCAGTATCACTTGAACTATCGCTATCAGAACTATCGTCACTGCTACTTGTTTCATCGCTGCTACTAGAACTAGAATTATTTGTTTCCGTTGTTGTAGTTGTTTGTGTGGTTGTTGTACTTTCTTGTGAACCTCTCCTACTTAAAGTTGTTTCTTCCTTGGTAGCACTAGCAGGCTTCTTTTTGTCAAGAATTTTATCTTTCATTTCTTTATTATTTAATTGAAAATCTTCATTTTGTAACCATTTTCCATCGAATTTTCTTGTATCTTCGTCTTCAGGTGAAGATTGTCGTGTTTCTTGACTAATTTCCATTGCTTGTTTCATGAGTGCATCCATTAAATCTTGAACATTCTCTGACTTTCCTTCATTTTCGAATATGGTACCAATCTTTACAGATGTTAATGAATTTTTTTTAGCATCATCTGATTTCGATGTCTTTGTTTTTTCGATGGTTTTTTTTGCTTTCTTTTTTTGTGATTTTGATTCATTGCTTTCATCACTTGATAATACCATAATATCATCGACTTTTTCTTTTTGTGAAACCATATCGCAAACTTTCGTGATTACATCATCTATTAAAGCTACGACATCATGCATTAATTGCAAATGAGATACATTGCCTAATTTTATTTTTTTTATATTATCTTGAGGTAATTCAGTGGGAGATCTTTTACGTGTTTCAGTTTTTTCTTGTTCATTACGTTGATTCGTTGCAAATCCTGTATTTGTTCTGTCTATAATTTCAATCTCCTCGATACTATTTGAACGTTGAGCAATAGTGACAACATTTCTGTCATTTTCAGTTGTAAATTCCACTTCTTTTGTGGTAATTTTATTACTTGTGAAAAGATTTTCTTCTTTAGTTTTCTCATTTAACTTTGAAGTATATTTCATAAAAGGCCCTTTGGCACATTTTTCAAGATGAAATTGAAGCAATTGACCTAAAGATTTTTTCAAGAGTTTTCCTTCATGCTGCTCAAGATATTTCAATATGCTCGCATGAATTCGATAATGGACTTCTAATGCTTCAATTGAAAGATGCTGTGGATATTTATGATTTATTCTGCGTGGATATTGTGCATTATTGTGATATAATAATTCACTAGCCTATAATTAGATATAAAAAAATTAGAATATTTTAACCATAATTAAAATAAATAGAATATAGATTTGTAAACCTTTGCATAATGTTCTAAATATATAGGAGGATCTTGATTTTTTTTTTCTGCAATTTTACCGAGCATATATTGATATAACCATCTTTCATCATGTGGTATTGTTCCATCCTTATCACCAATAAATAAACGAGCACAAGACTGAAAACACTTATATGCAATTTCTAACATTTCTTCTTTCCTAGTTTCTAGGATTTCAAATCGTCCCATACTTAATGTGTGTGTTTCTTGTTTTAATAATCGTGAGCAAAAGGAATGAACAGTATATGCAAATGATCCATATTCAGTCCAAATAATATGATTACAGGAATCTAATTCGACAGCATGTCGATAACTGGATTGAGTTAGTTTTGCTTTTGCTAAAAGTTTGTCTTCATTTCTAAACATGAAATAAATAATTGACATTATTAATTTATTTTATAGCATATTAATGAATTCATTTCAATATTTAAATTTAATTTTTTTTTAGTACTTACATTGGAGTATACTTATTTAACCAAGTATCTATTACAGTGGCTGATGACATTGCTAATCCAGTCCAAGAGCTCAATCTTGTTGGATGAAAACATAAATCCAATAAATAATATCGAATAGCTGCACTCCACTTACCGTTTTTAAAATAAAAATCTGCTAACAGATAATAAATAGTAGACATAGAATGCGGTAGAAGTTTTTTGACAGTCGGCATTGTTTCTCGTTCACCCATGATATAAGCCATCATTTCATCAATTACTTGATTTGGATCACTTTCTGGAGGAATTAACTTTATTATACGTTTAAATAAATCTTCTGTATCTGCACTAATTGTTAAAGATTTAGGTGAACAAAATTCTGGTATTTGCTTGGGTTTATAGAAATCGAACAATAATTGTGCTCCTTCCCAAGTCACTTTCATTTGAGGTACTCCATGTTCCTCTATATGTTTCGGTCGACTCTTATTCACTTTATTGTAATGACCATATAAACAATAAAATATTTGTTCTAAATACTTTGAAACTTTGCTTTTTATGCTAGAAAATTGAGGTGTTTCCAATTTTGGAATAACTAAATTTAAAGTAAAAAATAATAATTTTGCTTCATTATAACAACACCATGAATGTCTTCCCATAAAATCATGAGCAATAAATAAAATCATAATGGATGCTGGAACACCTTCATCTTCATCATCTGATTCAGAATAATTAGAATTATGTTTATTTTTATATGACGATTCAGCCTTTGCTCTCTCTTTATCTTCTTTATATTGCAAAATATAATGCAATAAAATCCAAGGCAAAACAGTCTCAAGTGGCATCTCTACAGTAGTTTCTGATACATCTAATTGATTGCAAACAATATGAACCAAATTTTGTACTAATCTTGAAAGACGTGTTTCCGGCAAATATTTCACAACAAAAGTGCTAACTTCAATCGTACAAGCTTTTAATTTTTCAAGCGCCATTAAAATAGAAGTTGTCCATTTTTTTTGTTCGATTTCATCAGAAGCATTTAAATAATTTTGCCATGCTTCATTAAGGCAAGCTTCTGCCCACACATAACATTCTTCATATTGTTGTAATTGCCATAAACTATCTAATAACATAGATAATTGTTGTACCCTATCAACAATATTATCATTTACAGATAAAAATTTATTTCCTTGTTTTGCAAATTTAAATGTATCCTGTAATATATAAGCTAGTTCAGCATATTTTTTTTCATCGTACAGGTTTTGTATCTCTCCTAATTTTTGTCCTCTATGAATAGATTTAAGTTTTTTCTCTACTATTTTAATACTGATTTGAGAATTATATTTACAATTAGGCAGTTTCAAAAAAATGTTTTGATTTTGTTTTTCCAATTCTTGCATGTGATTTAATAACTGAAAAAATAATTTTTGATTATATAAATTTAAAATATGTTTTTATGTTGAAATCGAACTGCTTACCAATTCTAAAGTTTCAATGACAATATCTGTATCTCCTTGGCACAAAAAAATATTAGCTTTGAGCCATAAAACCCTTAATAATATGAAAATATTTTCTTCATTTATGATATCTTTTCTAACACTTGTAAAAATTATATGCCCTAATTCTTCAGATGGCAATCCTGTACCAAGTTTATCTAATCTAGAATAAATGATATATTTTCATTATTTTTTTTAATGCGAAATGAATGATAAAAAAAAAAAAAAAATAAAACATACGTTGAAGAAGGTAATATATCTGGTTTATTGCTTAACCATTTATCTGTGTGAAGTTCACCAAATAATAAAGTCATTTCAGCATCTAATTTTAAAACATCATCATTTATATCTTGTTCAAATGGTGATGGATGAGGAATGTGTTCTCTGCATAAAAGAGGAAAAAAAATTTATGATTGATATTGTATTTACATAGAAAAATATATTTATTTGATATACCTCATAAATGTATATGCTTGCAAATATATATCTAATATTCCTTTAGACCATTCTTGATTCCATTTAGTACATAAAAATTCTGTATACTTTGCTATAATTATCATTAAGTTATTCTTATTACTGTGTTCATTAATAAATATATTTACATCAGCTATTTCACATTCTGTGCCGAAATAATTTTGTTGTTGACTATAAACGAAAAAAAGTTATTATCAAATTTTTTTTACATATTTTATATTAAATAAGTACCTCATATCGGGACTCGGTGATTTCGAACTCTCAGAACTTTTAACTGTTTCTATAATATTGCTATTATTTTCTTGATTAGCAAACAATTGATATAAATCCATTGTATCCATAGAATCATCCATATTTTTAGAAGGATCATCTTTGGTTAATTTTACAGTATCTGGTCTAAAATATTAAATATGATTTATGTATAACAAGAGTATTATAGATTATATAAATATATTTTTACATACAATAATGTGCTAGGAAATATTCTTCTAAGAGTTTCTTCTAATTGAACATCATCTCTTTCAGCTTCTCTTCTATTTGAACTTCTAACTCTTGCTGAACGTCTCATGCTATTACAACTCCAAGCCCATTGTTGTAGAAAACATAAAGCACTTCTCCTTCTCTTCTTTACCTTTTGTACTTCTTCTTTTCCTTCAATTTTCTCAGATAATTTTTCTTCTGTCTTACACTGTGGTTTGTCTTCTTTTTTTGAATTTTTTTCATCATTGGATTTGTTACTATCTTTATCACTAATATTATCATTTTGTGCTTCATTATCAGCATCATCCATTATTTTATCTAATTGTAATTTATCTTCACTTTCATGTATTTCAAAGTTATTTTGTTCATCTAAATCATTTTTTACTTGACTTTGTTCTTCAAACTGTACAGCATCTGTATCTAAAATTCTTAAAGGATCTTCATCTTCTATTATTTGTACATCAGTGGAACATGATTTTTTGTCATCTTCTATTTCAATTTCCATTAGACATTCAGTACCAGCACATGCTTGATTGTCATCAGATGTTTCAAATGGAGAATTTGTTTCATCCGTTTCCATCTTCATTGATTTTTCAATATCATTTTCATTTTTTATCATGGCACTTTGTAATATTTCTTGATCGGTGTTAGCATCATTTTCTGTCTCAATATATGTTTTAGGTATCTCTTCAGAATTTTGAACAATTAAATTAATTCTACTAACAAAACTTAAGTTATTTTCTGCAATGTATCTGTGCATATCTAATAAACATTCTCCTAAATCTAACCAAGTATAATTTTTTATAGGTTTCCTTAATGTCAAATCTGGCAATGGTTTAGGACAGAATTCTTTTTTACAAGCTTCTGCCCATTTCTTGGCAATATCTTTTGCTTCTGCTATTAATTTATCTCCTATTAAATGATCATATTGAGTATATAATGGTGGATCTAATTGCCAATCACTATTATATAATTTATAGCATTCTTCAAGGCATGGAATGTCTTTAAATATTCTATCACGAAAAGCTAAACCTTTCACATAAGTAGGATCACGTTCTAATGCCATAGAAATATATAAAAGACAATTCATATAATCAGGAACTGCATATAAGGCAGTTATCATATTATCTAAACATGGCCAATGATTTGCATTACATTTTAAACCTTGCTTAAATGATGAACATGCTAATTCTAAATTTGAAATTTTCAAAGCTAAAGTGCCTATTCTATACCATAATGTTACATCTGAATCATCTAAATTAGCTGCTTCCCAATAATTTTCTATAGCTTCTTCATAATTTCCTAATATGGCCTGTATAGCTCCAATATTTTTAAAACAAGAATATTTTAATGACAACATTGGTCTAGATTTACCATCAGGTATTTCAGGTTTTTGAACTTCATCCAATAATTCAGTTTCTAAAAGATCTTTAAAAATATTAAGTGCATCTTCCTGTTTATTTTCTTTTAACAATACTAAAGCTTTATTATATTCAGTAAAAGCTATTTGTTCCTGAAACAGACATGTATGAAATAAATTTTTTATATTTTAATGAAGCATATGTCAGTAATAATGAACAATAAATTTTAATTTTTCTGTATAAAAAGCAAAAATTAAAAAAAAAAGTAATAATAAATTAAATGAATTGAATATGCGCATCATATATTCAATTAAATAACATATTCTTTGAATATAAATAATTTATAATATATAATTTAAAATGTGCGAAATAAAAGATAATCAAATATAAAATATTAAATTATTATAAATAGATATCAATAAAAATAGTTCCTATAATATGATGTTTCATATTATTTTATATAAAATTTTTATTATATAAAAATCAAGTTTTCATAAATGACAAGTTTATAGGTTAAGTTTTATAATTAATAAAAAGTTAACAATTCCGACACATACTTGAGCTTCTTTTGTAATAGTTGGTACATCTTCTTCTTCACTTTCTTCACTAGATTCTTCGTTTAATGCTGATATCTTTATCATTTTTAGAATTTTTCCTTAAAAATTGAGATTTATATATAAAATATCAACAAATCAACCGGTTTTTTTTAAAGCCGCCATGCTACTAAGCATACAACGTGCTAGTTTGTATTTATACATTTATATAGGGTGGTTAAAAAAAATATATATTTGTTTCTTATAATTTTAAAATATTCTACATTTTTTTTATGAATATGTAATTTATGGATATCTTTATTCTTTACACATGTATTGCATACTGTTTATATGAAATAATTAAAATGGAATTATTGTTTAAACACCTTATATATGCATTATCTATGAACTTTCGAGATAATTTTATGCACACGTTTCGCACATATTGTAACGTGTATCTTTATTTTATATTAATAATATAATTGTTTTATATGATTTATTTAAAATTTTATATTTATATTAAATTTTGTAAAAATTTTATTATGTAAACTTATCAATTTTTTATTTTGTATTTTTTATCAATTTATTTTTATTTTGTATTTTTTTATCAATTTTTATCAATTACTATTATTATTTTATTGGAATTATTAATTTATTTTCTCAATTTATGACAATTTATAAATAATAAATGAAATACATACAATTTTCTTAGGTAAAATAAAAATAAAAATTTTACTGAAAATAAAAAAAGTAAATTTAAGAATTTTGCAAGAGGAATTAAAAAATATATTTGGGTCATTGAACTATTGTATTTAACATGCTACAATGTTTATGATTTGGGGTAAGTATTAATAACAAATTTTCTTGTATGTATTAATTTATAAGATGATAAATTTAGTTATTAAAAATTTAAACATTGTGTACAAAAAATCAAATATAAGATTTAGCACATACAAGATTAATATAAAATTGTCTATAAATTAATGCTTTTTTAAATATTTGATAACAAAAAATTAAAAGAAAAAATTAACAAGAAATTTAATAACTAAAATACAATGGTATATATAAAAACACCAGTTTAAAAAATTTAACTACATTATTTTTAACATGTTAAATACATTTCCATTATAAATCATATAAAAACATTATATTTTATGGTAGACTATAGATAATAACTATTATAAACTATTATTTACTATTTACTTCTTAATAACTTATTAAAATCATGAAATGATAACAAATTAAATAAAAATATTAATATAGAAATAGAAATTGTTAGAATAATAAATAGAATAAAATTATTCTTATAAATATATAGAAGTCATTTTTATAGAAAGTTTATGTTAACATTTTTTGTTAAAGTAAATTTTGTTAAAGTATATTCTAATAAAAATTAAAATACATAATAATTATGTTGGCAGTTTTACTTTATGCTATAAATAATGATTTTTTTAGTAACTGAAAATAATGATATTAATTGAAATTGTACAAATTTAAACTTATTTTCCAAATACAATACAATTAAAGTTTAAAATACATAATGAAATAGTTATCAGAAACTTATTGTGATAAATATATACATTGTAGGAGATTGGATCGCAGATGGAGTGCAATCTGTAGACATGCGAAGTTTCCTTGATTCTGTAGTTATAACAAATAAAAGTATTGTAAGGAGAATTCGCGTGTCTCCCTATGAAATATATAAAACGCATTGGCGTAATGGTGAGATATCTTTACATAAGATAAAGATTATTAATTTCTGGTATCGTATCTTTATACAGTCTTATAAAATTTCTATTTCATAATTTTCTTACCATAAACTATCAATACTTGTTTTTAGATCCCGAAATACAAAAACATTATTGGGCAGCATCTTTTCTTTTACCCATTGGAACAATTTTTATTCTTGCTTTGATAGTTCTTTTAATGGTAACATTTTCTTCATAATTTTTCAATAAAATAATTAATTATATTTAGAAATGATGATTAATTTAATCTTACGATCGTTTCAGGTTTTGTTCAAAAGATGTCCACAAATGATTGCCGCGATTGTCACATCAATTCTTGGTGTGATTATTATATTTACAGTACTGGTATCAATTAATCATGCTCCAATTTACGCTTGATATTTTCTAATATTTCTTCTTACAAAATACAAAATGTAATATTTTATCTTTTCTAATATGTTCAAAATTTTACAGACCAAGATTAATAAAAGGATTACTGCCATCAATGCAAACAGTTACACATGCATGCACATACTGATTTTTATATTCTGTATATTCTTATAATAGAAAAACAAAATATATTATCAAACAATTTTCACATAATTTTTACTAATATAAATGTTTTACTTACTATTAGCGATTTTTTTTACTTAATTTTATTTCAATCATATCCTTTGATACGTTTATTACTTTTTCTTTGTATTTATCTAATGCTTGTTGTAATCTCTGGTAATTCTAAAATTAGCATTTTTATTAATATTTTTATGAATGCAATATAGACTGAGATATTTAAATGGGAAAACTTAAATGTCTCCGTTATTTTTATGAAAAAAATATTCAGGACAAAAGTGAAAAATGAAAAAAATTAAAAGATATAATTTATCATAATAAACAATATGATATCAGAAAATATGAGGTAAATAATAGAAGTATATAATAGGAAATTTTTTTAAAAATGATCTATTTGTATCTTTTAATTTCTACTTATTAAAATAAAAAATTAACTTTCCATAAAAATCCAATTGAGATTTAAAAAATAGATTTGTTACTCTACAGCTCTATTAACTTATAGTATAAATATTTGATTAACAGATTATGTATCTTAACATGAACATATGTTTCAAAAAATTCAATAACTATGAGCCCACTAATAAAATAATATTTAATATTGTTGGAAATATATAATGTAAATTCCTTTAGATTAAATTATCAAAATAGAACAATTATCAAACTCATTTCATATTTTATGGAATCTCCATAAAATAAAGATATGAAAAAAAAAAAAAAAAAAAAAAAAATGTCTTGAAAAAAAATTCTTTTAAATATCTGATTTTCTTTGAAATAGTACAACTTAGTCCTGAATATTTCTTTTATAAAACTAAAAATAACAAAAATATTTAGTTTTTTCTATTTGAATGCTGCATTCTATATAAAATAAAAAAATGCATACCTCAGAAAAAATAGGTTTCTCACTAATTTCTTTTAATTCGTATAAAAGTACTTCTAATGTATTAAGTGGTAACCAGACTGCCATTTGAGTTACAGATGTTAAATATGTTTCAAGACCAAAATTTTCTATACCATTACCCAAAACAGCATTAATATATTCAATTCCTAAGTCACTAGCTTCTAATATTCTACCAGTATTTAACATAAGACGAAGAAGTTCCGCAGCATTTCGTTTCTATAATAATAATAAAAAAAGTTTTAATTATATAAATATGAGTAAAAATTTTTAAAAAGTTATTCACCTTATACGATATTAATAACCATTGAGGTATGAACGCTCTTTCTTGAAGTAATTTTCGGGCTACAGCTTTATGTAATTCGCTACATCTATCTTTTTCATGTTCTAATGTCAAATATTCTAATAATCTCCAAGCAGTATTTGTAATATTTGTATTAGATAAACCAATATCAAATATATCATTTTGAATAAGCCAGTCCCATGCATTTGAATCTTCTCCTCGACTTAATCGTATACATTGTGAAGTTAAACTTTCAAGTACAGAGCTTTTATTAATATTAAATTCATCACATAAATGCAACGCTGTTGTGTATAATCCAATAGTTGATAGAATAATAATAAGCTCTGAAGGTCCAGCATGTGAAACAATATCTGAATTCATTTTTGATACTTTCAATCTTGCATCTACTACATAGTATTCTTTTTTTATATCATTTAATTCAAGAACTTCAACTTGTTTCTTTATTTTATAATGCAAAATATCTTCATTGCTGATACTTTTCCTTGTTTGAGAAATTTCATAATCCATTTCCTCTAAATAATTTTGATCAATTACAGGTCTAACAATCCATCTATACTTTTCAGAAACAAGATGTAATGCATTAATACATGCTAATAAGCATTGAGCTTGTCTTGATACAATTACAACAGATTGTGATTCTTGGCTCAAACGCATAGCTTGTTCATACATCACTGATGCAGCTGTAAAACAAATTAATTATAATATAAAAAATGTTTATTTGTTAATATCATAATAGATCAAAGTTTAATACCTTTCCGCATATTTCCTTTATTTATATGGAAGCTATATAAAAAATTGTAATAATTATTTTCCATGAGATCCACGCTTCGGGCTCTACCTTCTACTATTCTTTCTAAATCTTCGTACATATCAACATATGGAAATGAAATTAAATCTATTAATTTTTTTCGTTCAAACAGAGTTACTACTAATTGTCTCAAACAATCTACTCTACGCGCGGCATCTGGATTCGAATTTAAACAATTATAAGCTTTGATATGATGACCCAAGTTTAAATGTTGCACAAATACTATTGAATGCAATGTTGGTAAATTAGGATCATCTTTATCAGCTATTAATATAGCTGTTTCAGCGAGTTCTATAATGCAGTCAAAAGCATTATGTTCTTCAAATAATCTGATAACTTTTAAATAATATTGAATTAACGAACTATTTTCAGATAGTACACTGGATTCGAGTAAGGCATCTGCTAAAAATTCATCCGTCAAAATTCCTCCAGAAGCTCGGAGAAAATGATCGCATGCTTTTTGCGCTTCTCCCATTTCAAGTAGTGCGACTGCTAAAATAAATTTTCTCGATGCAATGTTCCATTCACACCATGTATTCAAGAGTCTTACATATTCTTGAACCAATAAAAATTGACAACTAGATAGTAGCCATTCAGGAAAGATAAAATTTCCCGATCTTGGCCAACTAATTAATTATTATTAAGTAAACATATAATAATTTAAAAATAAAAATGATATATACATATAAAATAAATCTTAAAAAAGGATACATAAGTTGAGCGATAAATGTAATATGTGTTAACATGCCATAATGCCAAGGAATTAAAGTAGTTGCATCTAAATTTGTATGAGCCATCAAATTATGAGCATGTTTTGCACCACTGTTTTGTATAAATAATTCTAATAACAACAAAGATCGATGTTGTTTAAATACTATATTTGTTCTTGAATCAGCAAGCTTCAATAATGCTAAACGCTGAACACTAGAATCTAATAATGATTGCATAGGCATTGGTAATGCTGTGGATTCACATATCCATGTTACAACATAATAAGCTTGCATTAACACTACTGTCCTGGGTGCTAATGATGATTTTATAGAATGTAAAGATCGCGAATCAAACAATTCTGGTCGTAATAATATTATTTGTTGCAAAATTAATAAATTCCTGCAGATTGCGAATCTTAATTGTGTTATTTGTGTTACACTTTTTGATATTGCTGAGATACCTAAATGACTACTAAAAAAGTGATTGATATTAAGTAATAATTTTGAAGCATCATGATCTTCATTAAGTTGTAACTTATTTGGTTGACCAAGATCATATGTTAATGTTTCCAATAACATTGCCATAGCACTGGATATATCTCTAACATTTGACAATCTATGAGAGCTAGGATGATGTGTAATGAAATTACTAATTGGTTCTTCTGATTCTAACATTAGTTTTGATAATAAATCATCAATAATGATATCTGGACTTCTCAAATGATACATTTCTCTCTTTATCATTATTTTAGTTTCTTCAGATAATTGTTCTTCTATCAATACCAATGCTGACATTATTATAATAAGATCTTGACATATATCCTCATCTTGCGATAAAATTGGTGATATTTTGAATCGCGATGTATATGATTTTTCATTGCAAAACATTAAATATTCCAAAGCTTCCATTGGTCTCAAAAGTGAAAAGCATGACTTTTTAAGTAAAACTACTCCATAAACAGTTGGTAGTAACAACAATCCCACTGGTCTCGTACTATTAGCATGATACTGTATAACACAAGAATAAAATTTTGACCAACATCGATTGGCGATTTCCAAGTAGTCTTCGTCCATAAGTTCGTAATCCATAATTTCAGCCTGTATTTCAGCTTCTACAGCTTTTTCAGCTTCTACTTTTAATTCAGTGGCAGAAAGAATTTTATTCTCTATACAATTAGACCTTCTATATATGTTCAAGGCTTTTGTTATATCTGTCAAAGAAAATTGTCCAGGATAAAAAATATAATTAATATATGTTTGTCTTGGATCAGTATCAGCATCATTAAGAATATAATCTCTATCTGGTGTTTGTTCTAAGATTGCTGTTTCCCATTCAGAATTAACGCGCATACCACTCGATAATGATAATTGTGCATGAGTTACTTCAACTGTATCCATATCAGTAGTTCTCCATACAGCCCATAATCGAGTAGTAGTAAAAAAAAAATCGACTAAATGTTGCTATAAAGATTAATATAAAAATTAATAACATAATGTATGATAATTAATATAAATATATATAAAAAATACATACATCTGGTGCAAATTTTGTACATAATCTCTTAAATTTAAATACACCATTATCTTGAATTGGTTTTAAAATACAAAATTCGCATCTGGAATTAAATTTTAAAAAAGTCGCCAAGTATAATTCATTATTAGGACTCAACGTTTTTTTTAATATATGTCCTTGTGCACCTTCAGATGCAACATGATTATCTATTGTTATATCACTTACTGCCACACATTGAGCTTTATTACAAGACCACATACGAATATTACCTTCACGGCACAAAGCAAAAAGATATGTATCATTTTCACAATTATGTATAGTTAATGACATAGCCACATGGGCTTCAGAATTACGACCTCTGAAAGCAGTTGCAATACCACTAAGAAATCTTGGTACTATTGAATCTTGTTTTAATTCATTACTATGCACAAGGCCAGTTTTAATGTCTAGCCTTAAAAGGAGTATAGTTCCAGAATTATAAGCAAAAGCAAATAATGCTTCTTGTGGTGGAATAAACCATGATGCAGCTGCATGAGGAACTGGAGAATCTATAAAAAAAATCCAAATTATAGTAATAGATATATATATATATATATATATATATATAAATATTGTTTTCTATAATCTATCATAAATTGCTAACTTGTAGTTCCAGCATTTGTAATAACATGAAACATATGAGGATCTTCTATTGTTTTTTTTATATTCTGAGTAGATGTTTCACTAAATATTGACTGTGTACCTAAATCTTTATATGTATTTAATGAATGTTCCTAAAAAATAATATATCAATATATTAAAAACTTAATATTTTATTACAATATTATGTACAATATTATATTGTACGATATTCATACGATATTTAACTCTTAAAAAGTACTTACATTTTTATGAATTCGTTCGGGATGAGGAAATGATAATTTATGAATACTAGAAACAGTTGCTATTAATATAATTACTGAATTAATTGTTTCATGTATAGAAATTCCATCCAAAATAGGTGTGTCTGTAAATTTATATCTTACTCTACAATTAGCCAAATTAATATCTAAACTGTGTTCAACCAACTCAAGTACATCATGACAAATACGCCAATAAATAAATCGATTCCGTGTAAAATATTTTGAACCATCATTATAAGAATAACCACCAGCTCGCTCTGGAACTTTTATATCTTGCAAAGTACTTTGACTACCACCTATGAAATAATATAATTATTGAATTATATATGTAGAATTATATTTTATTTGAAAAGTACAAATATAAGAATTAATTAGAAATTTTTATATTCATTTATAAAGTTATATGTTTTCATTTTAAAAGTGATATATGCTTTTATAAATAAAAAATAATCACTTATATAATAAAAATATTGCTTTTAAATTATTTTTTAAAATGTAATTTTATTTATCTAATAAAAATAAAGGTTATGATTATCTACCTGTATTCAACTTGATTTCATTCCATTTTTCTGGTACAGTTTGATCAGGTACAACTTCCCGGTAACCCAACAGAAATTCTTCCATTTCTTTATTGTATTTTTGAATAAATAATATGTCAGTTTAACTTGTAAATTACATTACAACGATGCTCAAAATTTTAGCGGGCATCGAACATTGCGTGTTAGCATCACGCTTTACGCTTCGCGCTTTGCACTTTGGCGCCCTCAACTTTACCTTCTGTTGCTAACTTATATGATTTATTCAATATTCTTTTAAATTATAAATAATTTTTCTTTAAAAAAATTCTTCAATTTATTTTTTGCGAACTAAAAAATTATTTTTAAAATTTTTAACTTATAGTCATAAAAAGTTATAAAAAATATAAGTTAAACAAAAATAAAAATAAAATAAAAAAAACCAAAAGGAGGGTCGACGTCAACACCTAGGATCTGTGTGTGGAAGAAAAACCACTCAATGTTGTCAAATTAATGGGAATATTTTTAAATCATATGATACCGTTGTTCAAATACTTCGCCAGGTGCATCGGACCCGTAAATACAATTTTTAAAATGTATTTATATAGAAACATACAAGTGCACGAGTACTTTGGAGAGATCTCATAAGCTTATGAGACATCTATTATTAGAAAGATGAATTACTTATAAATTTTATAAAACTAAACAAAACAAAAAATATAGGCAAAATTCATATAAATGAAATATAAATGAGGAAATAGTACATAAAATTCTTATAATTTATATTTTAATTTGGACTTATAAAAGATTAAAAATTTAACTTAGGTATTTGGATTTTTTAATTTTGTTATGTAATATTTATTTCTAATATTTACAACTGGGCGATGTTTCAATTTATGAATTAGACAATTTTTGAAAATTGATTATAGATTATAATTATATATTAAAAAAAGAAGACATAATGTTAAATAAAATTAGATTTAATATTAATTTCTAAAAATCTAAAAACTTAAGTTTGAATTTGATAATAAAAATTAATAAAAATTTAATTAAATTAATCTTTAAAATTTAATTAATAAAATTAATCTTTAAAAATTTAATCTTAAATTTAAAAAAAATTCACTAAATTCACTAAATTGCAAAATAAAAGTTTAATTTTTATTTTAATTAATTTAAAAAAAATAAAATTAATTTAGAAAATTAATTTAGATTAAAGTTTGTTAAATAAAAAAAAATCATATTCATTAAAATAATAATTTCAGATATTTATTTATGTAAAAATATTATTATAATATTTTATTATTACTATAATCAAAACGGTAATAATAAATTTTTTCAAAATTAATATTTTAATCAAATCCTATTTTTTATATTTCATGATATATTTTTTCATTCATTTATAAGTTATTAATTGATTCAATATTTCATTATTATTTTATTTATTCATTCGATCAAGATTAAGAAAAAATTTAATTTTCGCGGGAAATGCTATGAATACTAAGTTGCCATAACAATTCAATATGGAAGGAATAGAAGTTATATCAATCAAACAAATATTTATACAACGTGTTATTTAGAAGTAAGATTTTTCTGTATACTGAAAAAAGAATGAAAATCGAAGAAGTAAAAAGTACTGCAAAGACTCAAAGAATATCAGCTCATACACATATAAAAGGCCTAGGTCTTGATGAAAATGGTGCAGCAATACAAGCTGCAGCCGGTCTTGTTGGTCAAGAAATGGCTCGTGAGGTTAGAATTTATTTAAAATTTATTTATTTAGAATTATATTAGTAAATTATAATTATATCTAATATTTATCTAAGAGAGATATGTCTTTAGTTATCAATATTAGTCATTATTTTTTTAAATTTTTTTCTGAAGATTTTTATTGAAATTAAAAAAAAAATTAGATTTCTTTTTATTACATATATTTTAGGCAGCTGGGATAGTTGTTGATATGATAAAATCAAAGAAAATGGCTGGTAGAGCTGTGTTATTAGCTGGTCCACCTGGTACCGGAAAAACTGCAATTGCATTAGCTATTGCTCAAGAATTAGGCAATAAAGTACCATTTTGTCCTATGGTAGGCTCAGAAGTTTATAGTTCTGAAATAAAAAAGACAGAAGTTTTGATGGAAAATTTTAGAAGAGCTATTGGACTTAGAATCAAAGAGACTAAAGAAGTATTTGAAGGAGAAGTTACAGAATTAACTCCAATTGAAACAGAAAATCCAATGGGTGGATATGGAAAAACAGTGTCTCATGTAGTAATTGGATTAAAAACTGCTAAAGGTACTAAGCAGTTAAAGTTAGATCCTTCCATATATGAATCATTGCAAAAGGAAAAGGTAGAAACAGGAGATGTAATTTACATTGAAGCAAATAATGGTGCTGTAAAAAGACAGGGTAGAAGTGATAATTTTGCAACCGAATTTGACTTAGAAGCAGAAGAATATGTTCCTTTACCTAAAGGTGATGTACACAAGAAGAAAGAAGTCATTCAAGATGTAACATTACATGATTTAGATGTTGCTAATGCTAAACCACAAGGTGGTCAAGATATTATGTCTATGATGGGTCAATTAATGAAACCTAAAAAGACAGAAATTACAGGTAAAAGAATTTAAAATTGGTTAAAAAAATTTATATTATACTGATAATAAAGGTTTTAATTTGAAACTAAAAATATATTTATATTGTGCATTACAGATAAATTGCGTAAAGAAATAAACAAAGTAGTAAATAAATATATTGATCAAGGGATTGCAGAATTAGTACCAGGAGTTTTATTTATAGATGAAGTACACATGTTAGATATAGAAACATTTACGTATCTTCATCGTGCGTTGGAAAGCGCAATTGCACCAATAGTTATCTTTGCAACAAATCGAGGTCGCTGCATAATCAGAGGAACAGAAGATATTATATCACCTCATGGAATACCTCTTGATCTTTTAGATAGATTATTAATTATACGAACGCTTCCTTATTCTAGATCGGAAATAGAACAAATCGTCAAATTAAGAGCTACAACAGAAGGATTGCAAATCGAAGATGAAGCTTTATCAGCTCTTGGTGAAGTAGGTACAAAAACGACGCTTAGATATGTAGTACAACTTTTGACTCCCGCGGCATTAACAGCCAAAGTTAACGAAAGAACAATAATAAAGAAAGAAGATATTGAAGAAGTAGCATCATTGTTCTTAGATGCAAAGTCTTCTGCTAAAATTCTTACACAAAATAAAGATAAATTTATGAAATGAATGGGTTCTATTCGATTTGATTATTACTCGGTTACAATTGATAATTAAGTTTATATAGCTTAAGTATAAGAAATTCAGTTGTACTATAAAATTAAAATCTTAAAAATAAACTAACTTTGTATGAAATGTATTCGTTATTTTTTTTTTAATCTTATCTGTTTAAATAACTAATTATGAAAACAAAAAATAAATATATGATATATATGATGCATGCAAAGGTACTTAATTTCCCAATATTGTCTAAGATATTTTACAACTTAGGGTTACTAAAGATCAAGTTGTAATCAGGAATTGTGACATCACAAGATGATATGTCCTAGGGTATAAAATCTCTGTTTATGTTAATAAACACTTTAGTTTTCTAGATACTCTCTCTTTATTAAGTAAATAATTTTTAAACTTATTATTAGAAATTTAATTATTAAGTTTTAATATTTTGTAATTTATAATGTTGTACATTTTTAAATTAAGAGAATGTATAATGTTGAATAAATATAATATATTTCGATACGCACATGGACTAACGTTAAACAACATACAAAAAGAAAAAGTTAATGAAATTTTTCCGCAAAAACATGAATTTCAAATTAGACATATTGGTCCCCGACAATATGAACAATTGGAAATGTTAAAAACTATAGGATACAAGGTAATATATATATAATAATAATTTTATTTGATAATGAAAATATTAATTTTTTAAAAATAATTATTAATTTATTAAATTAATTTAATTTGAAGAATTTGGAAGAATTAACAAAAGCGGCTATTCCAGCAAAAATTCTTTATAAAGAAAAATTGAAAATCGAACAACCGATTAGTAAGTAAAATGAATAATTTATTTAAAATAGTATATTGAAATGTAGTTAAAAGAGAAACGTATGTACACAAGACTAGATATGAAACACGTGCAAACTGATAACCCTGTGATACTAAAATAAACACAATATGAATATAAATATTTAATTAAAGTATCTTTATTAATAATTTTACACATTAAATGTTTTAATAATAAAAATTGAATACATTTATAAATTAATTGTTAAAGAAAAGAAAACTGGATATCTTTCTCTGTTAAAATATTCATTAATTTTATTGTAGAATAAATAAGACGATCTTTTATTCCGAGAAGATTATATCTTGAGTCAAAGGTCAGTCTCGTGCAGTTAAATTTATTCACGTGATTTTCTAAGGCTGTAAATTAATTATAATTTTGCTTAAAATAACAAATATATTCTCCCATCATGATTGCAGATTGTGTAAAATAGCAATTGTATTTTAGCTGAATACGAACTTTTGAAGAGGATTACACAAATTTCAAAAAAAAACGATATATGGCGATCGTATATTGGAATGGGATATAATAATTGTTGCGTGCCTCATACTATCATGAGAAATATGTTTGAAAATCCAGGATGGTATATTACTTTAAAATGTAATTCATAATGATTTTGACATAATTAAAATAATTAATAAAAATTACAGGACGACGCAATATACACCATATCAACCAGAAATTTCACAAGGCAGACTTGAAGGTCTATTGAATTACCAAACAATGATATGTGATTTAACTGGAATGGAAATAGCGAACGCATCTCTTTTAGATGAAGGTACTGCAGCAGCAGAGGCTTTAGCACTTACTCATAGGAGCAACAAGAGAAAAAAATTGTTCGTTTCTGATAAAGTTCATCCTCAAACAATTAGCGTGATTGCCACACGTGCCACTTCTTTAGGTCTTGATCTTGAAATTGGAGATATTTTCAAAATTGATACCAGCGCAAAAGATGTTTCTGGAATTCTTTTCCAATATCCTGATACAACTGGATCTATTTACGCATTTGAAGATGTTGTGAAAAAAGCGCATACAGATGGTGTATGTAATTTTACTTAAAAAAAAATTTAAAAAAATATTTAATTACTGATTACTATTTTCTATTATAGACTCTTGTTTGTGTTGCTACTGATTTATTAGCATTAGCTATACTTAAACCTCCAAGTAAATTTGAAGTTGATATATGCGTTGGTACTAGTCAACGTTTCGGAGTTCCACTTGGATACGGAGGACCTCATGCTGGATTCTTCGCTTGTCGTAAAAAATTGGTTCGTTTAATGCCTGGAAGAATGATCGGTGTTACGAAAGATTTGAATGGACAAGATGCATATCGTTTAACTCTTCAAACACGAGAACAGCATATTAGAAGAGATAAAGCTACTAGCAATATTTGTACCGCACAAGCACTACTGGCAAATATGTCAGCAATGTATGCTGTATATCATGGACCTGAAGGAATAAAAAACATTGCAAACAGAGTACATTTTCTGACACTGATCCTGGCAAGAGGTTTAGAAAAATCAGGGAATAGAATAAACAATGAATATTTTTTCGATACTATAAAAATATCACCTTCAATATCCTTAAAAACTATAAAGGAAAATGCGGTTTCATTTAAAATAAATTTTAGGTAATTAATTGAAATATATATATATTAGTATATATAATAATTGAAAAAGTAAAGATATTATCTTTTCCAGATATTACGAAGATGGAATCGGGATATCTCTAGATGAAACTACTATGGAACAAGATATAAATGATATCTTTAAAATATTCTCTACAGAAATGACCGTTAAAGAAATATGTAATGAAAAGGCATATTTTAATAAAAATTTAAACAAATCTCATTTTGCGCGTTGTACGCCATATTTACAACATCCTGTATTTAATAGTCATCAATCCGAAACAAGAATAGTTCGTTATATGAAATCTTTAGAAAATAAAGATGTATCTCTCGTACATAGTATGATACCATTGGTAAAGATCATATGAAAAAGAATTTTGTATACTATTTATGAAATAACTATATTCTTTTGAATTTAATTATTTCAACAGGGATCTTGTACAATGAAACTGAATTCAACTACGGAAATGATGCCTTGTAGCTTACGTGGATTTACAGACATACATCCATTCGTTCCTATTGAACAAACTAAAGGATATCATCAATTATTTGCCGAATTGGAACAAGATCTATGCGCTATAACGGGTTACGATAACATAAGTTTTCAACCAAATAGTGGAGCTCAAGGCGAATATGCTGGTCTAAGAGCTATACAACGTTATCACGAATCGAATAAAAATAATCATCGACAAGTCTGCTTGATTCCTATTTCTGCTCATGGTACTAATCCTGCTTCTGCCCAGATGGCTGGTATGCAAGTGAAGTCTATTCTTGTACAGAAAGATGGTTCTATAGATACTTCACACTTGGCGGAAATGATAGATAAATATCGAGATACATTATCTTGTTTAATGATAACATATCCATCAACAAATGGAGTGTTTGAAGAGACTATCGCCGATATTTGTACTATGATTCATAAAGCTGGTGGTCAAGTGTATTTAGATGGAGCTAACATGAATGCTCAAGTTGGATTATGTCGTCCAGGTGATTATGGTAGCGATGTTTCACATCTTAACTTGCACAAAACATTTTGTATACCTCACGGCGGTGGAGGACCTGGAATGGGACCTATTGGAGTGTAAGTAATAATTTAATATTTTGATTTAATAATTTAATATTTGCAAATATAATAAAAATAATTTTTTGGATACAGTAAACGGCATCTTACACCTTTTCTTCCATCTCATCCTGTAATTAATTGTTTGAGTAATAATCATAACAATATAAAACAATTTGGTGCTGTATCAGCTGCTCCTTTCGGATCATCAGCTATTTTACCAATTTCTTGGGCTTATATTAAAATGATGGGTCCAGAAGGATTAAGAAAAGCCACGCAAGTTGCTATCCTAAATGCTAATTACATGAGTAAAAGATTAGAAAAATATTATAAAACTTTATACAAAGGAAAGACAGGATTAGTAGCGCATGAATTCATTTTGGATATACGGGATTTTAAGAAAACGGCGAATATCGAAGCTGTAGATATCGCTAAAAGATTAATGGATTATGGTTTTCACGCTCCGACAATGAGTTGGCCTGTGGCAGGTACATTAATGATTGAACCAACTGAATCTGAAGACAAAAAAGAATTGGATAGATTTTGCAATGCTTTAATATGTAAGAATATTATATTTCTTAGATTTTTTTTTTACTTATGAAATTATTAACAAATATTAATAAGTTTTATTTTTTAGATATACGAGAAGAAATTAATAATATAGAAAATGGTAAATTAGACATTGTTAAAAATCCATTGAAAATGGCACCACATACTCAAGAGCAAGTAATCTCAAGTACATGGAATAGACCATACTCACGAGAACTGGCAGCATTTCCAGCTGTAAGTATTCATATTCAATATTTATAATAAAATAGAACAATAAATAAGTTATTTATTATTTACAGCCGTTTGTAAAGGGAAATAACAAGATTTGGCCAAGTGTTGGGAGAATAGATGATACATATGGAGATAAAAATCTATTTTGTACATGTCCTCCTATTTTATCAGATCAGTAATAAGTTTTGCTTGTTTATCTTGTACAGTTAGTTATAGAATTATTTAAATATTTATTATAATTTTTTGTACAAACATATTATTTATATAAAATTTCATATTTTCTTAAGCAGACAAAATATAACAAATATTTGACTCTAAACTCTTTCTTTAGCAAACAAAACTATATGACTTAACTTCTATTATTCATTCATTTTATAATTTTAATGACTATGTTTGTCTATTTAATTTTTATATTTACATTATGTATTACTAAATTATTTTACGAATATTTGTACATATATTACAAACCAGGCATAAGATATGCAATATTATCAAGCATTTGCGAAAGTGTTTCGTGTTTAGCTCCATTAGTTTCTGGTACCTGTTGCGTTAAACAAATTAAAGGACCCAGTGCACAAAGCAGAGAATCCAGTAAAACTGATAGACTGCCTGATACTGCTATTTGGCCATCATGTTCCTTCAATCGTTCACCGATGATTGTTAAACTCTCACCGAGAAGTTTTAGATGCGCAGCTACATCGATAGGTTGAGTTCCAACAACTTTATACATTCCCGTTCCTATCATTGGTTCGTTAACCAAATCTTTACCACTTCGATTCGATGGCGGTGATACCGGAACATTTCCTACAACGGAGGGTAGACCTAGTTGAATAGTTTTTTTGGAAGTAGCGGGTTTTTGATCTTTTCCATTACCTATAAGACAAAAAAAGACGAAACATAAAACATTACAATGTCATCGTGTTTTTCAGTTTGCCTATTTCTATACGAGATGCATGCATATAAAACAAATGATAATGAGACATCTACCATATAATTCTTAGGCATAAAAACAATATTATCTGAGAGACTTTTGACTAATACGCGTGCACGAGAAGCAAATTAAGATGAATAAACTACCACATAACTTTTAGAGATATACTTGTAAAAATGATGTATACATGAGAACCAACAAACCCACCAATTTTATTAATGAATTTTTTTCGCGAAGCAGGTGGCGGCATTTTCCAAACAGGCTCATCTTTACTCGCAGGTAAAGAATGAGGTTTTGCTGCCAAGCGTTTTGCGCGTCTGCGCCAATTATATTTTTCCAGATTTGGTACTGTAGCCCATAGTTCTCCTAACCGTTTAGAAATTGCTGCAAAATCTACAAAAAGCAATGTTTCACGAGTAACATTAGCGTCGAATTTCTAATCTAGATTTTAATATGGAGAAACAAGTGAAGCTTATATACCCATATAAGGACATTGCTCTAGTAATTCTTGCCTAATTTCTTTAGCCCACAACATGTACGCGGTAAATCTCGTTTTCTGAAAACATCATCGAATTGTGAAATAATCCCCTTAGTAACTTTCATGTGTACATACCCCTTTGTCTTTACGTTGTGCCTTCATTCTACCTATTATTTTGCCATCTTTAATAATTAATTTTTTCTTACATTTCTCAAGCATATATAAACTATTTGCTTGTGAAGGTGTTTCTTGGCCAGGTGGTTCAAGTTTTCTAAACCCTGCTTCTCTATCATCTATCATAAGAGGATCTACATCATCATCGCTTCCAGAATCCATACTATATCTGTCATCTTCATTGAACCCAGAGGGATCATCTGATTCTGATGCTGAAGATTGCCCTTCATTATCTGATAATGTCTCTTGTTTAATTCTTTGTTGTCCAGAGTTAGAATTAGAATTAGAATTTTTCCTTTGTCTTCCACTAGTTCCATGTTGAATTGATTGATTTGATGATATATGTTGGGACTCATATCTGTCCAACAATTGTTGATTTTGTAATTGCTGTGCTTTTTGGCGTTTGTACTTGTTATCCGTAAAATCATCTGGTGATTCAAAGTCAACGAGTTTGGAAGATTTCTTTCTCACACGGCCACTTCGGGAGATACCCGTGACCTCTAGATCTGAAAGATAAAGCGGACTGCACCTTGCCAAGAAAGAGAAAGAGACCAAAATACTTGTAAGGTCTAACTACCACTCTTATTAACTTTTTAGGAGTCAAGATCATTGTTTTTATGCAAATTTTATGTAAAAAGTGTGCATAGGTATCAGAACATAATTTATTGATTGTGTGTTGATTGAGTTATAATATTCCTAACATATCTTGAAATTCTCTTAAATGAATATAATAATCAATCATTAAATCTCGTGGACGCGTATTATGTGTCACATAAATTTTACTACATATCCATACAAAGAAGTCTCTGTATGTTTATAATACATAGAAATAGAACATTTTGAAACGAACATGACGAGTTTTACAACTACTTGAAATTATGAGTATTACAACAATTATGATTCATTCGAATAATATTTTATTTTAATCATAGAATTGTTTTTCCATCAAAACCTGTTTATTTCATGAAACTTCTTAAATTTAAAATACCTAACCACGAATGAATTGTACACATCATTAGTTTAATGATTCTCCGCTACGGATAAAAGCGCTAGTAACCAAAACGCAAATTGTAAGGAGTAAATATTGCAAGGAAATTGATAAATTTGCTACGAACGCGCGCAAATCATGCGGAATACTGCAAGCGATACGAGCAAACAAGCAACTGATCTACCAAATGTGTTTCCCTATGAAATAAAAACTGATCTCACCGTCATTTTTCTGACGTTTTGGTGTCACGAACATATCCATAGCGTTGCTTTGTTGCTCTACGAGCTTCTTGCGCCGCGGCGTCTTCTCAGATTTCGCGGGCTTACGAACATTGGCGTGCATCACGCGCTAATAAGTTTTCGTTCTTTCGATGCAAATGCATTTGTAAAAGTTTTAACACTTTTTCCAATAGAAATTCTCGTCCAAAAGCCAAATTTGGTTTATTTCCAAGACGTTTTTAAAAACAACTGCCACGAAGAATACCAGAATGCATTGCGCAATAACGATGACGCATTTAGAATGCAACGCGCGAAATTTAAAAATATTATATTTTATTCGCAGTTCATGGATCTGCAAAATTTACGAGATAATATTATTATTAAAGAATAAATAAAAATAAAATATTTTGTATAAAAATTTATTATTTACATTGTTAGAACATTTGTTGGAATTGATAGAAAGATATAAAAATTTTAAATATCATCTTCTTGTTGCCATCCATCTTCATCAGAAAGAAATCTTCTTTTATGGCTAGTATTCATGTAAGGTCTCAGTGCCCATTCTATATCAGCCGCTGCTTCTGCATCTAAGGTGCCTAATTTAATTTCATATAATCTCAATTGAAACCTGGGTCCAACTTCTGACAATTCAATATCTTTTCCATGAATCTTTTTATATGTGTGATGACGAAATGATATATAATCATCATGATTAGCAAAAGCGATTATTCTTTTGCTATCTTCCTTTGGTACTGGGAATAAATATTTTAAAATATTCATAACACGTTCACCTAATTTTGTTTTAAAATTATGAAATATAAGATGAGGATATTGTTCAGACATTGTTCCAATATTGGGAATATCATGTCTCATAATAACATCTGACATTGTAAAATATGCAGTTGGTCCATAGGGTAAATGACATATAATAATAGAATCAGGAATACCTCTATGTTCATGTACAATTATAAAATCTGTAACATCATTTGCTCTACAAGCATGTATTAATTGTTTCATTTCATAATTTCCTCGATTCATTCTTTGAGAATTGGGAAATATCAATCTTAATTCTTTAACAAACATTTTTAATCTAGAACTTGGATCACGAGAAGTAGTAATCACAATTTTTGGATCTTCGACTCCAGCCCATCTATATTCATCATCTTCATGAGATCCCAAAGTTCCACCCATCTCAGTTCCAATAGCAATAGCCATTTCTGGTCCAGCATCTTCCCAAGCTAACTGCTTTTGTATATTCAAAGCATCTTTTTTTAGATCTGGATGTATTGGTATATTTTGTTCTAGACTACGTTTGAGTTTCTCCTTCTTTTCTTGGATATTTTTCAACTTATCTTGAACTGATTTTCTGTACAGATATTCTCTACGAAGTCTTGCTTGTCTTCGTAACATTTTTTAAGATATATTTTATTTTTTAATTTTTTAAATAATAAAAACGAGAAATTATAGGTTATAAATATTTCTAGTATTTATATTAGGTTATAAGAAATACACGTGTTTATGTCAATAATAATTATAGCACACAATAAATTGAATAAATTGTACGATAATAAAATTTAATAACATTGTACCATAAAAATTTTATTAAATTAAAATTAAAAAGTAGAAAAAAAAATTATTAAATATTCTATTAAATTAATTTTATTTATATATACATACAAATAAAGTTTGAAAACGTGATTAGATCTACTGATGATGACAAGCCAATCATACGTACTTAACCTATAATATGTAACATGATTGGATTTGCTGGCGTTGGTAAACGAATCAGAAATATTTAATCCGTAACGTGATTGGTTTTGCTAGATAGGACGAGCGAATCACAAATATTTAATCCGTAATGTGATTGGTTTTACTAAGTATAGCAAACCAATCATAAAACTAAAATAATATGTCTTTGACAAGTAATATTTCGAAATTAGTTTATTATTTTTAATCCAGAAGAAGAGATCGTGTGAATATGTTAAATTGCAAAAATGAAATTTGTGCTTGAATTTGTGTTTGAATTTACGTCATTGATGAATTTCAATAATGGTAAGTGTTTTCTTCTTCGTTATAAATAATAATTATCATAATAAATAATTATTATTAATCAATCAAACGGTTCAAAAAATTTTTATATATACACTTTATACATACAATCAATTTTCGTATACATTTTAAGAATCTAAAAAAGAGAAAAAAATTCTTTTTTAGAGAATTTATTAATGATTGAAATAATTAAATTTTTTAAAAAGATACGAATAAATATCGCGTAAAATCAGAATAATTTCTAAAAAGAATATTTTATAATTGTAAATTATTATAATAAATTATATGTGATGTATTGAAAAAATTACAATGTGGAAAACATGTTGATGAACCACCATGAAAGCATGTAAGCAAAATTTATTATGCAAACAAAATTATTTATTTTTTTTATTTGACATATCTTTGAAAATATATATTAAAAAATATATATTAAGATAAAATTGTAAAAGATATAATTGAGTATAATTTTTGATAATTATCAAAATCATAAAAAGAAAATTACATTCATTTTAGAAAATTACATTCATAATAATACGATTTTTTAATTAATTGATTATGATTAATATTTAATTATTGTGAAATTATATATTTGTGTGATATAATATAGAAGAAATTATATTTTTTATTTTAATAATTATAATTAATAATAAAATCAAAAGATTATGATGCAAATTTAAATTTAAATTTAAATAGCAAACGCCATCTATCGTTATTTTTTGATATTCGTTATAATAAAGTTGATAATTTTATCGATCAATAATTTTTTCGGTGGGTAACTAATCATGCTTGTCGTCGGTAACTGTAGCAATCGGTAACAAGTTATCGATTTAGTTGGAAAGTAATTAGTTTCAAATATTTACGGTAGATATCGTATTAGTTATTTTTTCTGAAATTTTTAGAAAGAAATCAAGTAACGAAGAATCGAAAGATTTTATATCATTCAACGTATTATTTTATATATTATAAAATATAAAATATATTAAATTTATAAATTAAAGAATAGTGAAACAAATGCTCTTGAAATTTTGAAAGCATCACAATCTCGTTTGTTGGAAATTTATAGAGGATTGTCGAGAAGCAATCTTTTTTCCTTGTGGTTAATTGCAACCAGCTTGCGATTTCCTTCGTCTCTTTGATAAAGCCGCCCACTTGCTATTCCTCTTCGCGGAATATGATTTTTCAGGCTGTACTTAATTAGCGACGAACTGTGAATCATAATTACAAAGGCATTCTTTGTACTGCTTTCTATTTAACATTCATGAGAGTCTCGAATTTTTTCTAATGAAATGAAGCTTCAGAAAGAAAAAATGATACGGAATATACCGGAAAAAAGACAGGTCGTTTGCGATTGATTCGAGTCGTCACGATTTTCGAAAAAAGTCGAACGAGAAGAGAATTCCGAAGAGAAGACTCGTGCCGTGCACGGCGCCTCGTAATTCATTTAAATGGTAGCTCGACGAGACAGGCTCAATTACAGCCGCGACAAAAAACCGTACGGGAACGAGCAGCTTCTTCGTACGACGTGCGTGGTCTATGTTCGTTGCTCGTTCCGTCGACGTACTCACGCGTGCTCGTTTTCTCATCTTTTAAAGAAGAGAAAGAAGGGCTGCGGGCTCGTGTCCTGCGTCACTCAACCGAGCACATCGCGGACATAGTTAAAGCCTCTTTGTTATCCCGTTTTGCCCGCCGCGTCGTCATTAAGATCCTTTGTCGTTCGTACGTGCAAAACGTCCAGAATTCTTGATGCAGATTTTCTCGTAGGAAGTCGATCTCTCTCTTTTTCTTTTTCTCTTCTTCTTATTATTCGATAATTCCTTCCTAATTGTCAATATGATTAAATATAAAATTCATTTTATTTTTCAATTAAAAATACAAATAATCAACATAACGAAACATTTTTCCCTCATTATTTTATTACAAGTTAAATCGAATATTAATTTTCTCTATATTTTGAAAAATTACTCTTATCGTAATCGTATCCTCCTTATTCATTAGATATTTATTTATTTCATCACAAATAACACGCAAGATTATCCTCGATAATTTCACTTATACACGTAGCGATTCAATCTTTCGGTCTCGCAAAAAAAAAAAAAAAAAAAAAAAAAGAAAAAGAAAAAGAAGAAAAAGTATTTCGAATCATTTCACAAGATAATTTCAGGGAATCGATATAGCACGGATAGTGATGCATCGATAGATAGGTATAGGCATAGCGAGTTTTTGCGACACGGGTAAAGAAAATACGGCTACTGTTCTCGACGGAACGATGGCGGCCAGGCTTAATCGGCCCGTTAAGCTCTGAGACAATGGGGCTCGGTGTTGATGGCAATATTTTAATGAAGTTAGCAAGTTCCTGGTAGCGGGTCGCCGTCGCGATTCCAGGAGCGTGAACGAGAGGAGCCCTTAAGGGCAGAGGGCGGAGGCGCCACCCGCTCACTGATTTCCACTTAGCGATATCGTTCTACAAAGCGGCCTTCATCCGCCATATAGCTTTTTCTTTTCTCCTCTCTCTCTCTCTCTCTCTCTCTCTCTCTCTCTCTCTCTCTCTCTCTCTCTCTCCTCTTCCATCGAATCCTTCCTTGGAAGAAGTTGGAGAAAAAGAAGAAGAAAAAAAAGAAAAAGAAAAAAAAAAAAAGAAAAATGGCTTTCGTGGCTTCGTTTCAACGATCGAAACGAAAGCACCTCGTCGTGTTAGTCGTCGCGTCTCAGTGACAGACAGGTTTTCGAATCGACAAAGATGTTTGATCGGATTAGGGGCTCTCGATCATTCTCGTTCTCGATTTGCATACGGGCGAATGAAGCGAATGGCAGGATGGATCGCGATGATCGGCGCGCGTCAGTCGGAAATGGCGCGGGCAAACAACAAGTTCCCGGTTCGCATGGGCCGGGATTAATTTGATCGATGCCTGGCAAGGGTGTAACATCGTAGGGAGCGCTATTATGCGCACCATATATATATTTTCCTTACGCCTTATTTGCATATATTCTCGACGAATATTTTCCATCCTTTTTCATTTATTATTTCTTCAATCCTGTTCAAAGGCTCAGAGGATTTGCTTTTCTCGCGCTTGTTAAACCAATCGTCAATCGAAGCGAGAAATATTTCGAGATATTAACAATCCTTTTTTTTTTCTTTCGGTTTGTACAAATATATATTTCGAGATATTAACAATTCTTCTCCTTTTTTTTTTTCTTTTTTCTTTCGGTTTGTACAAATTTATTCGTTGGACGATATTTAACTTGTTAACTTGTTAAATCAATCGTCAATCGAAGTGAGAAATATTTCGAGATATTAACAATCCTTTTTTTTCTTTCGGTTTGTACAAATATATTTCGATATATTAACAATTCTTTTCCTTTTTTTTCTTTTTTTTCTTTCGGTTTGTACAAATTTATTCGTTGGATGATATTTAACTTGTTAAATCGTCAATCGAATCGAGAAGTATTTCGAAATATTAACAATTCTTTTCTTTCTTTTTTCTTTTTTTTTTCGGTTTGTACAAATTTATTCGTTGGACAATATTTAACTTGTTAAACCAATCGTCAATCGAATCGAGAAGTATTTCGAAATATTAACAATTCTTTTTCTTTTTTTTCTTTCGGTTTGTACAAATTTATTCGTTGGATGATATTTAACTTGTTAAATCGTCAATCGAATCGAGAAGTATTTCGAAATATTAACAATTCTTTTCTTTTTTTTTTTTTTTTTTTTTCGGTTTGTACAAATTTATTCGTTGGACAATATTTAACTTGTTAAACCAATCGTCAATCGAATCGAGAAGTATTTCGAAATATTAACAATTCTTTTTCTTTTTTTTCTTTCGGTTTGTACAAATTTATTCGTTGGATGATATTTAACTTGTTAAATCGTCAATCGAATCGAGAAGTATTTCGAAATATTAACAATTCTTTTCTTTCTTTTTTCTTTTTTTTTTCGGTTTGTACAAATCTATTCGTTGGACAATATTTAACTTGTTAACTTGTTAAACTTGTTAAATCGTCAATCGAATCGAGAAATATTTCGAGATATTAACAATTCTTTTCTTTCTTTTTTCTTTTTTTTTTCGGTTTGTATAAATTTATTCGTTGGACAATATTTAACTTGTTAAACCAATAGTCAATCGAATCGAGAAGTATTTCGAAATATTAACAATTCTTTTCCTTTTTTTCCTTTTTTTTCTTTCGGTTTGTACAAATTTATTCGTTGGACGATATTTAAGTTGTTAAACCAATAGTCAATCGAATCGAGAAGTATTTCGAGATATTAACAATTCTTTTCCTTTTTTTTCTTTCGGTTTGTACAAATTTCGTTGGATATTTGTTAAACCAATCGTCAATCGAATCTTTTTTTTTTTCTTTTTTCTTTCGGTTTGTACGAATTTATTCGATGATACTTAACTTTAAATTTAAATTTACACAGATAGAATAGATAGATGGATGGATGGATCGAATCATCGTCTACCTTCTATCAATTCTATCAATTCTATCAATTTTGACCATCGTTTTCATCCATCGATATAATGATCAATAATAGTCGATAGATTTTCTCGAAACTCTCGAGTTTAACGAATTCGATCCTTTTTTCTTCCCCCCCTTCTCCCCGTTACCAACTCACTTTCCGTCGAACTTGTTCACCAACCGCTAACGAGACCGCGCTCTCCGGTTTCTTAATTAGTCGAGCAGAGCAATTAATGCGAATCAGAAACTGTGAAATTAATTTAGCGGTCGCGGTTTTCGCGGCCACGCTACACCAAATCCATCCTCGACGATTATTCGTCGAGTCGCTAAGAAACGTTGGAACGTTGAAAAAACGTACGAATGTCGGAGAAATGCATATATATATATATATATTTGAAATAAGATGAAGTATTTCGTTTCGAAGCTGCATTTAGGCGGCTATTATCGTTAGGGAGAAATCACATGCAAAAGCTGAGACGTTAAGATCGCCCTGCTCGGCCGTAAACTTTCGTAGATTCTAATCGAGCGCGCGTAATTAGAGCGGG